CTGGCTTTTTTTTTTTAAACAATTAAAAAGATGCAGAAAAACAATTTGTTATAAAAAAATTTTTATTAAAAATAATTCAGAAACAAATAATTAAGTAATTATTGATACACAACAATTAAAAAATTGTTTAATCAAACAAGAATTGTAATCGTCTTGTTTGCTGTCCAAATCTGTTCATAACTTTTTCAATGAATTCTGAGTCATCTTTGATTCTTTTCTTATGCACACTGAGCATGCACGAACTTGGCAGATATCTAAGCTATATTTTTAAATTTTATTAAATGAAATGCAAATAATATTATATTTTCTATTAATCATTTAGTTAACAAAGGTGCATAACACAANGCTCACATGTGAAGCGAATGAACATTTTTTTTAAATCATTTAAGTATGAATATCTGACGAAGATATATTAGCCACAACATTTATAACAGGTTAATTCCTTGATACTCGGAAACAATTAAAGTGAGTGATAAAGGCCTTTAGAATTATGTTATGCGCATAAAATATCATTATGCATCATTTTGATACTATATATCACAGAAATTTTAAATTATGTGATTGGAGAATTAAGTTGGTGATTTTTTTTCTCCGATGCCCTCCCGTATATATTATTATGGTATGAAAAGAGCAGATGTGTTGACCACTCCTAAATGGCCACCGTATTAGGTGAGCCAGTGTTGCTAACACAATAAAAAGGACAGATAATACAGAGTAAAGATATTGAAGAAGAAAAAAAGGAACATCCAAGCCTCTGACCGGGTTTCGAACCTGGAACCTACCTGACATGAGGCCAGCCAGTGCCGACGCAAGACGCTGCTGCACCTCGGGAGATGCTGAAAACGACACCCTTATTTTGAAAAAGGAATTTTTTTTTTTTAAATCCTTGAATTGTCTCATTGGTGTAGTCATAATGCTGTAGAGAAATGCTTTTTCATTTTAAATTAAGTAAATTACAATATTTGAATCAGAGAATTATAAAATCTAAATCAATCTAAAATGTTGATTTGAGAAACATGTCAACAAGATAAATTACAATTAATACATTAAAGGTAAAAAAGAAAATTATTCGTTTATTTAATGAGAATATCACCTTAAGTATTCTAGAATTAATATTTATTATGGGTAAAATTTTTAATGAGCATAATCTTTAATCTCATACAAGAGCATAAACATTAAAATCTTTATTTTTCTTTTCGTGCTTTAGCAGTCGCAAACAATTTTATAGACTCGTCAATAACATTTGTTTTTGCGATTTCATTTTCGATGTACATTATTGATGTAATTTGCATTAAATATGTCGTCAATTTGTTAAAATTTTTTGTTAAAATAAAAAAAAAATTGTCGTCGACTACCGTAAAATAATATATAGCTTTATAAATTTTTTATGTATTTTTAAACTCATTCATTCATCCGACTGTTCACTAAAATGTCCTTCAATGATTCGCCCATAAACAAATTCACTGCTATTTATTGATGACTCGTATTCATTCACCTATTCGCTGATCCATTGACTGGTATGTTTTCATTCCTCATTCTTACTTTATTCACTCGCTGTATCTGAAATTGATCTTGATGATTGTTTTCAGGACGAAGTTATAAGCGCACTCGTAATAAATTGTTAATGAAATATAATATCTTAAAAATAACAGTTTAAAATAAATTAAAAGTGACCTAGTATAAAACATATTATTAAAAGAGCGGAAGTTGTCATAGTAATCGTCATATTAAAATATTAAATGATTATTACTATCGAATAATTTTTGGTAAAAATTAGATATTCTCTACTCAGACTAATATTGGTTATAAAACTATACGTAAAAATAAATAAATAAGAATCCACGTGCAACGCTAAGAACAACTATAATAAACGCTTAGATAAATCTGATGAATAAAGTAGTTATCGCGCTCACTATTATAAATATTTTTAGAGAAAATAAAGTCTTACTTTAGTTTCGTAGAAAAATCTTTAATAATTATTTCAAATATATATTGAAGAACAAAATATGTAGAATATTGCAAAAGTGTATATTTCTTGCTAAGAAAATTAAAATTGACTAAGATCTTGATAACTATTTAAATATCTTGAAAATTAATCTTTTAGTCTTATTTGTAAATTGTCCCAATTTCTCAAAAAACCCACCGAGATTTGGATGAAAAATTAATATTTAAATTGCACTTTGAGACGAATTAGTAGTATTTTCTACATAAAATATTAAGATTTGTATCATCAACACACAGGCTCAATTGGCTCAAAATTTGAGCTTATGGTCATTATCCTAAGTCAAAAGGTCCTCCCTGGAAAATACGAAACTTATTCTATTCAGTGTCAAATAAATGGTTTTTCTACTGCACACTCTTCTTAAAGGCAGTGTTCCGTCATTGAAATGCATGCGCCAATTTCGCAATTTTCAAGTAAGTAAACGCAAATATAATATTACGCATGTTTTCGCTTTAATGAAAATAAGCAAGCATCTTGATAGCGATTAAATTAAACGATGTTTTTATATCGATATTTACACCTCTTTTTTTTCACTTTCATCGTTGCCTGGGTGTACGTTAGAATTTTCGGGGGGACAGTGTTTACGTTTTCGTGTTTTGAAAATTTGAATATAAACTCAAATAGATACTTTTAATGATTAACTTCGAATGCTTCTAATCTTGCCTCTGTGCAATTTAATTATAATTATGATTGCCAAACTGTTAAACATCATTAAAAATTTAAGAAAAATGTATTTAAAAGTAAGCCGTTTTTTTTCTCATTTATTCCTTTTTTTATTTCTCATTATGTAATTAATTAGAGTAAAAATGAAACATATATATGCATGTTTGGTGCTGCATGCTGCTGGAATTATTAATATGTTTAAATAATTTATTTAGTTACATATATCAAATGTATTTAACTATAACACACCTTGCGCCATCATAAAACAAGCCTTTCAAGTTATTTTCGGTTGCTGGTTGTTTTTAAATGAGCTAATAATGCAATTTCATAGCAGCGTTGCATGCATACTGCTATCCAGAAAACATATATTAAATATATGCTATATTATTGACATATTTGTAAATAAACATACTCTGTCTTTTTCCTATCATATATTAACTTTACCGAAAGGTTTAAAATTGAATATGCAGTAAGCATTTCATTTGTGGGTTCTGGCCTTACATAGTTCTTTACTCTCGTTAGATTTATAATAGCTCGAATTTAATAACAATAAACTGCTTAACTTTAACGAAATAGTTTATGAAAAATCGCAATATTTATCTGAATAAATCAAAATTGTAATAAGACATTCAATGTCTTTATTCATGTAATTTCAAATACCCTCCCTGTTTACTTACTTAAGACTAACCTTTCTATTTATTATTTCATTTAAACACTTAAAGATTCCCTTACCAATTCTATCTAACATTTTAAAAAAATTTGTTTGGATTGACTGGGTCAATGGCAATTACCAATAAGCTACTGGGAAAGAGTTGTAAATATATTTGCTCTTTTACTTGAAGAATTTATATGACTAAATATTTAATCGCATTAAACTCTGTATAGTAATAATCATCTAATGCTTTAACTTCTTAAAGATAATAAATGTTATAATTTATCACTTATATACATATTTTAATAAAAATTTAGAAGTATTTTTCTTAAGCTACCCTACTTTGTTTGATATAAATAGTGGAAATGTTTTTTAAAGGCCTCTTTTTAATTGAAATACACGTAGACAAATAATTTGTTATAAAGAAAAATTGAACTATGTTTATGTTATGATGAAGCTGGAAAAATAATATAAATTTAATTTGATGTATTCATATTTATTTCTATAATATACACTATGTCACATGAGAAATAATGATGTATTTAAAGAAAATACAGATTTTGATTATGTTTAAAAAACTCATTTGAGTCTGGATTTTTTAAAAGGATCCATCTGGGTTTCTATGGGTTGATTGTAAACTCTGGTTTTTAATTTTGTAATAAAACACATTATGGAAAAAAAATTATACTTATCCATTTGGCCATGAAAAACCCTATAGAACTGTATCTATATCAGTTATGCTAGGTATCTATTGCTACACAATAAATAGCAGTGTTCTCCCGAAGTGTTTTTGAAGGGCGGCCTTCCCTTTAATCCCCATAAATGTGTGCTTTTTGTAAAAATAAGCCTCCATCCATTAAGAATACTGTCTTTTTATCCATTTTCAAGAAAAATTAGCAAACTGTTAAAATAATAATTACAAGCAAAGATTACCTGTGTATGTAGGTTTAATTACTGTTGCAAATATATGCTCTGTTGGGATTATTCTCAACTGGTTGAACTTTTATAAGTTTCTCCTTTTTTTAAAGGGTATAAAAATAATTTAAAAAAATTTTATACCTTTTAAAATTATAACCTATTAAATTTTTTTCGTGGCTTTGAAATTATTTTTTAAATAAATGTCTTTTTTTATAAAAAAAAAAGGGGGAAAAATGCACCTCTAAATCGTCATTTTGTAATTGTTATCAGTATAAATTATAGAAAAAATCTTGTAAGCTGTTTATCAAAAAAAAAATTTATTTTTTTTTAGTTTACTTTTTTCTTTTAAAAAAATGCATTCACAGATATTTGTCTCTTAATATGCCTTTAATTATTATTTATAAACTACAATTTTTTCTCTAATTTGAATTTGGGTAATGAGTTAAAATTACTTTTTGAAATATACACATAGAATAGTATAAGAGGGTAAGTTAAAAATTGTTGCATCAAATTTTGTTATTATATGATATTCCATAATTTGATAATTTTTTTCGGTGTTAAATGAGTGCTGTTTTCTGTGACGAAGCACCCTGCCATTTTTTTACTATTAGGGAGAACTCTATAAATAGTTACTATCATTAGCTGACCATCATTGACGATTTTTTTATAACTTTGTAAGATGGATAAGTACTAAAAGAAAAATAAGTAAAACTGAATAACATTTGTTAATATATATGTATTAAAATAAGTTTGATTTTTTTTCAGGCTCTTGTATTGTAACTACAAATGTTAAAAGTCATCGACTGTTTAAGAAACTCAGAAGGAAACATGAAAAACAACAAACCTGTAAGTGGGAAGCCAAGTGGAAACACCATTTCTTCAAAGAACCAAGTACAGAGCATTTTAGGACCTCCTCGTACAAATAAAGTACCTTCATCAGAAAAAATTTTATCATCAACTTCTGTTAAAAAGTCATCAACTGTCAAATCTCGCTCTAACACTTGCTCCAGTAGTCAAGAAAGTCTCTCTGGAATCGGTACTAGTGTTCGTCGGAAGACAAGCGTTCAACCAAAAGTGTCCTCATCAAGTGCAAATAAAAATGATTGCACTCCTATACGTTCCATAAATAACTTACAAACAGTTGTGCCTCTTTCTTCTACTAAAAAAGCAACTTTCAGGAGACTTAATCAAAGTAATATGCGTCGAGCAGTTAGTAAAGACAGTGTGGATTTTGCTGCGAAAGAGCGTGAGAAGGAAAATGTAAAAATTGGTCTGAATCGAAACAAAAGTAATAACTGCATTACTATTTTGCAAATGGAAAAAGAGAAAGTTAAAATGGAACAGCAAATTTCTGAACTTGTTAAAAATGCTGAAAGCAAAAAGGCAGAAATTGCAACATTGAAGATGGAAATTAACAAATTGAAGGTAGCATTAACTTTATTAAAAGTTTTATTTTTCTGGCAACTTATTTAGTTCTCAAAAACCAGGCAAACTAGGATTGAGTGGAACATTAAAAAACTAAAACTAAGCAATGTGAAACACTTTGATCTAAATTTCAAAAATTGATTATTTATGGAAATTTTCCAGTTTATTTATAAAAAATTTTTTTAGACTGTTTTCATTAAAAGTGATATTTTCATATGTTCTTTATTTTATTTTATGTTAGGAAAAGAGCTCATAACTTAGCTATTACAAAACATATATATATATGTCTTGCTGATATTATGTATATAAAGAATTTTTTTTTTTTTACATTTTATTTTCTGTTTTTTTTTGTGTCATATATTTTTTACTTAGTGTGTTCTACTTTGTTTAAATTTTTTTCAGTGCTCCTCACACTATTGTATTGATATATTTTGCTTTAGTCATGTTGATACAATATTAGAAAGCACACCTTTTTCTGGTATAATTGTGTGAGCTGATGAAGAGATTATATATTTTTGTTTTTTGGCTTTTTAATATATATCTTCTTAATTTTTTTTTAAATATTTTTTCATGAGGAGTTTTTTTTTTTTTTTTTNTTTTTTTTTTTTTTTTTTTTTTTTTTTTTTTTTTTTTTTTTTTTTTGAATAATTGAATGTAAGAATAAATAAGTTATAAATTTAATCAGTTTACGAAAAAAAATTTAATAAATGTGCTTGTCATAAAATTCAATAAATTTGAATAAAAATTTTAAGTTGAATTTAATAACATTTTGCTTGTCACCTATGTTAAGTTAGAAATTTTATTATTAGCGAGAAACTGAAAAATACTAGTTAATAAGAAAATAGTAGTATAATGTTTTTTTTTCTTTAAAATATAATAAATTAAGAAAGGTAAAAAAAGAACTTTAAATAATAGTTAATGAGGCAGTCTACAGTTGTATGCTAACAATGCAAATAAATTTGCTGCTACAGAGCTCATGAACAATAATGCCAAATTTGTCATTACAGCCTTGTGATTGTTTCTATTAATGCCTGTGTCTCTTAAATATTTTTTACTTTGTTGTGTGCAATATGTTTGTCACTTACATATTTTGTGTCTATAAATCATAGGATCTTAAAAGCGATGATGCTGTTGATCAGCTAAGACAGGAGCTTGAAAGTGTACAATTGGAAAACCAGGCTTTAAAAGAAAGACTTCTCCAACTGGGTGTTCCTCTTGAAATGACTGCTCTCTCAGACACTCAGAAGGAACAAATCTTAATTCAAAGATCTCTTTCGGGATCATTTTTAAACTTTGAGAAAAACCAGGTGAGATTTATTTTGTCGCTTGCATGCATTTAAAGCTAACTTTATGAGGTTAATAATAACATACATGTCTAATATTGCCTTAGTGTCGGCATTTAGATTAGTTTCCTAAGAGTACATGTTCAGTGAGCCCCCCCCCCCCAAGAAAAAGAGGAAGAAATAGCCTTCAGGTGTGCTAAATTCCACACATGAGTAGACCCATATGGTATACACAAACACTGTTCGCAAAAAATGTTTCACTATTGCGGAAAATTTTTTACTATTACTAAAAACGAAGACAAATCCGCCTCTTCTAAGAAAGTTTGAATTCTGGAGGGGTAAAGAGAGATTTGCTTTTTTCTACTGATGCAAGCAAGATTTAAAATCACATTCGTATTTTAATGATTTTATATGAAATGTCTTGTTTCTTATTCACTCGATTTAAAGCCACTATTATGATTCGTGTTCAAGAGAGTTAAAAATTATACATCAGAATTTGTATTCACACGATTTTAAAATAAAACATCGAGATTCCTATTCGTGAGATTTTTAAATTTAATATAGAGATCCGTGTTCACGTTATTTAAAAATCATTCATTGAGATACATATTCCCGCAATTTAAATACAAGTAAATAATTTAAATCTTGGATCGATATTTTTAATTAAAATGTTGGTAACGTACTGTGGACAAATGCTTCCTACATAAAAAAAAATTCTTGTTCAAATTTCAGGTATTATTTCAATTATTTAAGAAGTATTGTTGCACACAAAATTTTTGGATCTCGATTTTCATCTTTTTCCTATGAATCAATTTTGAGTTCTATAAAAATTAAACGTTTTTAAAAATCCGTTATTTTCAAACAAATTTTGACAAAAGGGTTGAAACTAGATACAAAGGTTAATTAATGCGTCAAGAAAGCTTTTGAGTTGAAATTTTGTGTTTGTAGAAAGTGTTTCATTTTATCTAAGTCTGCATTTCATTTTATTTAAGTTTCATTTTATCTGTAATTTCAGAATAATTTATCTGATGGTCCTAAGTCTCTTGATACAGAAGTGGGTGAAGCTTCTGGTGTTAATTTGCCACCATCTGGACGCAGTCTTTCAGAATGGGAAAGAGGAAGCAGTAGCAGTTTAAGTGAAATGTCTGTTGCTTGCCTGCAAGACAGAATTATGCAAATGGAAGAAACACATCATAGGTAAATTAATTTATAGTCAAATGTTCAACGATGTGTTATTACCCACTCAATTAATGAGATATCGAGGCAACTAGTGCAAATATAACTAACCATTTGAAAAATCGAAGGAGTTAAAAGTGTTAAATTTGCTGGCAATTTCTAATTCAAAACCAATTTTTCATAATATTAAAAAAGAAAAGTAAGATTATATTATTTACAGTTTTGTTTACATAATGAACAACCAGGGCCGGATTTACGTATAAGCTGTAGCTTGGGGCCTCGAGATGGCAAGGGCCCCCAGATCCATCTTTTTCCTTCTTTTCGGAGCTGGAGCCCTCTGAAGCCTAAAATACATTTTTTTTTTCTTTTTTACATTGGCGAACGCTTTTCAAAATCTAATAGAAGTGTTTACATGTATAAAATAATTGTTACTCTTCACTTTTTTAACCAAAAGAGCAATAAAAAGGCCTTTTGACTGATGAAAATATCCTGTAGCTTTCGTAGCTACCTGTGATGGGAGTAGTCCATGGATCCTAAAAAGCGGTACTCCATGGAGTCAGTAGTCAAATAGCCGCCTCAATTTACACTGTGGGAAATGTTTTCAGCTTCTTTAAATTGCTGTGGGCTCTTTTGTCTGATTTCTGGGCAAAAAATTTCTAGGGCTGTGGGAGAATCTTGTTTAGGGTCACTCTGTTTCGAGATTTCCGTTGTGTCTCATTGCCGTTAAAGAGCTTCTCGTTTATTTTTAACTTTTCTTTTTTGCAAAATATATGTTTTCCAATTTATTACAAAAGCTTTTTTTTTTCCTTTTAATTATCCTAAATGTTTTAACTAGCTTAATTGTTTAATTTACTTAATTATTGTAATTGATTTTAATTTGTTATTTTCCAAATTAATCGTACATGAATCCGTGAACTCCTTTCTTTATTTATTTAAATGGTGGGCCATCATTCAATTCCCTCTTTGACGGGCCCATCTGCCAAAATTCTTGATTTGGTTTATTTTGGATGAAATTGAGATAACAGATGTGGTTTTACTTTAATTTTGCTTACTGCTAATAGACAGAAGCAACATGTGATATTGCTTGATAGAGCATTGAAATCAAGTGATCATCAGCTAAACAAATGTTTTAATATATATGTAAAAAAATATTGTTCAACCCTCCTTTCTAACCAAATTTTCCATGTATCCCCGAAATATGAATTATGTTAAATTTGTAAAATATGATATTTGGTACACAAAATTCATTTATTTAGTTAGCTTATGCTTTTATTGTTTATTGATCATGCTTGTTTCTATTTTTAACTCCCTGACTTTTGTTGTTATTATGTGTTTAAAGTTATTAAGGCATCTAAATTGTTTAATTTAAAAGGATTTCAAATTTTTAATGCAAAGTTGAAATAACTTCTTAAAATTGCAAATTGAAACTATTTATAAGATTTTGGCAGATTTGTTTTTATTTTAAATCTGTGCATTTAATTTAATAAAATAAAAACAAATAAAAAATAAGTTTAAAAAATGTAAATAAATGGCTAGATTAAATATAAAACTGTGTTGTCAATGAAAAGGAACATATCTTTTAACCCACTGGCGGTTAAGGAAATGGGCAAAATTGGGAGAATGTTTCTCCCCTACACACAGTTCCCCTATCAGTTAACATGGGAAAACCGGTTTTGCTATGCAGAGAAGACTGCAGGTTAAAATGCGACTTTTTACATGCAGAACCGTCAGTGGGTTAAACAATTTGAGTATTAATAAATTATTCAAAAATAAGCAATTTTAAAAGGTAGAAAAGTTTTTTGATTTGTTTAAAAGGCAAATTTTGTCCCTTCATTTGATCAAGAGACTATTTAATATCTGTTTCTAAGAAGCAGTAGGTCGCGTGTGGGTGTGTGGATGATGTAAGTAAAAGAGGCATACAAAAAAAGCCAATTTAACTTCAGTTAATGCCCTCGATATTATATTTTTAAACTCCTCGCAAAAATGTAGTAAAAAAGTTATACAAATTAATTGTCGCAAACAAATTAATATTAAGTAAGAACGAATCAAAAATGATATCGAAATATGCTGAATCACTAATGAGACAGGCGGGATGAAGNCCCTGTAACTATTTCATAGTTCAATTTGCTTTTCACTTGTAACTAAATCACATTTATGTATAAAAATGAGTACATTTAGTTGTAAATTTTGTATTCTGTATTAACCGCCAACTTTCTTTCTCGATCTTATTTTTGTGATTGTAACAAATTATTGTATTTGTTAGCACCAATGAAGAGCTGCAAGCTACTCTGCAAGAGCTTACGGACCTTCAAGATCAACTTGTTGATTTACAACTAGAAAATGAGCGAATGGCAGATGAAAAAGCTGTACTGTTAGAATCTCTCTGCTCGCAGACTGAAAAACTTGAAGAATGCCGAACACAAATCACTCAACTGAAACAACTTCTTTTCCAACAGCATAATCAGGAAGGACTTCCCCTTTCTCCATCCGAAAGAGAGTGTAACTTAGTTGACTTGCTCAAGGTAAAGGTTTTAAATCATCAAGAATCTTGCAAAGTTTTTTTTTTCCTCCAAAACTAATCCTATCAAGATTTCAGATGGGTTTGCTTAAGCTGATTATGTTATATGAAGGATTGATTTTCTAGAATCAGAAATCGTAGAGTCAATAAATAAACGCATTTAGTTCCAACCAAAATTATTATCAGCTTTTAATGCTGGCTTAAATATACTTTTCAATTTATCAAACATAACAAAAAATAGTAATTTGAAATTTTAAATGTTATGTATCTGGTTTTGTATCCAATTTTAGAACACTTACATAGAGTTTTTTATAAAAAGAAATTTCAAAGCAGTGGAATTTTATGTTCCCATTGTTTTAAAAATTGAATAATCATTTATGAAATTCAATAACTTTTGGAAAAAATTCAATTATTATTTAAAAACATTTTAGTTTTTACTGCTATTTCACATATTAAACTAAAAATTTCTCTAAACAAATAATACATCTTTTATACCTTTGACTTATGAGTTTAGGAAAATTGGTTTGCAAAACTTCCATGTGTAAGGTTTTTTCAAATGAGAATTTCTTCTATATCTGCTCTTATCTTGAATGTATATTATGCATTGAATTTTTCCTGAAGTTCATTATTTCATTTACTTGAATTAAATAATGAACAATAAAGATAAGAAGCTGGTTGATATTCATTACTTTTAAAAAAGGACGGCAAGAATTCTTATTTTAAAAAAAAAAACATATTCAATGTCTTTAATCGTGAATTGTTCTTTAATTAAGTATTTAATATATATGTATTGAATGTTCATTATTTGATTCACGTCAATTTAAAGCCAGTGTCATAATTTTGTTTTAAAACATTGAACCTATGAAAAATCTTTTCCGAAAATTTTCGCTTTAAATTACTTCACTATAAAAAGTGTTATTTACCCTGTCTTAATAATACATCAAAAGCAAGATGTGTTAAAACATGATTGAGGTCTGTACTTGACTGCTTAAAAATATATTTGTAAATTATAGAAAGCTCAAGAAGCTCATGACGTATTGCTGATGAAACAAGAAGAATTATCATCAGCTCTGCAAGCAGCAAAGAATGATTGTGGCCCCCAAACAGATTTGTTGCTTTTACGAGACAGAGTGAGACTCTTAGAATCTACCATTGAAAGTATCAATGCTGATAAGCGTCTGTTAGAATCTCAACTGAATGAGTGCCAGGAACAGTTATCTGCTAATCAAATAGAAGTATCTCAATTGAAACTACAACTTGAAAATGAACAACAAAAGGTAATGCTCATCATTTCAATGAAATTTAACTTTAGGCTGATTTATTTTTTGGTTGTCTGAGTAACTTTACTGTATAATCATATTTTTTTAAAAAAAATCTTTTTTTTTTCTTTATTTATACAGCAATAAAAATTTTCTAACAATAAAGTAATCAGAAACTGTACTGTTTTATTTATCGATTAGGTAATCAGTATTTAGGTCTTTGTTTGATCCAAAACAGTTTATTTAATAAAATGGTGTTTGGTAATATATAACATAGTTCTAGAGCTGCCTTTTAGCCTATGAGCCTAGCTGATTCTGCCATTAAGCTCAAGATCAAGGCAGAAAAGTTGTTTTTCTGAGGAATATAAGCTCATTTCCTCTTAGCTTTAAAAAAAAAACTGCTAATTTTATAGGGGTCTGGTTTTTTTTTTGTTGTTTTTTTTAAGCTTTTTGGTCCTTCTGATTTTGATTAGTCTTTCGTTTTGAGAATTTCAACTTGTTTGCCGCTTAGCTAACTCAACATAATTTTTTTTTTTTTTTTTTAAATGTCTATGAAATCTTGTATTGATACTAACTAGGGTGGGTATATGGTGAGGGGGAATGCCCGTATGCCCTAAATAAGGGCGGGTCGGGAGAAATATTTCAAAATATGGTGAGGGGGAACAAAAGTTTGCCACTTTTAAGATTAAGAAATTTCATACCATAAATTGCTATTAAAATGTTCGACTTTATTATCCACTCCAAATCAGTTATTGTGTTTTTCTAAATTATTGTTTTTAAGATTTACATTAATAGTTTTAAAACACAATCAAAAATGAAACTATGGGGAGGCCAGATACATAGCCGCCAATTTGTATGGCCACAAGAAATAATTTTCTTAGTGATAGCAACATTTGTATTTTGGTGTATTAAATCTTGAAGTTTAAAGTTTAAAAAAAAACAACATTTAAACTACCACAGAGAATCAGTAATTTAAAAAAATATGTAGTTAAGATCTATTTGTTAGCTAATTATGTTTATCGCTGTCTTAATTTTGTTTTTAGAAAATTATTTCAAAATTAATTGTTTTACTACCACTTCGTAAAATCTTTATCAACGACCTTACAAATTGGCAAGTATGCAGATGTTTTACTTGTCAGGCTTGCTACTGTAGTTCAGGTTAGTGATGTTGATGGGCCGGTTTTAGCCTGCAAGCCGTAATTCGGACTGCTCCTGCTCTAGGAACACTTTCTTTTCATTTATTGCATGCAAGATATTGTTTGTTTTATCAATTAAAGTTTTTTCAAGTGTTAATAACATAGGTATGTATTTTTTTTTTTTTTTTCATTTCAATGAGAAAGAACTATATCATATTGATACTTTTTTCCTTAAAAATATCTATAGGTTTCTGAGCTTGAGAAAGAAAGAGAAGCTGGAGCTACATCTGAATTGAATGCTTTACTTCAGGAAACTCGTAAAGACAAAGAAAAAGTGGAGGAAAGAGCAGTCCGCTTGCAGGAACAGTTAGCTCTTAGTCAAAGAGAGGTGACACGATACAAAGACCAGCTTCAACAGTTGCAAGAAGAAAATATGGTAGTTATTTGATTTTATTATTATTATTTTTTTTTACTTTTTAGTTGTGTTGATTAATTTTCTACCATTTTTCTATTGTTCAAACAAATGCTTTGATTCTGTATTATGTTCATACACATCAGAGAAAATCTGGTTATTTCAGAACATTTGAAATTAGCTTAAACAGGGTGCGTAGCATCTTTTAATGGTGCTTATATTTTTTATTTCAGGGTTTGTAAAAAGTGCTTAATTTTCTATCTTTTAAAAAGAGAATTTTTTTCTTAGCCATGTCAATTGTCGTCGTAAATTACAAAAAATGCGTGATTTACACAATTTTCTCTAGAAAATTGGAAAGTGATTAAAAATATTTTTTGAGTACTTAAAAGGTGCTTATTTTTTGTTAAAAAATCTGGCTACGCACCCTGTTTAAAGAGAGAGAGAGAGAGAAATCTCTGAGAAAATAAAATGGGTCAAAAACCTGTAAATGAATAAAAAATTTCAAGCTTCTTTTTCTTTTCAGAAATTTTTTTTATAAATGCCCTAAATAATTTTAAATTTTTAGAAGCAACCAGGTACAAAGCATGTATTGTTGCTTGTGGTAATAAAAGGAGTGGTAAGGATTATGTAAGGATGTATATTAACTTTTATACTTTCATGCTTTTAAAGTTTTATTGAATATGTTATGTGTACCAATGTTATGTGTTCAGGCAAATAAAATAATTATAATTGTGATTAATTGATAACAAAAAAAAATATTTTTTTACGATGGTATTTCTGTTTACCTGCTACAAAGTTTTTTTCTGATAAAAAAAAAACCTAGATTCTCCTGATACTTAAATTGCTACAATTTTTTTTTAAGTGAGTGGGACCTTTAATTGTGGCTTTGGAGAGATAGGGAATTTTTATCCAGCAATCAAACATGTACCCCTGTGTTAGTTTAAGTAAAATTATTAAATGGCTCTTAAATAAAAAATTTATCTTCACAAACATGGAAGAATAATTTAATTTTTTAAGCTATTAACATTACTCCTTGATGTGATGTACTCCCACGTGTTGTGTTTTGTCTAGTAATTTTTATGTCATTAATTTCACTTCAAATATAGCTTGAGGGAGAACATCCCATATTTGTGAGTGAAATTTTAAAATTCTTATTTTTCCTCTGTAATAAGAAATTTTTTATTGTCTTAGCTTTGCAATCAAGAGGTTAACTCTAATAAGGTAAGGAAAAAAATGACCCTTTTACATTTTTTTCAAACTGCCTACAGTTTGATAAATTCTAACTTTTTATCATTATTACCAGATGCATGCACATCCATCCATTTATAATAAACAATAAAGATTTATTAAAATTTGGGTATTTTGCTAAATGAAAATGTAACAAATTTTTTTAATGTAGTTCTTGAATAAGGATTTTACATAAACATAAGTAATTTAATATATTCTATCATAATGAATATTTTATAAGTGAAACACTTAAATGTTGATGAGTTATTTTTTTTTTTTTAAAAAATTAATATAATAGACTAAACGAGAATAAGATTATTTTTTATTCATTTAATAAAAACTTAAAACATAATTTAACTTATTATGCTGAATTAAACACATGGGTTTAAAATGCTAGTAAACACAGAGTTCTCCCTAGGAATAAAAAAGAGCAGGGCGCTTACTCGCAGAAAAAGGAACTTTGAGTTTTGAAAGGACACTTGCTTAACGCCATTAAGATTTATCAAAATATGTAATAACTGAAGTTAATCCTAAATTTTTAAATTACCTTTTTATACTATTTTATGTGTACATTTCACAAAGTAATTCTGATAATAACAGACAAAGCTTTTGAAAATAGTTAAAGACAAGCTAACAGCCAATCTCTTAATATAAATTTTCTTAAAAAAAAAAAATTTAAAACTTAAAATAAGGGATTAATTGATAAACAACTTTAAAGCTTTTTTTACATTTCAAACTGAAAGTTATGAGAAAATGAACTTTTAAAGGTGTATTTTTAAATAAAACGATATTTATTTAAAAAAAAATAATAATAATGGTAAAACTTAAAATCACCTCCCAAGTAAAGAATGTTAATATCTCTAGAACTGAATTTCATGCAAATTTCAGCTATATAACTAGACAACATAAGAAAAATCTTACTAAAATGAAGGAATGAAATTAAAAATTAAAGTTAAGTAATTATCCGTAACAAAATAAATCAGAAATAGACTCTCTCTAAAACAGGTGGTTAGGAAAATCTTTTCCTGAAGAAATAAAATAAAAAGGCAGAGATTTTAAGGAATAGCAGCTTATTTTTACAAAAAGGACAAGGAGGATGCATTTATAAGGATCAAAAGGCAGCCGGGCAGGCTGCCCTTCTAAAGACACTTAGGGAAAACACTGGTAAACATTTGAATTTCAAAAATGATAAGTCTTTAATTTTATAGAATTTATAGATTTTCTTTGTTTAAAGAATAGAAGTTGGTTATTATTAGACAGCCATATACTGTCCTGTAAATAAAACCATTTATCTAAAATAGTAATCAAGCTAAATAATCTGTTTACTTGAGTAGTTAACTTTACAGTTATTAATCCTCATTTTTCAATAATATTTTATAGATTTGCATACAATGCAGTGAATTTTAGAACACAGTGCAAAATGAAAAATAGAAAATATCAAAATCTGGAATTATGACAGTTCCCTTCGAAAAGCAGAAGAAATTATATTTTAGTAAAAATTTATGATTGCATTTACTAAATTATCTACCGAAATACAAATTAGGTAACATAGAACTTTTCTTTTTTAACGTTATGTAAAATTACTATGTAGGCAGACTTATCAAGCATTAATCTAGTCTTTTTTATTGTAAATAGTGTTAATAATATTTAGTGATAGTTTATAGTGTTAATAATATTTTAACAAAAAAGAGTGCTTTGAAATAATTTATGTTAAAATGTAAAATAGTATTTCACGTGATCTTATGCATTTTTAAAACTGTCCCTAAAGAAGTACTATGGACACAAATCGTGTTAATTTTGAATTTAAATAATCAATGCAATTGTTCAGTTCAGCTTTGTAATAATTTTCCTGACGTTTTGCGATTTTTTTTTTTTTTACTTGTTGTTTAATTTGTTTTTATTAATGACAGATAGGGAACCTCGATCGCGACAAATAACTGAAGAATAAGTACTTCTAATTAATTTATGTCAAAATGTGGAAGAATATTTAGTTAATTTGTTTTCGATTAATAACAGGTTGCCAAAAATAATGCTCATAAAGAAATAACAGATATGGAATATCGATTGCAACAAATAACAGCAGAGAAGGAGTTGTTATCCAAAGAAATGGAAACACTGCAAGATGCATTGCAACAGACAAAGCTAACCTCTCAGCATCACTTAGAAGATAAGAGACACTTGAAATCTACTGTGGGTGAACTTCAAAAAGCTGTTAATGAAACAGCTTCTCAACTTACACAGACTCAAAAAGAATTGGAAGAATTGAAGAAAAAACACAAAGAAGAGGTAACATTTATTTACTTCTAACAACTAGTTTATTAAAAGAAACTTTTTTAGTATAATCATCTCGGCCTTTTATTCAAGCTACAAATAGTTTAATTTTATTTAGTTTTCTCATTAATATCTATCTATCTATCTGTATGTATGTGTGTTTGTATATATATATATATATATATATATATATGGATNTACATACAAAGCTAAAGCGACATGAGTAGCGCAAAAACTTCTGTTACAATAAAATTTTTAAATGGTTTCATGTTATTCTGAATTATTTGTTAAATTTAACAAATAATGTTTTATAATTCTCCGAACTTAAGAAGGTAAATATATGCTTTCAAAATGTCATTTAAATTTTTAAACTAAATTTTAAAAAAAACTCTTGTGAGCAAGAAAATTTAGCTTATTAATGTGTTACAGGGTGCATAGCGTTTGTAAAAAGTACTTAAAGATGCTTTTTTTTGGGTATTTCGTTTTTAAAAACTTTTAAAGATGCATTTTTCAGCTGGCGTTTTTAAAAAGTGCTTTTTTTCCCTTCAGTGATATCTGGTGGATCCCATGCATTTCACGAAAAATGGGGTGTTTGCTACTTAATCATTCACGCGGACTTCGTGTCGTACCCACGTTATGCACGTTACTTGCACATGCACGCACACTTGAAACCGAAACCGGAGTGCTCCGATTCGGATGGAGAATGTCAGAGCCTTATGAAATGTTTTTCTTTTTAATTTATTTTAATTTTATTATTGTTTATTTTATTTTACTTCTAACACTTTTTCGACGTAAGGGGTACGGGTACTTTTGTTCTGAGTTCAGGGTCAAGTTGAATTCACTCGATGATGTGAGAAAGTACTGATTGTTTCGATTTACGTCTGTTTCTTTTTGGGGGTTTTTTTAACCCTAAAACTGTTTATAAAAAGTTTTTGTTTTTCAATGATATCACTGATTGAATATGAATTTTTTGAGTGCTTGAAAATTTTCGTAAAGTGCTTGAAAAGTTTTTAAAAAGTGCTTATTTTTGATTCAAAGATTTGGCTACGCACCCTGTGTTATAATTCAATGTAATAGTTAGTAATTGGAAGCATCCCACATACCAGATTAAGTATAATTTTTTAGAAAATATTTTAAAGATTGAGAATGACAAGTGTTAGAACAATGCTAGTCAGCAAAAGTGAGTAAAAAATAAAAGCAACTAGATTTAATAAAAATTCTTTTTTCTTTTGATGGTCATTATTTAGTGAAACTGTAATAAAACATAAAGAAATAGCTATAGTAAGTTACTCATGTTATTACAATATAGAAAAAAATATGTAGTTAAAAATATCTATAGTTAAAAATATGTAGAAAAATATGTAGTGAAAAAAATGTTCAAGCTAGCATGCTATAGATATGTCCTAGTTTTGCCCTCCTTTACATGTCTCAATCATAACGTGACAAAAAGTTTTACTATTTAAAATTTTCCTCTGTATTCTCTATGTCAACAGTTCCCAATTTTTTTTGGCTAAAGAACCCTAAATGATCAATCTTCTTTCAGCAAAACCCTAATTAAAATATATAAAGACAACTGTGAACGTTAATAATCAATAAAAGATGGTGTAATTTTTAAAATAAATAGGAAGAATGAAATATTTTAATAGTTTTATCATATTTTTCCTATTTTGTCTGTCTAGGTTTTCCTGAGTAAGGTATTTCATTACAATACTTTGATGTAAAGTAGTTGGCACTATTTTTGGCATTGAGATACTCTAAAATTATTTACTTTGTAGAAAAACATATTTCTTTATCAACAAATCTTATTATTTTATTTTAATTCGAAAAGCGCAAAGAGAATTATTAGTGCATGTCCTTATAAAAATATTTTCAATACAATATAATTAGAAAAAATAAGTTTTTTTTCCTTTTTAAAAATAATTTGTAACGACTCGCAAAATAGAAAGTAAATAATTTATTGTTCATTGGATCCTAATATAATTGCAAATTTTAAAACGTTAAAAAAACTGTTTAAAAAATGCCCTAAGTCTGCCGTGCCTTAAAGTTCTGCAGAACACCCTTTGAAAACTGTTGCTCTATATATCCCTTTTTTCAAAGGAAGTGATTTCACTTGTAACTGTATCTTACTTTTTAGAACTATTTTAAGTGCTGTATATTCTGTGACAACTTTGTTCAGTATTTATACTTCTTTTTATTGGTTATAGATTGAGGAATGGAACAGATTTCAGACTGATTTATTAACCACTGTAAGAGTTGCAAATGATTTTAGTAATGAAGCTCAGCAAGATGTTGAACGTCTAACTAATGAAAACAAACAGTTAAGTGAGAAAAATGCTAGTCTAGAAGCAGAAATCAAGTCTTTGAGAGTAAGTTAATTTGAATATTAATAGATTTTTTGAATGGATAAAATTACTTTCTCATAATAAATATCAGTGCTTATATCAATATTTAAAAAAAGAACCAGGAACTCAGTGAATTCTGAAAATGTGATCAAAACTTACAAAAATATCCACCAACCTTGGAAAATGTCTCGTTTATTTTGTGGCAGGAGTAAATAATTCAATTGTCTCTTGTGTAACTTACTGTTTGCTAGAAATTATTTACATTTGTTATTAGCTTTCCTGCATAACAGTTAAAGAATGCCTACATTTTGAATGCATAATAAATTGAAAACTCCATTGTCTTATATGATAACAGGTTGAAAATTTTCTGCATTACAGTTTTAGAATTCCCATGTTTTATATACATAACAGGTTGAGAATTGCTATATCTTATATATTTTCATAAAAGTTTTCAGGCAGGTCGTCAGGAATTTTTCATCTTCTGCAGGATTCATAGTTGCTTTCATACTCCTGCCTAAAAATACTCTGTACTCACTTGTCCTGATTTCTACCGACTTATGCTTCTTTTTTTTATTTATATTTTATTTATTTTTGTTTTGTTTTGGACATTCTATTTCAGTGAACATGGGAATTTTAAAAAAATCATTCAGGTTTTTAATTGAATCTTATATCTTAGCTTTTTTTTCTTTTAATCTTTGTATCAATGTATTCTTTAGTATGTAAATTATGTATGATTTAGTTTTGGAATTATTTATTGTTTCATGAAAATAACTAATAAATTTTATTTTAAACTTATTTTGATCTATCTTTCTATTAAGGAATCTATTTAAGTTGCAAAATTTCAGGTTTCAAGATTTCTCATTGTACATACGCTTGCCTGAAATCACCTTTTTTTAAAAATAAAAAAAGCAACATTTTTGACCAGCTTGTTTTGCCACTGCACAGGGAAAACCTGGCAAATACAGGGAATTTAAAAATCACTTAAAATAACTGGGAATTTTGAAGGGGTTTTTCAGCAATGAACTTACAAAAAAACACATTACGTACTGGTCTTAAACAAGAAGCGTTAAACGCAATTATGAACATCTACCTAAATGGAAAACCTCTTTCAGATTTCTGTGCAGAAACCTCTGTAAATCATTGGCTTGATTGTGGAACTGGCAAACGTCTTATTTGATTCATTTAAAAAATGCAGTACCCTCGGATAAATTGACATTCCAAATAACTTGACCTTTGTCATTTAAATTATTTCATAAAAGAAATACTAGGTTACTATTAGTAACCTAGTATTCGTAATCCTAGTAACTACTAATTCATTGCGCAATTTATATAAGTGTTTGTAATAAATAAGAGAAAATTATATTTTTATTTATTTAGAAGCTACGGGTTAGTTTCAAAGGAGGACGGGTACTTTGTTGGACAAGCCGTCCTCGGGGACGCCCTGATGTACATGGAATTTTTTCTTTTCCAGATTTGAGTGGCAACACTGTCTTAATTTTTTTTTTTTAATTCTGTGAAGTTTTTTTTTTTTTTTATTTTTATTATTATTATTATTTTNTAATATTTTTTTTTTTTTGAAGCAGTGGAGATTACATTATATATATTTTTTCCAGTTCTTTATTTCCCTTTTTAAAAGTAGTCTTCTAGTAGGTGCATATTGTATTAAAAAATTGTCCTGATTTTTATTTTGCATCACTGTGTGACTGTCTTCTGTCATTTTCAACATATTTAAAATTGTGACTGCACTGTATGTACATCTTTAATTATATTCTATAGTTAGAGAGTATTATTNATTATATATATATATATATATATATATATATATATATATATTCGTTTGCAAAAGCATTACACCCTGATAAGAACTTCTGCTTTCATTATCAGACGATTCCATTTAGTTTCAATTTTACTTCACCTTTTTCTTATGTATGTTACATATGCTTTTGTTTTTTTCTGCCTGCATGCTAGATATGTAAATATTTATTAACTTTGTGTCTTAAATTTTAGATAAAATCAGAGCCTCAATCTCCAACATTCTCCAAAACCAACTTAAAATTCAATGCTGATGTAAATGTTATATCCAATGTCGAAAAAGACCTTAATAACACTACACGCAGGCAATTGTCTTCTACCAAAAGAGCAGATAGAGGAGCTAATCAATTATCAGTTCGCTCACTTATTGAGTCTATAGAAAATGCTACAAAGCATGCAAAAGGACAAGGTGAAAAAAAAAATTTTTTTTTCTATATTATTGTTAAGTTAAATATTATTCAAATTGTATTAAAAAAAACTATTACAATGATTATACAGGTCCTAGTAGCAGTTGTAGTTCATCTTCCAGTAGCCTCAATAGTATAGCTTCTGAAACAAGATTAAATACTAATACCATTCTGATGAACAATAGTAATGATGTGTATATTACCGTAAGTACAAATACTTGTTTTGTTATTCAAATATAATTTATATCGTTCTAAAAAAATAGCTTAAAAAATACAATTTTTTTGTAAATAAAATCCTTTATTTATAGTATTATTAAATTCAAATGCTAAAAATATTATTAATACATACTAAATGCATTAATTAAAGTTTTTCTTTCACTACAAATTCATTTTAACTTTTGTATTTGAAGTATATTGCGATAAAAATGTCTACATCAAAGAAAGGCTCATAAAAATAAGTTATGCCTGTTGCAAGTTTTTTTTGGTCTAAAACTTATACTCATAAATGTAACAGTCCAGGGGCCAAGGCCTATTTTGCCCATCATACTTTTCTTGACCTTGGGCTTTTGGTTGTAGGATATGTTCTGGTTGGGTGGATAGCTGAATGCAGAACACTCAATGTTCAGACACCAAATATGCTTCGTAGCCATTTTATCAACCCACTGAAGCATTGAAATGTCGAGTCAACTTTTCCCAGTAGCGTAAGCACTAAAAGCTACCACTAGATTGATAAATATAATGTAAAAAATTAAAGGAATTTGGAAAATTTCTAGCTATTTCATTTTGAGGGAAAAATTAGCTATTTTAATTAGGAGGAAAAAAATAGCTTTCTGGTACTATATGTTAAATTTAATTTGTTAAATTTAAACTATTGTATTAATACTTATTGCTAAACAATTGTATTGGTCATTTTTCGTTCTTTCCTTTTTGTCCAAATTTTTTAGTGTCCTGGCTGAAATCCTATCCCTGATTTCAATTAATATTATGAATATTTCTTTTAAGTAGTATTTTTGAAATTCTATTCTGCAGTTTGTAATGGTCTCATATAAATTATGAATAATATTTTGCATTATTTTTTTTAATGTAACTAGAAAGTATTAATTTTTTTAACTTTATCCACAATTTTTCTTTTTAATGTTTCTTAACCCCTTCCTTCTCACTCACATAAAAGTGACGGGGTGAGGTTTCGCCCGCTATTTCTCGCTCCCGTGAAATTTCCGGGGTGGATTGTTCAGTAGTAACGCGTCAATAAGAATAAAACTAATTTGTTTCTTTTTCCTGGAAAACATTTTATTTCTCATTTTAAACACCAGGCAGCAGCACCAGGATATTTGTAAGTTAATTGTAGATTGTTAGTTTATTTTAAATTAGATGGCATCACTAATCAAATAAGTGTATTAAAAAATAGGCACTTTTGTGACCGTTTTCTGGAAAATTAACGGATCGTTAAGGGGTTAAGGAAAATATTTAATTTCAATTTTATTTTCATTTCTTCACTGATCTCCCATGTGTTTTTTTTATCTAAATAAAATAGGATTAATTTTTTATTGATAATTGTTACATTTTCAATTCCAATTTAATTGATATCAATGCACTTTTTTAATTTGTGTTATGTAATTATTAATGATTTCGCATTCTTATTTAAATATAATTATGTTCCTTGCAGAGATGTTACATTTTTCCAGATTTTTGATGTATTTAACATATTTATTTAACTTTTCAGCCAAGTATTCGCTCTTCTGCTGATTCTCTCCCCAAAGATGTTAAAACAGCATCTCAGAGTACACGGCCATCTAAAAAAACGACTAATGAAAATCTTAACCATATAGCTATAAACAATGGTACCTTATCTGGAGAACAGCATTCGCTTTCTAACAGAGGAGATGGGGACTCTTTAAAACCTCTGCCTGCTCATCCAGTATCTATTCTATCCAGCAAGCTAGATCCCATACGGAGGAATAGCTATGGGTAAATTTTAATATTTTATTTAAAATTAGTTTGCATGATAAAGGTATTTTAATTCATATTTATTTAGTTGTTCCAAATGAACTCAAAAGAGTTTATTGAACCTAATATATATTATAAAATGTAATTAGCAAAGGTGTGTGTATTTAAAAAAAAAGAAAAAATTTTAAATATTAGATATTTAGATCAGAAATGAACAGTATATTGCCATTATGAACTCAGTTATATTAATCGAATTTATTTTCTTGGGGCAATTTTTTAAACTCTTTTAAAAAAATGGAAGTTTTATTGATTTATTTTAAATGTACTATTTATTTAAATAAACTAAAATTGTTCTATTTATACTATAGAGACATTGTTGAAAAAAAGGATCCATTATCTTCTCTTGTAAAAGGTGGAGGTTCTAAGAGAAATGCTTTGTTGAAATGGTGTCAAAATAAAACATTGGGATATAAGGTATGTATATTGTCTGAGTAGAATATTTTAAATGTTTTTTACTAGTACAGCACAATCCAAAAGTTGTGTAATTCATGGTATAAACAAATATTGATGTTCCTAGAAATACTTATTCTTTGTTTCTATATTGTTCAGTTTATTGAAAGCAATTTATCAATTGAGAAATAGTTGTCTTTTCTGCTCCCGAATATTCAGTTATACATTTTTAAATGCTGTAATTTATATAAAATATTTCATTGTGTAATAATGCTAAACCCTAAAAATTAATTAAAAAAATAACATTTATTTTCATTTCGTTGAAGTCTTTTTAAAAAATAATGTGTTTTTGTTATTCATGTCAGCTCATGTACAAATTTTTAAGCTTTGTGAAAGTGCATTCACTCTATAAGAAGTAGATTATTTAATATTATACAACAACTCTAAATGTTGTCATAAATGTCGTTCTATGTTAAATGTTACTTATAAAAGGCTTGTATTTAAAAATTTATGAAGCATCTTTTATGTAAAGTTTTATTCAATCAAATAACAAATCTAAATAGTCAAATAATTTAGTCTGGCACTGTATTTCTGATTACCATGATATAGCTTATAAGTTTAATAAATTTTTAATTTTTCTCTTAATACTTTAAGTTTTAAAAATAATTAGTGAGGAGTATTGTAATAATACTTTTCTTTAACTCTATTGGGTTAAGCTTCTTTTTTGCTGCTGTTGTATGCAATTACAGGGTGGCCACTCTAATCGGGTTTCAAATTTCCCGGGTAAAAATCTTAAAATTTCCAGTTCATGTTTTTTTTTCTCATTAAGTGTAGGATGAGTACAAGAACAGGGTGCGTAGCGTTTGTAAAAAGTACTTAAAGGTGCTTTTTTGGAGATTTCGTTTTTAAAAGCTTTTAAAGGTTTCTTTTTCAGCTTGCGTTTTTAAAAAGTGCTATTTTTCCGAATAATTTTTTTCCCCCTTCAGTGATGTCTGGTGGATCCCATGCATTTCACGAAAAATGGGGAGTTTGCTACGTAATCATTAACGCGGACTTCATGTCGTACCCACGTTATGACTTGCGCATGCGCGCACACTTGTAACCAAAACCCGAGTGCTCCAATTCAGATAGAGAATATCAGATCCTTATGAAATGTTTTCTTTTTTCATTTATTTTAATTTTATTCTTGTTTATTTTATTTTACTTCTAACACCTTTTTTGACGTAGGGGGTAAGGGTACTTTTGTTCTGAGTTCAGTGGGTGATGTGGGAAACACTCGGTGATGTGGGAAAGTCANTCTGATTACCATGATATATCTTATAAGTTTAATAAATTTTTAATTTTTCTCTTAATACTTTAAGTTTTAAAAATAATTAGTGAGGAGTATTGTAATAATACTCTTCTTTAACTCTATTGTGTTAAGCTTCTTTTTTGCTGCTGTTGTATGCAATTACAGGGTGGCCACTCAAATCGGGTTTCAAATTTCCCTGGTAAAAATCTTAAAATTTCCAGTTCATGTTTTTTTTTTCTCATTAAGTGTAGGACGAGTACAAGAAAAATATCAATATTATAAAGTATTTTATTTAAAATGTTATTTTACCATCTTTGGTTCAGGGGAGAGAGCACTAGCCTCCCAATCAGGTGATCCTGGTTCGGATCTCAGCCATGGCTGGTCGAAACGAATTCTGTGCATAGCTCGCACCAACCACAGTGCTGACGTAAAATATCTTTAGTGGTAGATGGATAATGAATTAGAACCTGCTTGTCGTCAGGCTAACCTTTGGAGAATTTTGTGCCTTTCTTCCCCATGTAAAGCAAATACGAGTTAGTTACATCAAAAAAGTCCTGTGCGAAGGAAAATAGTGGATCCCCACCCATGTGAACCTTGAGTTCTATGAAATAGCTGATTCCTTGGCTAAAAATGCCAGAGATCTCAATCAAAATACAATCCCAACTACACTGGCAGATGCAAATGCTTTTGCAAAGTCAAGACTATTCCCCCCCTTAAAAATCAAGGCCACGATCAAATAACTAATCTTGACATCAACAGAAAGACAGCCACCATTCTCATCAGACTAAAAACAAAACATCATAAAAACACGAAAATCTCTACAGATGAGATGGGACTAAAAAATATCAAAACTGTGGCAACTGCCTTAATGTGGAACTCACACCATATCATGTTTTTGACTGCCCTGCAGTCGCTGCAGGCCTTCACCCCTTAAACTACCCTACAGAAGATTTTTATTCATTTAATGCCATAGAGATAGCTAAGACTATTAAAGCACACCATGAGATATGACTACACCAACCAACGAAGGAAATTTTCTCCCAATACTTGATCCAAGAGTTCCCTTACGTTCATAACTACAAGTCTACCAAGTTGAACATTAGTAGTGGTAAACTCAAAAATTGGGACAGCTGTTCAGTGACGGCTATAAAATAAAATAAATTATCGTGAAAAAATTAGACTAAATTTATTTTTTATTTTTAATGTTTTGGTGCAACATTAATTTTTAACAAATTAAGATGGATATGAAGAGGAAATATGTTTAGCTTGTAGAATATATTGTTTTTATTAAATAAAAAATGTTTCAATGTGTTACTTTAAGTAGTTTTTTTACATAGTGTACCAAATGGCAAATATAGGGTGACCAAAAAAAACTTGGACCTCATTGAGCAAATGGGATAATTCCAGGCGATTATACATCAATATATTTTTTAATATTTATTTACATTTCATTATAAAGTCATTTTATTCTGAATTCTAAAACTAAGTCTAAACAGTCCTCTTTATAAAATTTATTAATCATATTTTTTTTTTCTAAATTCAAATACTTAAAATAATCTTTGTTTTGAATTAGCAGCAATTCAGTATTCAAAAATGTTACATATGCAAAATTGTCAAATTTCTTGGATTTCACATTCATGGATTGTTGAACAATCGATTCGATAACTTATGACCTATATTTTTTTTACGTGTGCATTTCCTTTCTTAGAATAAAGCAAGAGAAGATTAATTTTAATCTTATTAATTGTTTATGATTATGTAATTGGTACTATGATTTTGATATAAGTTTTAGGTTTCTTTATTCCTTATTTAAAGCAAATATAAGACTAGAGAAATATTCTTTTACAGGGAATTGATATTACAAACTTCAGTAGTAGCTGGAATGATGGATTGGCATTTTGCGCTATAATGCATTCATATTTACCTAATATGGTTCCATATGATGAACTTGACAGCAGAGATAAGGTATAAGTTTTAGTGTTTTCTTTTCTTTAAATGCATATTGCTGAGTTTAATGGAACTCTTTTGAAACATTTTGACTTATTAATTTTGTTCAATTTACAGAGAAGAAATTTCACTTTAGCTTTTCAAGCTGCTGAATCAGTTGGAATAACAACTACTTTAGTGAGTAAATTTAAAAAAATCTTGAACTTTACAACAATTTGTGTTTTGTAGATTTATTATGATTGTGTTTATCTCTGTTTTATAAAAATAAATGATGCTATCCCCAGAATGAACTATAATACTTTAGATATCCATTAGACCATGGGGGAAAAAAGCAACCAAACCATTTATAAAAAATAAAAACTCAGTTGTAAAACTTTAATTTTGTGAGTGTATTCCTTTCTCCGTAGTCTAATTCAAATGTAAAAAATAAAAAAATTATAATTTGAATGCCACTCTGAAATAATTTCAGGTTACTAGTGTTGATTTTTTATATCTTTATAGTAAATATTAAAAAAGAATTATATCATTACAAAATGCTGATGAAATATGATTGAATTTAAAATTTTCATGGTTTGTTTTAATGCTTTTTTTAACCCTCTAATTAGTAAGCTAAGTGGCACACAGGTTTTTTCTTGTTAGATGCTACTTTCACTAAAAATAATATGGGGTTAGAAAGGTTTTTATCTATTTAAAAAGAAATATAAATCTCTCTAAAAATTACTCAATTCAAACATGCCAATAAGTTTTAAATTCTTCAACTATCATTATTTGTTAGTTTATTTATGTGCTGTAATAATTTTAAAACAAAAATCATTGAATTTTACTGTTTCTAACAGTACTTATAGTTTTTAATAGCCCTTTGTTTTTTTGGAAACAAAGGACTATTAACCAGAGATGATTGTGCTCTGGGAAAAATCCATATTTCTAGATTTTTTGCTAACTGCGATCCCGAAATTTCCGGAAATCCAAAGTCCTGAAATTTACAGAAATCATCTATCACATTGATGTATAATGCTTGTATATTTTATTTAAAAATATTAGACTAGAATTTATATTTGGCATCTCTTTCATTTGTAAATATTTTTTCTGGTAGATAATAAATGTGATTAGAGATAAAAGTAAACTAAATACATAATTATGAATTTAAATTATGCTGCATATAATTTATATAGAATTTTACGTTGGGAAAATATCAATGATTTAAATTTATAAAGACATTAATTTTTTGAAATGCGTCATTAATGATTTTACTCAGAATTTTTAATTGGGCTCACAATCACACCTGATTAACAAGCATTTTCAATTCATAATTTATATTAAACCATACAATTTTTTTTCTCTTAACTAAGTTGAAAATATTTCTTAATGTCTAAATATTGTTAATTTTTTAACATTGAAGGATTTTATTGGAAAAATTTTTTTAAATAATAAAATTTTAGTTGTTTTTAAAAAAAAAATTTCTTTTTTTTTTTTTTACATGAAAATGGTTTTATTGAAACGCTAAAGAATCAGTTAAAGTTCTTCATTCAAAATTTCACACAACATCCCTCATCAAAACATCGATTTATAAGATATTCATTTTTAACCATCAATATTACTATAAATTAGTGATAGGTCAGTGGTTAAAGCAATACTGAGCTGTGAATCTGAAAAACTGGAGTCTGATGGTTAAAGCCAAACCAGCTTCGGATCAAGAAGCATCAGTTTGCCTGCGTCTGGGAAGTAAATATTGGTAGTATACAATACCACCATCATGCTTGTTGATCAAGAGATAGTGAATCCTTAACCTTCATGATGCCCCTGGCCTATAATAGGTTATATAATGAATGCTTTATTGCTGTACATTAAATATTACTTGAAATTAAAAAAATTGATCAAAATATGGAAAATTTTTACAGACAATTTATTAGATTCAATTAGTAGAGAAATTTTGTCCTGTAGATAAATTAAAACAAAATTGCATGTTTTCTTTCAGAATATCAATGACTTGATTTCACAAGAACGACCAGATTGGCAATCCATAATGACATATGTCACACAAATTTACAAACATTTTGAAACATGAGATATCTTTTTTCTTCACAAGTGTTAAGTGTATGTGCATACAGTGACTGGCTTCTGTGAATGGATTTCTACTTGTCTGCCAATGTTCTAGTCAAAATATGTGTCCTAAATATGGAACTATTTGCAAGGGTGCATACAGCTAGAATGCCAAAACTTTGAAGAAATTGATTTAATATTGATTGAACTTTTCTAATGATGTTTGTGATAAAAAAAAACAAGAGTTTTATATTTTTGATTCCCTTCTGAAGGAGGTCTAATTTTTGAAACAAAACTTATTGCTATTTATATTACATTTATTAGCTTTCAAAATGAGAGCAATATCTGTGATTATAAGTATGTGTTCATACGGTAAAGATATATTTTTTTTAATAATTTTGAATTGAAGTCTTGTTATAAACAAGATATGTTTATACAAGTTGTAATTGATTTTTTATCTTAGGTTTTTAATAGTAATTCTTTTCTCATTTTGGCAGAAAGTGCATGTATATATGTAAGTTTAAAAGAGGTATAAAATTTGTGTGATTTTTTGCATTTAAAATATGTGAACAGTTGCAGTATAATTGCTTAAAAACTGCAAAAGACGGCAAATATACCCAATTAAATTGATTAAAAATCAAAGATTCACTTAAATAGTTACTGCTCTTATAAATCAGTGATCTATTCCAAAGTTTTTTTTTACATATGTTAAAAACGTTTTAATTTAACTTAAAATATTCAGTTTCTTAAAAATACATCTAAAATCTTATATTTGTAAAACTGGTAAAAATAAATTAAAAACATATATGCAATGGTCATTAAATTGCATTTATGTGGGCTCAGTATAGGACTCTTTTAAATATGTTTTTAATTTTGGTTGCATTTTTATCATTCATTTAATTTTTTATTTATCATAATCTTGAGATTTTAATCACCTGGTAAGTTTCGTTGCTTACTATTTTAAATTTATATCTGAGTTACGTGCATGCAATCAATGTGCACATAATGAAAATATTTTGAAATGATAATTTTGCATGTTCTAACGTTAATTAAAAACTCAAGCACAAATTCTTTTTTAAAAAAAATTTATCATGATTGGAAATTATTCCACTAATTAAGCCTACATAATAACAAAAGGTTGATATTAATACATAATAACCTTTGACAGTTTTTATGTATTTTCCAATTAATTTTTCTCAAATTGCCACAAGTTAGTAGAAAATATGTCTCCATTTAAAAAATCAAATTAATAATACACATTGACTTCAAAGTTGTCGGTAATGATTTAGCTATTTATTTTTTGTGAAAATAAAATGCTTTAACTGAATGTAACGATTCAGTGCTGGTCACACTAGCTCATCAAATCACTGTTTTTATAAAAATATATTGCAAGTTGTTAGCTTTTTGTAAATTTTTGTTATTGTGTATATACTTATAAGTATGCAATCATCAATCCCAGTGCTTTGTTTTACCATGCAAATATGTAATATATTGAATGTTCATTGCAATGTTTATTTTCTATAACTATTACCATGATAACTGGAGCTGATCATATTCTTAAACTTTTTGCATTATTTGACTCTTTTTAAAGCATAATTACGAAATGTAGAATTTTCCAATTTCATTAAATACACAAATAAACTTAATTATATGTTAATTTAAATATTCATTTGATTAAGTTAACTTATGTATAACTATTTATTAGTTTATTTTTATTTGCATAATTAAAGAGAATCACATGTCTGTAGTATTTTAAATCAGTATTAATATTCTTTATCCATATTAATTCAGATATTCACCATTTCGTTCCTATTTATTTCATGTACATAGGTGAATATATTATTTATCTTTAGTGTCTGTTTAATGAAAGCTTGTAGCTCTGTGTTATTTTCAAATTTTGATATGCAATAAATGTCATAATGTTAGCTTTGTTTGATAAATATCCTTTATTTTCCCACTGTTGGGAAGCCTTGAAAAATGAGACTTAGTACATAAAGTTAAATCACTAAAATTTATTTATAATTGTAAGTAAGAAAATTTTACAATCTGTTTTTTTCTCTTCATAAAGAGGGTAAATTTTATTTAAATTTCAATATACAAATATTAATAACCAATCAGCATAAGAGAAACTGTTTCATCAGAATATTGAACTTCTTTACATAAACCCATAGCAAAGCATATAGAAGCAGCCAACTTGTGTTTACACTACATTATTTAAAAGAAACATAACATTAACTACAGAGTATTTCAAAAATTAATCAATTTTCTGAGCATTGAACACTTCAGCTAGTTTGAATAAAATTCTTGCCCTGCCTGCTGTAACAAATCTTCTAGAACAAATATGGAATGTACCCAAATCGTTTTACAGGAAAGCAAAACAGTTTTAAAAATAAACTAGATTAATTGTTCAGAAGGTTAATATGTCGAAAAGAGATGTAATAAAATTAATTTTGACTATAGCAATCCTTTAAAATTACATTTCTAAAAAAAGCAAATTGAAAATAATATGCAAACTGTTATTTCTATTACGAAATAAAATATCTATCACCAAATGCCCTGACTTATATTGATGTTAAAATTTAAAGATTTTTATAATAATCACTCAACAAGTTCATGAATTTAATTTCATTAAATACCTTTATACTTTAGTATAACTAGGCAAAATTATTGTCGTGATATTTTTTTATCTCTTTGAACAATATAATTTAATTACTATTCAATAATAAGTGAATACCATAAAAATGACTTATGTAAAAAAAGTCATATTAATGGGTTTTAATTGTGCATTTAGGATGTGTAGCATCTTAGATGCACTCTAAAATGCATTTGTTGGTAGGGAAATATTGATGCATTATGAACAATGAGATAGAAATTAATAACTTTGTATCACTTTAACTCTCTAAAAAACTATTTTTTATATGTAACATAAAGTTAATTTTGCATTTTCTTTACATATAAGGATTTTTTATAGATAAAATACTTTAAATTACTCCCAGAAAAAAAAATTATGAATGGGAAAAGTTAAAATAATTCATTCTCAAGCATTTAAAGACTCCACAACATCATCTGTATCAGATTTAATAACGCTAGCAGTAATCTTTCAGATCAATAGATTCTTCCTCATCCCACCAAGAATCGTTTTCACCCCATCCGAGGAATATGACATTCCACACTTTTAAAAGGTATAACATTTGAAACCACAATTTGTCATGCGTCTAGTATCATATCTAATGCATTTGTATTTGAGGACGAATGTATCTTAATATCTAGAAAGAATGTAAAAAAATCTTGGGCTTGAGAAAAGTTTGTAAACTTAAATAATATATATATATATTTAGAATTTTTTTATTTTCATTGGTTGACTTATACACAGGAATATATGGTGATTACACCTATTACAAAGCATTTATTATTAAGTAGGTCACTAAAATTAAAAAAATTCCCTGAAGACAACATCTTGTCAACAAAGAGTACTGTAAGATTGAAACCTGTCGACCTTTCTTTCATTTCAACTATGAAGCAACGTAAAAAATAATTATATATTTTTAAATATAACAAATCTGTTTCACATGCTCAACCCAGAAAATATTTCGCATGCGAGAAGTTTTTCATAACTTTTTCTATTTGTTTATGTGCATCCCTTATAGCCAGAAAAGAAAAAAAACTATTTCTCATGGGAATAAAGAGTGAACTAAGAATATTCGGCTCATTAAGAAAATTCATATTCAAAAATTTGATTGATTGCAAAAGGAACTATGCAGCTGAAGTTGTCTTAACTTTCCAGTGCGCTTGTCTGTGCAAATCTTATGACAAATTCAGTTTTTAATGCACTTTTTTTGCATATCACAATTTTAATGTCTAAAGGTCATTTCTATTTCTCGTTTCAACCCTTCCACACATCATGAAATATGCCAACAGGAAGTCAGCAGCAATTTTTAATTCAGATTTTGTGCTATTCTTTTCTTGTTCATAAAATTCGAAAAATAATCCTTTCTCATTTTTTCGTAATTTTTTGTTAATAATTGACATTATTTTAATTTGTATAATGTCGAATCTATAATATTTATCTCAATTTTCATGGCAAAAAAATATATACAATCGCGTGATTTTTCCCGCATTCTTCGAGAATTGTCCAATGAAGAAAAAGGAAAACATTTAGATTTCAGATTGATAGAGATTTGAGTGACAAACATATAGAAATAGAGAATCTAAACAATATATTTCGGACACTGATGATAATGATTCTGGGGAAAGATATGATCAGGGGTGATTGTGAGCCCAAGTCAAAATTCCGGGAAATTTCTTGAGTAAAAAAAAAAAATTTACAAAAAGTTTAAATCAAAAAATTATAAAAAAATTTAAACAAGGTTTTTTTTTTCCTTTTTCTCACTCTTTCTTAGTTTACTTAAAATATATTTAAAATTTTACACATACCTATGATGACCTGGAAAAGTAATTGAAATTTACAAATATGTCTTTCTTTCTTGATTTTATGATTAAAATAACTATTTACTGATAAAAAATGAATATTGATCTAGAATATTAGCTTATCTGGCTCTCCCTTACAAACAAATAAAATAAACTGTGTTTTTAAGTTCCACCTTTGAAAATTTGATTTCCAGAAACTTTTGTGATCAATGATTTTTTGAAGCGTCTGAACCTTCGATCTCCGGAAACTTCCGGATCACGGTTATTGAAAATTTCGGAAATACGGATCACAATCAGCCCCGTACTATTCCAACTGAAATATTTCTACCAATTTTGTCATTAGATTGCACCTTATTACTACTGCAAATGGTGGTAATTTTTAAAACATTATTTTTCTAGACTTTTTTAAGCAGCGACATCTGTTTACAAACTTTGTAACTAATTGTGAAACTTGNATTAAACACTTTTTAAAAACACCCAATAAAAAAAAAGGGCCCAGGGGTAATTGTGAGCCCAAGTCAAAATTCCGGAAAATTTCTTGAGTAAAAAAAAAAAATTAACAAAAAGTTTAAATCAAAAAATTAGAAAAAAATTTAAACAAGGTTTTTTTCCTTTTTCTCAATCTTTCTTAGTTTACTTAAAATATATTTAAAATTTTACACATACCTATGATGACCTGGAGAAGTAATTGAAATTTACAAATATGTCTTTCTTTCTTGAGTTTATGATTATTATAACTATTTACTGATAAAAAATGAATATTAATCTAGAACATTAGCTTATCTGGCTCCCCCTTACAAACAAATAAAATAAACTGTGTTTTTAAGTTCCACCTTTGAAAATTTGATTTCCGGAAACTTTCGGATCACGGTTAGCGAAAAATCCGGATTTTTTCCGGAGATCAGCCCTGTATGATGGCATGTTCCATGTTGGCATTCGATTATCGAAATTATTTACATGGAATGCAGTGTGAATTTCGAACATTGAAAAATCTCTTTCGAATTACATTTTTTTATTATTACTCTTCTGTTTAGTTGCTAGTCTTTTATTTCCCTTATTTTTAATTTTTTATCAACAAATAAAAATATTAAAGTTAGTTTAAAATTAGTTTATGTAACTAGTTATTTATTTTCTTGACTTGTTTCATAAAAGTAAAATTCCTTGCAGAAGTAAGTAATGTTAAACTTACATTTATCTACCAAGGTTTCCTATTTTACTTATTTATATTTCCCTATGATAAATATTAAAACTATTTTGAATTTTAAAATAGAGTTATTAACTAATAAATTTCAAATTATTTATAATAAAATATAACATTTCTTCTCTACCTCACTAATATAAGCATTAAAAAAACATTTTACTTTCATTTGAATGCAACATCATTTCTTTTTATAACAAGATTAATTTTTTATATCTTGCCAAATTTATAACCAATATTCATTCATTTCTATCGCTTCCCGTGCCAAAAATTGTAAAATAACGGCTATCGCAAAAAGACGTGAGCACATGTTAAATTGCTGAACATGCGTGCTTGAAGATTAATTACAGAAGAAGTGTTAAAATATGTGAACACTGCTTTGCTAACTTTATGAAAAAAGTATTTGTTGTAATATTCCAGTTTCAAAACTAAGCAGTGTATTTACCTCCTAAAAAAGTGATTGTAACTATTCTTGCCCGCTTTCGAAGTGGTCACCTTAAATCAGTGTTTCCCAAAGTGTGGTACACGTACCCCCAGGGGTACGGGAACTGTTTAGCGGGGGTATGCGTTCTTATGCGAAATATCTTACAACAAACGAAAATTTCAACAAAATTTTATTTAAAAACAAAGCTAGCCATGAAAATTTAAGATTACGTATTTTTCTACTGGCTTCTTTTGAAGAGTTAACAATTAATAATTAGTGGTGTCAACAGCCAGTGGTGATTTTTAACTTTTGTGCAATTTTTTTATAGAAAAAAATACATTAATTTTTTTTATTAGTGGTACACAACCTTACGAAAAATTTAGAAAGGGTACACAAAAGTCATAAGTTTGGGAAACACTGCCTTAAATTAATGAAATTTTCGGAAGAATCCAAGAACTCAGAAATTTGTACAAGCTGTTCTTCAGACCAGGCTTCGCCTCACCACATCCTCGCGTGCCTGGGGCTCAGCAAACAGGATTTAGCAGATGATCCATTGACGGTGTTGGATTTTTTGAGGGTGTATAACGTCATGAACCTAGTCTAGCACTGCTGGCCAATGGGGGCGTACAACAACACAACAGAAGTGTTGTAACATTTTTCTTATCAATGTAAATAGCGATACCAAAATATAATATAAAGTATACCAATACTTTTTAATTGCCGAACTCGAAAATTCAATATTAACGGTTCACCCTCTTATTAATTTGTAGAGATATTTTAAGAAATGACTCTCATTATATGAAAGGTAGCCTCAATTGGAAAATATAGTCCAAATAGATAATTCAGAATAATGTTCAAAAGTCTGAACCCTTTGTGCATTTTTTTAATGTTATAATAGCTGCAAAAAGAAATACTGTTTTAAAAGAAGTATGAAAGCTGTGTTCAAATTATTTTATCACCCAACCATATAATTGTCTTGGGATGGATGTGAACGTAACAACAGTGTGACATTTAACTGTAAACCAAATAAATGACAACTTAAGATTATTATTCACAATCATTAACTGATTCAGCGTTATCTGATCCAGCGTGAACGGAATATGCCCAGTCATATAATCATGTTATTGAGAGAGGAAAAATAGTAAGGACTTAAAAGCGTTTTAGAATTAACTAATAGTTCATTCTTTTAAAGAAGGTGCAATCGGTTAAAGGCCATTAGAAATGTAAATAAATGATTGAAGATAATTAAAAAAGTGAATAAAGAAAATATTGTTACCATAAACTGATCCTTTTTCACAACTGTGTTAAAAATACAAAAAGAAAATTACAGGTTAGAATGAATAAATACATAAAAAATAAAAGCATGCAATTTAAAGTAATAATGCTTACCATTATAGATGAAGGATGGGCAAGTGCAATAATTGCTGTCTTTCAAGCAAACATGGAATTCAGTAACATTTCTTTGAACTTGGAAAAGCTCTCTACCACTTGGAGAAGTAATATGGGAAATACATTTTTTATCAATGAGATCTAATGCTTGAGCAGCAGTAAATCCAAATAAAAAAGACAACCTAAAATAAAAAATAACAACTTAGCCCTTGAAACGAAAGGTTTATCATATTTATAAAAGCTAATGCATAGCTCTTTAATTTAAGAAAATTTTTACAAATATTTTAATGAGCAGCGTTTTTTCATTGAATAGCAGTGAAGACCTGGAACATATTTAACCTCAAACATATAGTATGCTTTTGAAAACTTGTTAGAGAAGCTGCAAGAAATGTTGAAAAGGCGCCAACTGATCCATTCTCTTTCTAACAGCTGCAGTTACAGTTATAAAAGATGTGTTTAAGTATAACAGTAAAACAGGCTATAAGTTTATATATGGAAAATTGTAAAATTAGTTTTTCTATCTCAAAAATTGTGCAATATAGGAGACAAAAAATTACAAATTTGTAGAACTTAATTGACACCCTGAGGATATTAGTGCTAAGAAAAGAGAGTTTCAAACCTACATTTGCTTGTACATGACTCTCATTCCATTAAAATTTTTTAACTTGATTATTTTATACTTTAAGTGACTCAAAATTCAAATAAGTGCAATAATCTTAGAATGCATATTTATGAATTTGGAAACATTCAATAGAATAAACTTTTAAGGCTATTATTATTAAAGTCATAACTAAAAATGAAAGCTAGTAAATTAAAATTTTAATTATAAATTTTGGTGCTCATTTCAAGGACTGTAAAAAAAATCACCAAGCCATTATGGATGCCTTAATTGTTGAATGAAGTACTTTAGCAATATATCTTTTACAGTCTCTGGAAACAGAATAATAACCACATTTTCCACTGAGAAAAGATAGAAAGAAAACAATGGTACTTTTACATTTTAATCAAATGAACATTAAAAAAAAATTCTAGGCATCAAAGACTTGAAAACTATTTATATACTTACATTGATAAAGATTTTTCAGAAACTGAAAGAAAAAACAAAAACAAACTTTGAGCAAAATATAACATAAAATATAAATTGTTACAATTTGAAAGAAAGAAAAATACATATATATAAGGTAGAAAAAACAAGGAAAGAAAAAAAAAATTTAAAAATAACTTTTACTTAAAAAAAAACAGAAAATAAAACAGTGAAAAAATATTGCTTTGTTGTCCGCTAATACAATTATAATCCGCAAGATAGCGCTTTTTAATATTGTTTTAATACAGCCAAAGCAAAATATATCAATAAAATAGTTTGGGAGGCACTAAAAAAAATAAGAAATTGATTTGAAAATAAAGCATATGAAGAAAAAAGAATTCAAGAAAGATACAAAAATACAATAAAAATAAAAAATGAAACAAACAGGACATCAATGTTTTTTTTTAACCATTATTGATAACAGAACAAACATCCAAGTGACACAAAATCAAAGTGCTCCGAAATAAAAATTAGGGAAGATCTCACAAAACTGTCCAGATAAAATGTTACGTCTCATGAAAAAGGGAAACCTGAAGAAATGTGTGCATCAGGTTTCTTTTATGGACCAATTGATCAATGTGTGCATCAATTGGTCCATAAAAGAAGTTGAGGGAAAAAACTTTATTCTCACAGTTAATAAAGGGATAACTATAAAATGATAATTCATACGTACTTGAGATCTAAATATAGAAGAAGAGTTAAGTGTGAGAAAATCTTTACTTTTAAACAATAAATTAAGAAGAATTTTGATTAAGTAATAACGTAAAAAGAATAGTTGAAACTTTTTATGTTACCCTCCCCAAAAATTTTAGCTACAATCTAAAAAAATTTTTTTAAAAATTATCTATTTGTAATACTTTCCCTATGTTACATGAAAAGATGCTAGACACATTTAACACAAGAAAAAATATTGTAATCTTAACATACAATCAATATATAAAAGTAATATGGATTATAAAAAACACTCTTTTGTAAACATGATAAAAATTTAACGCTATGATTTGGTAAAAAAGGTAGTTTGGTACCCTAACTCAAAACTATTTTTCTATGTTAGAAAAAAGTATTGAAAGGGGATAAATTTATAGAAATGAAAATCAGACATTAACTATAAGGAGTAGGGTATCAAAAATTTAAATAGTTTAATTTTATATACAACACTCTCGAACCATAGTTTGGGTAAAAAAAAAATTTAGTTTTAAGCTATTTTAGTAAACATAATTAATGTATATTCTAACAATATACATTATTAAAATAACTGTATTTACTTTTTTGGTGTTCACTGAAATCAGCAGCAATATTTTCAATCACAAAGTTAAATGTTTCAGTTACAGCTACAGTCATCATTTCCTCCCTAAAATATAATTCAAAAAATTAAAAAGCTAAAAAATATAAACCAGAAATAGTTATGCATAAAATAAATGTAATTATATTAGGATTTAATTTAACATGTTAATTGTCCATTTTTTTGTGTACAATCAGACTACAATTGGAGTGTAACTAGATTCTCCCCCATCATTACTTCTTTTTCACATAAATTTTTTTTCTTGCTTTCAAGCTAACTTTACACATTCATAAGCTTTACTCATCTTTTTTCCACACGAATTTGAAGGAAGTTTCTAATGTACAGATGCCCTCAGAAATTTATATCTTTTCTTTAAAAAATTTAAAGCAAAAATATAGATATAGCTTAAAATTTAAGAACACGCTTTTGAAGTTTCGATAGAGAATACCATTTATGTCAAACTACTAAAAATTTTAATAATTTTCAATTGAAAAAAAATTGTTAACATATGGTTTACTGATGTTTTTTCTTCATTTTATTTTTGAAAAGTAAACATGAAAATACCAGGATAAACACTCGAAATTTTTAAGGGTAAAATTATATTTGTTCTGATGTTTATAACTACACCCAAATATTTCGTGTTAGTAATTAATGGTAGATAAAAATGTGATACAAGACAGATAATTGATGAATTATAAGTTGTTGCATGTAAAATTGCGTGAACAAAACTTAAAAATTAAGACTTTTAAAACATATACAAATAAATATTTACCATTAAGAGATATCACAATGCAAACATTAAATATTATAAAGGAAAAAATTTTAATATCCTCTCTAAAAATTTTCATTAAGCAAATTTCAATATTCGAACTTCTTAACATAGTTAACAATGCAACAGACAAATAACTTTTATAGTATAACAATAGAAAATAAACTACGAAAACTAAACATACATTTTATTTCATCTGACTTCATGAATTTTTAACCGATTACTAAAATTGATATGAATAGATATTTGAAATTCAACATTTCTGCTTGTTTTCTTTTAAACGTTTTTGAATGCCTATATCTGTACAAGGCAGAACTCTATTATTCTCAAACTATCTCAGAGATTTAAATTAGCTTACAGCTCACAAATAAAATTAAAGGATTGTTTTCACTGTATGCCAAAATTTCGTGTTTGCGAATTCGGATATGCGAGCACGATTGGTAAAATAAATCCCCAAACGCGACAGCATGATTATACAGTGAAAATGGACGTGAAGGAGAGTGAGGTACAAGTCTCTATAGCAAATAGCCGGCAGGGGAATGTGAGTGCCTGAATGGAGATTTCTAATTTTCAGAGAAAAACTCACCAATCAGGATCCTCTTTCTTTCAACGGTGATAGAAGATGCGGCAATCGCATGCAGCCTTACTGCACGTGATTCATCTCCATACACGTGCGAATGTTAAATAAATAAAACAGCTAACTCCTGCGCAAATCGAATTCACGTACTTACGAATTGGTCGTTGTGAACACGGGGGATTGAACCCAGGGGCAAGCTAATGTAGGCGAAGTTTCAACCCACAACACTAGCTAAGCGACTTGACTTTATGTTTAGTAAAACATTAGAAAAAATATTAAGGTACACAAAACAGTTCAACACAAAATGAATAATTTAATTTATAATGCACCTTCATTTCGTAATTATGGTTACATTATTGATTATATAGTAATTTCAGTGAAGTGATTTTACTTAAATTTTAAGATTAAATATGTCCTCTACCATAGAATGGGCAGCATTAAAAGATTTATTACAAAGTTCCCTAAGACAATGAAAAAACATCCTATCATCTTGCATTCCAATAAAACAAACAAAAGCCATCAATTTGTTCCATTGCTATGGCATTTTCTTTTTCCAAAAATCCAATTCCAATTGTTCAATTCTTGGAACGTTTTCGAGAAATTACAATTTATTGAATCAACTTAACACAGAAGAAAGTGTGGAGCTGCATTAGCAAACAATGGGTGATATTAAATATTTTTGGAAGTAGCAAAAGAACTCCGTAATTTTCTTCTTGCTGTCTAAGAGCTGATACAAATCAGATTAGGTCTTTTAGGTTGTTAACTTTAATAAAACTGTAAAGTCTTAAGTAATTTTATTGTAAAAATCAGATGATAAAGCAATTGGCGATCGAAATGGGCTGCAGGNTTGCTATGGCATTTTCTTTTTCCAAAAATCCAATTCCAATTGTTCAATTCTTGGAACGTTTTCGAGAAATTACAATTTATTGAATCAACTTAACACAGAAGAAAGTGTGGAGCTGCATTAGCAAACAATGGGTGATATTAAATATTTTTGAAAGAAGCAAAAGAACTCCGCAATTTTCTTCTTGTTGTCTAAGAGCTGATACAAATCAGATTAGGTCTTTTAGGTTGTTGACTTTAAAACTGTAAAGTCTTAAGTAATCAAATAACTTTTCTCTCATTCAATGGCAATTTTATTTACATTTTAATTTCTGCATAGATATTCCTTTAAAATTCCTTGTAAACAAAAAAATTTTATTTTTAAAAATTTCTTAATACATTTAAGAGTTTTTATATTTTTAATAAACTATTGTATATGTACGAAAACTATTTAATATAATACGGTACCGCAATATTTCAAATTATTTATTGAGTAAGCATAAATTAATTTTGTTTATTTTTAGCAAAATGCATTAACTATTTAATTGACAGATAAAAACCAATTTAATGTTAGAATTTCCAAGTTTGCAGGAATTTTAACTCACAATAAATTCTATTGTCTTATTAAAGTTTTTTTTCTTCTTTTTCTTATATACTTGCCATTGTGTGTAACAAAACTGGAATATGTTATCTTTTGGTATGCATTTTATCATTAAGCTTTTATTTTTTGTGAAATGATCAACTGCTAAACAAAAGTTTACTTCAACATTTTTAGAGCGTAGGTGACGGAAAAGAGATCAATAATTTAATATCTTAATGCTTCCTAAATAAGAACAAAATGTGTTTAAAATTAAAAAATATAAGGCCTAACTTTATTCAATTTTTACTTTTAATCCTGCCTGGGCACATTACCATTGAAAATGTAGACACCTCCACCAATTACCAAATTTTATATATTAAGTACGAGTTTCCTCCGTGCGCAATTTACATTTTCCTTGTGATTTTAAGTAGCCCCATTTGATTTTACTATTAGAAATCATTATGCTGTAAATTTTTCTAAAATAAAACTTATATTTAAGCAGCAAACTTAAATTATTATACCTCCGTTTAATTCGAAATTACAAGTGTAAAACTTCACAGCAGTGAGTTTGAGAAATGAGTTTTCCTAACGATTATTAAAAATAGTTCATAGCAGCTAGATAAAAGCCTGGTTTAACTGATCACTGCAACATTTTTAGATTAGGGAGCCAATTTAAAGAAAATGTAATTATTTCTGTAACTTCCTAAATAAGATTAAGAAAAGTGATTAAAATATTTACCTGCAAACCCATCTGGATTCAATACTTAGCATTGGAGATGCGTAGACCTCCGGCAACAAAAATGGCATTTTCACTGGTGTATCATTAATGCAATAAAAGAAATAAATTTTCGCCTTTTCCAGCTCTACAGCCCTTGGTTGGCTTGGAGTTCTACTTCAATCTTTACCTAGATCTCTTTTTCCAGTTCTTTATTTTAATTTTTTTCAGGCCTTCCTCAACCTGATCCAACTACCTTAGACTTGGTGTTCCTCTTTTACAATTATTACCTAATTTTTCTTTCGAGAAAATCTTTGGCATGTCTGTTCCATTCATTTTTTTGACAGGTCCCATCCACTGTATTCATTTAGCTTTGGTAAACCTCACGTTTTTATCTTTAATTAATTTTTCTTCTTCATGATTTCATTTTTATCTCTATAAAAAAATATACACTTTCTTACTGGTAAGATCAACTGAAAAAACGTTTTTTTATTTGATCTCATCACCAGAAATCTACATGATTTAAGTTTCTCTTAACTATAAAATTTATATTTAGGATTTCTTTAAATATGAAATCACTGGTGTAAAAATTCTGAGCAGAGTGATTGAAAAACCTAATTTTGAATTAAAGTTAAAAAAAGAAGCAAAAGTTTTAACTAACTAAATTTGTTTTAAAGTTAATTACATTTGCCTTCCTTTAATGTAATTTGTCAGATTTGAAAAGTTTTTTTTTCTTCGAATTTTTCCTTGGTTAAATATTTATTTGCCCCCCCACTATATTTAGACTTTTTTGTTTTAATTTTTAATAACGATTCTAAAAATAAACCTTAAAAGCGATTTTTTAGGGACACCTTGTATATCTGGCTTTATTATCTAAGTGTGAGATGCACATTTTTGAGCTATATATAGAAGTAGCAAATAAATCCTTATAATTGTGAAAGAAAACAATGTTTGCACAACAAATTTTGAGAAACATCCAGATAATCTCTTTTAGTATCAACCTTATGTCATAGAGATATAACACTGATTAGTCAAATAAAGTTAATTTGGTATTGTTCAGATGAAATTATGTGCGTTTTAGATTATTTCAATTTCATTCTTAAAATCTTTCTTTACTTGGAAAAACAATAGTAATTTTTAAAAATTATAAAAAGCTAATCCTAAATATTTTGTAATGCATAGGATTGTAAATCTGTAAATCTAAGTCTGTAATATTAATTACATACTTATAATAATAAACGATAATCAAAACACAGAGCAATATTGACCAACACACAAATTTATTTCTCAATGAAATTGAATAATACAATGAATACCTACAAAATAACAATGAAAAGAAAAATTAAAAGACATATTTATCTATATTGCAATACAATAAGCTTTAAAGATATGCAATAAAAAGAAATAAATACATGCAACCTTTATTACATAATCAATATAAAATTCTAATATATATATATTCTTGGTAAATTAATTATCCCCAGTTTCATACTCATCTGTATCAGAATCATTGCCTTGAACTGAAAAAAAAAAAGGTTTTTTTATAAAATCAAAGGATTTTGATTACAAAAATTTAAAATATACCTTTAGACTAGGCATTTTTCAGAATCTAAATACTTTAACCACTTGGCAGTCATGTTCTTGTATTTGAAGTAATCTTTGTATAGTAAAAATAATTTTCCCATTTTTATCACATAGAAAACTATGTATGGGAGAGAAACATTCTCCAAAATTCAGTAATTTTTTTAACTGCCAGAAACTTAAAATAAAAATTCATTAAAGAAACATTTATTTTTATATTTCTCCCCATAAATTCAATTGTGATAAAAAAAAAATTGCAATTGCAGATTCAAACATCAAATTATCGTAACTATATAGACTAATTAAAATATTTTTTTCTAAAAAATATAAAATAATTTCTTTTTTTTATAAATTTAGCTATATTTTTTATTAAGAAATTTTATTATCATAGAAATTCAATTATTGTAAAATGTTTAAAATACAGAAATGCGTACATATATTTCCTTTTCATGTTGTAACAGATTATATACTTAGTGCATAAAAGTCATTTCGATATCATGATTTAAGAAGGAAAGTATAAAATAGCTTGAACCAGCTGTGGCAAAACAGTGAGCAGCTTAAGTATTAACACTTTTAGAGTTAAAAATCTTCAATCTTTTTTCTTTATCACTTTTTGAAACTCCCTACTTTAATTTGCACTTTTTTTATGTAATACTTAAAAAAATATGTAATAAAAATGAATGCAATTTTGTATTGCTGAATGTTTGCAAATAATTATAATAAGAATTCAAAAACTTAAAATAATTTACTTTTTTATACTTTAGAAAACAAATTTACACTACAACAATACATTCATAACTAACTTACAATGAAAATTAAATTTTGTTTACGAAATCATGTTAAATTACAATGAACAAGAAAACTTACTTTTAATCACAGAAAATTAATTTCCAAAGAAAATTATTTAAAAATGTAAACTATAATTTTTTAAGCACAAATAATAATGATGAAAAGCTCACACGGATCACATTTGGTTTCATTTTTTAGCAATTCTTCAATACTCGGTAACAGAGTAGATGTTGAAAGTATTAAAAGGTTTTTAAGATTCTCATCAGTGATAAACAATATTAATTCTTAACACAATTCATTGCAAAAAAAGAATGTAAATTTCTGAGTTGGACAAAGGGGCTAAAAAAAAATAGATGATTTTTTTCTTCCTATTTTTCTATTCAAAATATCTTTGCATGCTACTCATAATGCTTTTGAGTGCCATTTGGAACATGTGCGCTATGTATTGGCCCCTCTTGCCTAAACTCATTTAAAATAAATCTAGAAATTTTTTTTAATTGACAAATATTATTATTTCCTAAGTTTGCTAACAGATATAATTTTAGAAATACATTTATTAAATCATTTGTAAAATTTTATCAATAAACTATAAGTTATTTTAATTTCCTAACAATTTTATCAACAAAATTTCTACATGAATATTTCGAAATATTGGAAAAGAAATCTTATTATATTGGTATGGAATTTAAGGATGAAATAATAAATTGTGAATAGGGCATTAATAATGATACTATCTTAGGACATATTCAAGAAATTGCTATAATCACTCATGTTCAAATTTAGTTTAATCAAAAATTATGAAATCACTAAAAAATGTCGGAATTTTTACTCAGCAAAAGAAGAAAAAAAAAAGAAATGGATGGAAAATAACCTTAACTTTTGTAATAAACTTATGAAACATTAAAATTGTTTTCTGTTAAACTGTTCTGCCATAAAGTGCTCGACTTCAAACTCAGGTCAAATGGCTACCAAAGCCAGGAGCATCTCTTCCGCAGGGGATCATAATTGATATGGCATGTCTTCAGATTAAGCTCAGAGATGTTTCTCATGCTATGGCCAATAGCCCTTTGTGAAGCTCTAGTGCAACATAAATAAAATACTACTACCATTTTTTCTTTTAGATTTAAAAACTTGGTTTATAATATTTCAAAATTTTGTCATTGAGTTTTGAAGTAACACGGGAATACATGAGAAGAGCCATTTTTTAACGGATGACAGTGGATCTGCCAAAAATTGGTATAATTATCATGGAAACAAGTTTACTGTTTCTAAACCTGATAGTGGAAAAGTAAAACAATGTAACAAAATTTGCGATAAAAAACATACATTAAAATGGGTAATGTAAAAAATCATATAAACAGCAAATGGAAAAATTAAAACAAGAGTTCCAATTAGTACAAACTTTAAAATCCAGGCCGTTACATAATTTATGCTATATTGAGAAAGTTTACTTTTCATTATAATTGTTTAACTTTCAGTTTTTGACATTTTTTTAAATTTCTCAAAAAATACTTAGAAGACCATGTTGTAACTTTATAGGTGTTAAGCTCATGTGATTTTTCATACTCAGAAATAAGGTTTAAAGCTTTCAGAGGTTTGAGGGAACAACAATAAACCACATAATGAAGCAAATATTTTTGAACACCCTATACCAGAAAATCAATCAATAAGCTTTAACTTGTATCAATGGCTTGGGTTGTTATTTGCAATAACTGCATAAAATTTTGTAAACCTAACTAAAATATGCATGGGGATATTGAAATTTTTATATATAAAAGGAAAAAACTCATTTTTTTCGTCCAACATTTTTTTACTATAACTTTAAAAATATTCAATAAAGTCAAACAATATTTCTGAGCAAATAAAATTATTGATTTAATTCAATTAAAACTGTTCTGAATATAAGTATTTAAAGTATTTCTTAAATGTAAAACTTTTTTTCATAATTTTGAAGTGAATCGTTGGCAACTTATGAAAAAGATTTTATTTGAATAACTTACAAATTTAAAAAGTTTTCAAATAGCAAATTTAAAAAGTTTTCAATTTTTTATAGTTTTTGTATAGTTATAAATAGTTTTCGTACTTTTTGAAAGAAACCTGAAAATGATAAGGGGTTTTTCACAAATTATATTTCGAAAAAGATTAATTAAAAATGAGACTGGGATATTGGAGAGTGGGGATCTACTACTATAAAAGTTTGTTTTCCATCACGTGTTTTCTTTCCTTATACCAGACATTTGCATGTACGGACGATTATTGTAAGTTATTATTATTTGTTATTAAATTTTGTCTCATGATACAAAATAAAACTTGTGGAAAACCCCTTATCAATTTGACCTTTTTTTTGAAAAGTACAAAAACTACTTAAAAAATTACTAGAGACTTTTTAAATTTTTAAGATATTCAAATCAGACTATTTTTATTAGTTGCCAAATACAATTCACTTCAAAATTATGAAGAAAAAAAATAAAAACATTTCCGTGCATGCTTATATTTTGTGCAGTTTGCCAATAATTTTATATTGTTTCATTTTATTGAATGTTTTTAAAGTTATAGTAAAAAAAAATGCAAGACAAAAAAAATCAGTTTTTTTTTAAAAATAAAAATGTCTATATCTATATAAATATGTAAGCTAGGTTTATGAAATTTTTTGCAGTTATCACAAATAACAACCAAAGTAATTTATACAAGTTACAAGCATGTAGCATGATTTACTGGCAAAGGGTGTTCAAAAATACTTGCCTTTTTTCATAATTTATTGTTGTTGCCTCAAACCTCTGAAAGCTGTAAACTTTATTGCTAAGTAAGAAAAACCACATGAACTAAATTTCTCTAAAACAACTAAATAATCCTCTAAGTATATTTTGAGAAATTTAAGAAAATTTCGAAAGCTGAAAGTGACTCTTCCATTATTATAGGGTAGTGTATTTATATATCACAGAAATTTACCTTGCAGAAAATCATTGAAATTTAAGGACATTTTCTAAAGGTGACAAACTTGGAATCCTTTGAGTAATTGAAAAAAAATTATAATTATTATTTGAGCTGCCTTACTACAATACATAAACTTTCAATAGAATAAATTTAATTCCAATATGTACCTTTAGACATTTTGTTTGAGTTCTAAGTATCAGTTAAATCAGTTCCATTCACAACTATCAATAGAAAATTCATTTAAAATATTACATATTCTTAAAATTAAAAACTACCATTAACTGAACATGGAACAATCTAACAGTTAAAATATTTTTCTAAACATGTAAGAAAAAGAAGAAAAAAAACAGTTGCTATAAACACTATCATAATTAACTGCATAACTGCAAACAACTGCTTGAACTTTGCAGTTAATTGTCAAAAACAAATGATTTAAAAACTGCTGAAAAATGAAGTGTACCTTTCAATATGTTGCTGTCGCTCTGATTATTAGTCACACTGGCATTATCTTCTGCTGGATAAAGTAAAAATATAATTAACATAAAAATAATTTTCAAATTCAAATTAAATAAGCGAACACTAAGTATTAACATTTATAAACAGTAAAATTTTAGATGATTTTTGCTAAATGAACACACAGGCTCAAATAATTGAGGCACATAAAAATATTGGTTGAACTTCCGTTATTTTTAAAGATAAATATATAAGGAAACTCAATGACGTACTTTCAGGTTTGCTCTCACTATGAGTATCATACATTTTATTTTTATCTTCATCATTTTGAGAATTAGCAGCTTGTTTAATTTTGTTATCGTCGATTTGAGTATCAGCAACTTCTTTCTTTTTTTCTTCAGCACTTGAAATATCAGCAACTTCTACCTTTTTTTCTTCAGCACTTGGAGTATCATCAACTTCTACCTTTTTATCATCAATATCAGCATCAGTAACTTCTTTTTGTATATTTTTAACTAGATGGGGAAAAGTTGGTATATAGTAGTCCTTCTCAATAAATAAAAAAAATGTGGATGTACATAAAACTCCAATCAAAAACAGTTACGCAATGTTTATTACCTTCACAATCTATTTCTACTTCTTCAGATGCTTTTTCAATGTTTTCCATTTCTGAGGGGAGAAATTCACATATTAAAATATTTAATTGAATACATGAAATATTTAAACTACTTTTTGAAAATTAAAAGAATAATTGTAAACAATAATAATTGTAAAACTAGAGTGAAAGATAAATAAAATATAAATCTAGAATAAGGCATTAAATCTTCAAAGCACTTCCAGAAATTTTTAAAACAGAATTCTAACTTACCTGTACTAAAACTTGGAGATGTTGTAATGGTCTTAGAGGTGGTGTCTTCTAAATGACAGGAAAAGTTCAAAAATTATAATTATCAATAAAATACAGGAAATTTCAAACAGCGCTATGCATAAAAAAAAAAATTAAAATGCTACTGTTGACATTCTTTACCTCCTTTCGTTACAGTAATATCAGATCCAGGAAATGTATGAACTTAATACAAGTATGCCAATCAAATCCACACTTGTACATTATTGGCTAATTTTAGTATGGTTCGAGAATGATAAAGTTGGACACATATCAGAGGTTATTACGTCAATGGAAATTTTAAAAAACTATTTACATAGAATATTATTTCATTTAAAAAAATAATGGATGCTTAAATGCCATTTTAGATTTTTTCACTTTAAAATAAAAATTCATAGTGTTTTATTAATAAGTAGCATTAATAAATCTAATTGTTCTGAGATTACAACTAATTTGTAGGTTTATATGCATAAATTATTTAAATATGTATTGATTAAAATCTTAATTTTTTCCCCCAAAACTTTTATCTTCATGTAAACTATTGACAAAAATGCATTTAAATACACTAACAAACTTTCAGAAGAAGAATGTGATGTAATTTTTTTAACAACCAACAAATTAGTACATTCAATTGTTTTTTTTTTTTCTTTTGATATTTAAATGTTAAGTCAAATATAACTATGATTCTTGTAAAAATATATTTTTCATAAATAAAACAGGACACAGTTGACGAATAAAATAAATTTTTAAGGCAAAAAAAACTAGGAGTTTAGGTTTGAGTTGTCATTGTGTGTGCATTCTGTTCTCGATATTGCTTAATCAATTTTTTCTAAATAAAATAAGTAATAGAATAGTGTTTATTAGCCAGTTTGTCTCTTGCATCTAATCACAAAATTAAAATAACACATTTAAAGGAAATATTTTAAAATGTGTTGTAAATTTAGCTTAAAATAATACTTGACAACTTTTTTGTTTAACTCAGTAGCTATATATGCTAAAGTTACATTGCATATTTTATAAAAATATCCAAATGGAATGGAAAAGATGACCAAAGATATAACTAGGCAGAAAAAAATACCAATTACAATACATAATTATTGATAAAATAAATCTTATAAAAAAGTTTGAAGATCAACACAGATAAAACACCTACAAAAGTGTATTCCTGCTAAAAAAAAATTATAAAATCTCATTTAAGTTATAACTTTGTGACCAAAATTATTTTAAAAAATGGTAGGCCAAAATCAATAATATTTAAAATTATTTAATATTACAAGTTCTAGTCAAATAATTTGACCTACTCATTACTTGGCAAAGATTTGGTTGTAATGATTTTATTACAGGTACTTTTAGACTTTGAAATCCAGAAACAAAATTTCCTTGGTAGAGAAGGATTATAATTTCTTTAAACAAAAGTTAATCTTGATTAAGAAAGAGCATGTACCCTCAATTAATTAAGTTATAGTTATGCAATGATCTAAAAAAAATAAAGTTAATGAAAGTTAAAGAAGGATCACACATTGCCTATCCATAAGATTAAAAATGATTGATGTCCCCTTGTAATCATCCAATTGTTTGGTGCATGCACCTCCGATATAGAGAATAAATTTCACATGAAGCATAAACTGAATTTCGCTTTTGTCAGTAGGCCTTACATGTTTATATATTTAGTCATTAAGTTTAGTTGTATGCTTAGTTAGTAGCAATGCTTTAAAATCATACTCAGTGATATATAGGTAATTAATGAAAGTTCAGTTTTGGTTCTTCGGCATAGAAAGAAAATTATTGGTGATTAATCTGATTTGTGCTGATTTCTAACAATAAAGTTGTTATTTATTAATGTTCCTGTCAAAACAGAAAAAGGAAAATATAGTTATAACTAGAATTTCTTTGAAAAATTAGAATTTATGAAAAACTGAATCTATAATTTTACTGCTAACTTCTGTAAATTCTAATATATTACTTCCAAAGAAACACTTGTTTTGACAAGTTATTTAAAAAAAGTAGAATTTTCGATTTTATTACAATGAGACAACTTAGTTAGAACCAGTTTTTACAATAAAATTCTAGTTTTGACTTAAGAATAACATTACAGGAGATTTCATATAATATGATTTGTATTTTATCCTCAAAGTCCACAGGAGAAATATGAAATGAAGTAACAAATATCTTCATAAAATGTGAATATATTATAACATGGTTTTTGTATTTAATAGTAATAATAGCTTGTAATGGAATTTTAATTTGTATGATTTATTTCAATATTACAGAACATTATTTAAAAAGTTTAATAAAAAAATATTTGAATTAAGTGATTAAAATAATTAGTTCGATTATCTCCACAAATTAAAAACTATTTCCAATCAGGAACATTTGCAATAAGATTTTTAGTTTTTCTTTAACTTAACATTAGCTTAAAAATAAACAGATGTTTCTCTGAACAGAAAACAATAAATCAAGAAGGAAAATAATGAATAGATTTTATGTTTGTTACATGGCAAATATTTTAATAATAATAATAATAATTGAAAAGAAATGACACCATAATAATTAAAAATAAAAGATATAGTAATAATTAGAAAATAAATAAAATAAACATGATTTAAAATATTTAACTACATCAAGATAGTTATTCTAAAAAACAAATCATTTGTATGTTTTTGATGAATAAAATATCAAAAATTGACATTCTAATAAAAGTTATATAAATTATGTAATTTGAAATTTTGGTTATAAAGGAAATTAGAAGTTTGTGTTATCCTTTCGAAATATATTATAAAGCATTAAATGGAAGGGGGAAATAAAGTATTGAATGTGTCTATGAGTTCAATATTATACAGAGTAAACAAAACAGGAAAAATATTTAATTTATTTCAATTATACAAGAAAATCCATTTACTATGAAAAGTATTTGCTGTGAAAAGTTTTAAAACTTAATATAACATTAAAATCATTTTTAATTATTTAAAACATAAAATTTTGAAAAAGAGAATAATAACAGATAAGTACTTAATGGTAATATTTTTTATTTTGATAAATGACCTGTAATAATGGTGAAACAAAATAAATAAGCTAATTCACAAGAAAAAATGAACATACCTGATAAATCTTTATTTTCAGCAAGCAGTTTTTCAGATTCAGCCATAACATTTAATGCTATTTTAAAATACATGCTTAATCAGAAGAATTGTACAATAGAAAAACTCAATAAACAACACAATAGAGGGAAAATAATTTACAAATGAAGCCAGTCAATAATCTATCACTATCAGTGATTATTTTTCAAAACCCCCTTTTTTTATACATCAACTTTTCATTTTTATATATATTTGTCTCAGGCTAACTTTCATTTTCATTATAAAACAAAATTTATTTCAAAACATATTATTTTATTTTATTAATAAAAAAAAAAAACTGCACACTTTAAATTTTGTTTTCATAGGTCATAAAAGAAAAATTTAAGAAGATTCATTACAATTTTTGTTATTGCCAGTCTAATTTCTAAAAGTGCACTCAGAAGGCAAAAAGAAAGGGACAATTATCTAGAGACCTTGGGACATGCTGAAAAACCAGATATAAAGTTTTCAATTAAATTTTCAAAAGAAACTGCTGTTACTTACTCACATATATAGATACAATTATAATGATCAACAAATATATTTGTATTATTCATCAAAATATTAGTAGTTTATTTTAATAAAACAACTAACACTTAAATAAAACAAAATAATAATTTAGTATGTTTAGGTAAAATTTCAAAAATTAAAGCATAAACTGTTCTGAAATAGGCTTTTTTTAAAAAGCATCAAAAATCCAAAAATAAGACTTATAGTATTTTAAGGAAGGGTGTATAAGAATTGTGTCCAGTATTGAGGATATTTAATGGACACACTTCTATAAAACAATAATCCAGCATTCTTTTGCTTACTTTCACAACTGGCTTTAACATTATAATTAAACTTAATAAAATTTACACAAAGTTTTCTTTCATTGTTGAAAGGGAGATCAAACCAGATTGAAACATACAAAACTCGTAACTGAGAATAAATACAATATAATAGCTATAATTAAAACTGAAGAATAGAAACATAAATTTTTAATTTATTATAAAATTACCAGAAAAGATGAAAATGACAGCTGAAAAACATAACTTTAGTCTCTTTTAAAAAAGTAAGCGTATGACATTTTTACAATAAAACAGAAATGTCAGGTTCAGATTTTTGTTAAAAGAATTATGAAACTTGTTGAGAACTGAGGGTTAAGGAAAAACAAATCTTTAAGAATGCGTTTCATGTAAAGGAATAAAATATAAAGTAACACATGTAAACTACAAAAAATATATTCTTTTACAGTGTTCAATCAAACTAATTTGAAATATTTAAAAGACACAATGGGGAAAAAAAAGAACATAAATAGTACAATTAATATTATATTGCACTTACCCATTTTATTTTCAGGTGAAAAATCTGTTGCTTGAAGATTCTTACTGCTAACTTCTAAAGCTGTAATTCAGATATCTTTCAGAACAAATTTTGCAGTCATATTTTTTAAACCAGATAACAATAAATCAAGCACAAATAAAAGTTTTTTTCTGCATTTTAGAATTAATTTTATTTTCAGCTTATAAAATAATTTTCATTATATATTACCTTCACATGTATCTGATGTACGAACGGATGTGTCTGCAACGGTTAAATTTTCTAATTCCACATGCATCGCAGGTGGCATTGCTTCATGATTGCCAGTGTTTTCTTCCATATTTACATCAATTTGATCGGAATTCAAAACATCACAAGAAACTTCAGTATCTAATTCCATTGCTTCCTCTTCATCTTTTACTGCTTCACTAGAGGAATCTTCTTTAAAAATTTTCTTAGCACCATAACTTGGAAAATTGGGATCTTCACAAATTTTCGCTGTATTATATTCAATTTCGATAACATCTTTAAACAAATTTGACTGTTTCACCGTCGTTTCACAAACTTTACCTGTAAAATTAGATAAATTATGGAAGGGAAATTTTATAAATTTAGTTGACTTCTAGAGAAATATTAAAAAATATTTCAAAAGAGTAAAGATACCGAAGAAATTAAATTAAATTTGAAGACAAAAATCAATAAACAGTATAAATGAGTGAAATAAAACTGTTTATCACAAAAAGTTTTAATTAAATTTAAATACACAAATTGTATACAAAAATTGATAAATAATTTGAAAGTTCAAAGCAAGCAGTAATTTGAACTTTAATAGTCCCAATACAAAAATATAGATTAGTCTAAAAATATTTTAATAATTAGTCAAGATAAAATAAGAACTTATTCACTTACTTATATGAATTTTTCTGAAATACAGTACAATTTCAGTTGTTGATAATTTCATGTAGCAACATTTGAGAAGATTTTTTTCTCCATTATGTTTTTTCTATTTATTATTTTTTATTTCTGTTAAAAACCATACAGTATTCTGTGAATAAAAATAAGCTGGGAAGTACAAGTGTGTCCCCTTTTCCTTTAAATATTTTAAAGAAAGCTAGATATATATTTTTTAAATTAAAATCTTTTTATGAAGAGTATCAACCTTACTGTGTATTCATAATCAAATAATTTTCAATTCTTAGTCGTAACTCAAACTGTAAATCAAATCAAAATCAAGCAATCAAAAACTGTAAATCCTCAATAACTCAAATGCCACAAAATAAAAAAATAACTCTTCGCAATCAGTCGACAAAATTGGGGTTCAAACCTATCTCAGAAAATCAAAATTTTTGGACCTAATGAAACATTAAAAAGCTGGTGTACAAAATAGAAATTTAAAAATATGTATAATATTGATTATATTACATATAATTTAGATTTCTTGGATTTTGATTTTTAAAATTTAGGTGACAGTTGGTCTAAATAAAAAAACAAATTACCATTATCATTATAAAATTTTTACTACTCTCGATAATTTATGTTTATCGCACGATAAAACAGAATAATGAAAGGAGAATGGGAAACCTTAAATAGCTTGAGAATTACCCACAACTATTAGCTTCAAAAGCAAATTATGAAAGACTGCTTCCTTTCTTATCCATACAGTTTGTTTCCTGACATGTTATTATTCGTGTATTTAATTAAATGATTAATTCTCCAATGAGTCTGCTTCATTGTAATTACAAAATAAAGCAGGTTTATTAATATATATGCAAAAAAGAGTTTCATTAACAATTAATTCAAACTACAAGTATTTAAGGAAAATTTAAGATTTCAATTTAATGTAAATTTACAATTTCCATTAAATCATGATTGTTATTGGCACTTTTACAATATAAGAAAAGAAAACAATGAAATAATTTATGCTATTTTGTAAAATAAAATACTTAATCTTTACCTGATATATTTTATAAATACTAGGCAAGCTAATTTTTTTCTGCAATAAGTAGATCATAAACAGAAAAACAGTAAAACTTTTTCAAGCAGAAGAATCTTTTTCAAGTTGTCATTCTACGGAATTACATTAGATAATCATAGAGCTATCATTTTTAATATTTATATTCAACAATTTTTATATCTATTTTCCTTTTTCAATATTAACATGTCCTCTTAAGAAGAGGTATAACAATTTTTTACAAATTGGTAATCAGGAACTGTATTAATTTATGTGAAATTCATGCTTAAAAAATTATGCTAAAAATTCATGCTTTGTGAGAAAAGAATTGTTTTTAGTTACTTATTCATATTTTAGAGAAAATAAATATTATATTTCAATCAACAATAGTGTAATTTCAAATAGAAATCTGGTTTTGTAATAAAAACTCGATGAGTTTAGAGGAAAATATATTATTTAAACTAAATGGTTATTTATAATACAAATTATAATTTCTAATAGATGTCAATACGAATTAAAATAATAAAAGGGTCTATCTATGGGTCGGGCAGGAATCTTGCATGGCGTTCACTGAATTTTTTTTAGGGAGAATAAAAAACAGCAAACGATAAGATTTATTTATTTTATAACTAATGCTTATGTTGATCTATATTTTTCTCTTCTTAAAATTTAAACCTAACTAAGCACCTTTAAATGAAATAATCAAATATGCTTTAATACCAGTTTTTGTAAAACCATGTGCTCAAACCTTTTTCAGTAGTATGTTAAAATCATTTAATAAAGATGTCTTACTCAATGAACTTAAAAAAATTTAAAAATGGTAATCATTAAATTTGTCAGAATCACTTTTATTAATGAATTCCTTTATAGAATTAAATGTTTAAGTTTCAAATTGGTAGCCTAAGTCAGTCTTAGTTTATCTTTTCCCTTATGTTCTATCTTAAGTCTACACCAATACAGTTGAAATGTTAACAAATAGATAAAAAAAAAAACTGATAATAAGTTTGTTGTCTATTGTTTTTAATTTTACAACACTAGACATGTCAGAAAAATTTACAACCGGAATAGAAAGAATATCGTTTGCCAACAAATGCTTTTATATGTGCATAGATTTAACATATGCTTTGCTTTTAAAAAACGAAATATAATATGATAATTTTTATTATCTACACTTTTTATAAAATAAAAAATTTAGTGAGAACAAGTGTCAGCAACATATCTTTTAAGTTTAACAAATAAGCTAATAAAATGAGGAAAAAAACTAAAAAGATTATTAAATGAGTTCAAATTATTTTTGGTAGTGAAAGTGCATGTTTGTGCTCAACTTTCAAGAAAACTGAATAAGTTTTGAAACTTTCTTTTATTACCATCATTAAAAGAAGGATCTTCTGTTGCCAGATTCAACAGTGATTGCATAGCACTTTCATCTAGAACAAACAAAATTGCATCAGTTTCAATAATTTTAAACAATATTGATTAAAACCAGCTTTAACTATTAAAATGTAAAAATAAATAAATAATTAAAATAAATAAAATGAAATAAAAAATTAAATGGAAGCAAGAAAGAATACATAGAAGAAGAAGAAACTCTTACCTTTCACTGGTGATAAAACTTTAAAATCTTCTGAAACTTGCTCATTAGACAATGAATTATCTTTAAATTCTGCTAAATAATTTGTTACATTAAAAACAGATTTAAAAAAGTAAACAAACAGAAACAAAACACTTTGATGAAGAAGGAATTGAAAATAAATTAAATAAAATACTTTTACAGCCATCAGCATGTGATATACCTTTATTATCTTCCATGTGGTGATCAGATGACAAAGTTTCTTTATTGTCTGTAAAAAAATATTAATTCAAATATTAATAATTTTTCCCAAAATTGATTTTTTTTTTTAATTCTACACAAATACTTCAAAAAAGCTCTCTATCAAAGTTACCCTTCCATTACAAATAATTCATAAAGTCCCATTTGCTATAGACATATATAACTGGCAAATATTCCCTTTTTTCCAGGAAATTTTATTTCACTTTTTTAAAGTTGCTTTGAAATTTATTCTTGATTTAATAAATTTGATGCAAAATGATATTTACCACTATTGTCACAGTTCGAAATTAATGGTGGTCTGAGACTCAACCACCATAAAATAGTTAACAATACTTTCCTGGAAGATTTTTCAAAACTTTTAAAATTACCTTATTTATGTATGCAAAAAAATTAATTTTAATTCAATATTTTATAATTTATCAAACTATAATTTATTAAGTGCAGGTTTTAGATTTAAGTAAAAATTATTTATAAAAGTATATTAAACAAAAATATTAATAAAATTAATATAATTGATCAAACTGAATTTATAAAGATATGTGAAAAATTAAGCAAATTAAGAAAACTTGAATAAATTCATATTACAAATGTAAATTAGTGAATGGCCGTAATTAAACTTTATTAAAATTTTTAACTTGGTTCAGAATTTCATTAATGAAACAATTTTAAAAAATTTCAATAATTTTGAAATGTAAATACCAAGAATATTGAAGCTAAACATTTTTGTCTGAAGTAAATTATTATAGGTCCCTTCAATCATAATAATTAACAAATCCGAGATCATAATTTTTTTTTAATTCAATTGTTTTTAGATAGATTCAATTATTTTTTAAGTTATTTTAATTGTTGAGTAAGAGATGAATTAAACTTTTTTTAGTATGATAAAGCTGAATAACACAGTTTTTTACAGCATTTGCAAAATGTTAAAGTGAAAAGCCCCTCACTTCATACTTCTTTTTAAAATCTGGTCTCCAAATATTATTGAGTTTTGACATTAAATAACTTAAGATTATTATTTAAAAAAATTTTAAATTATTAATACAATAGTAAAAATATTAAAAACTAATTAGTAAAAAAATAAATACGATAGAAAGTTCACAAAAATCGTTTGCCATTAATGGACAGTTCCTCAAATAAAAAATCCTATAATTAAAAAGCACAATTAATTCTTATCTTTAAAAAATTAAATGAAACAGACGGATATGGGTGTAGTGTAGAAAGACCACCTTAGTTGACAAGATTGTGATTATCTCTTATCTCTGAACTATTTTCATGTCATTTTGCTATTGATTCACTCCCCTAAATATCTAATCAATTTTACATGTTCAATTTAAGGTTCAGGAAAATAAAAAAGTCTGTTTAATAAAAAGAATAAATAAAAAATGAAGAAAAAAAAATTTTAAGCAATTTTTGCGCAAGTCAAGACATATTGAGAAATTCGCTGATTTTAGAAAAAAGATGACGATTTTGAGGAAATCATAGCGGAAATTCGCGCCGTGACAAACCTGCAGCCCTAATTATAGCACAGATCTTAAACAGAACAGTGTGAGAATCTGAGTGGCTTGTAAGCGACAAAGACAATGGAGCTTTACCAGCGATGAAATAAACAAGAAAAGTAAAATTTTATTTTGTCATTGGGGGGAAAAATTGACTCAGTAAGCAGCAAAAATTTGAGAGATTTTTCAGTTCGATTTCAAAGGGTGGAAAATGTAACCTGAAATTGTCGATCTCTTGCAAAATGCAGGACAGTTGCAGTTGAGATTGCAAGATTCTTTCCCACCAAATCCAATTCAGAGTACGGACAGCACATATAAATCCGCAACATATAAAATGATTGCATCAAACATGCAAAATGACTGAAGCTTTCAAACGCTGCGGACACCGGACTGGCGGTACACTGAAATAAATTGTGGCTGAATGACTTAAAAAAACGCCTTTTCGTACGCCTTTTTCGTAATTTGTGGCAAAAATCGACATGGTAAAGAGAAAGAAAAAAATCTTATTATCTTAGTTTGGAAAAAAGAGAGAAAAAAAGCACTTTATAAAAACAAACAATGAAAAAAACACCTTTAAGGGCTTTTAAAAAATAAAAATCTAAAATAAGCACTTTTTAAAAATGCTACGCACCTTGTAAATTCATTTTACCTTGTGAGACAGCGTCAGTTGTTGAATCAGTTCCCAGTTCCATAGCATACAATGGTTCCTTGAAATCAGACATTTGGTCAGAAGTATTTTTTACATTTACAGGACAAGGCTCTTCCAGAGGAATTTCAGCAATAGAATCACCAGTCTTATCATCATTATTATCAATATCTTCAATTATAGCATGAACTGAGCTAGAAATGGAAGTATGTGAAGATATGGAATCCTCAAACTTTTCATTTTCAGGTGAATTTGTGTCAGTTAATGTATTAGAAAGTGCAGTTGCTTCAACATTTAAATTTTCATTAACAGCAACAGATGGAGCTTTATCCCCAGTTTCCTGTAGGCCAGACATTTGTCTTGAAGCAGAATTCTCTAACATTGATTGATCACATACTGCTTCAGTTGTGAATGTCGGGGTGACTTCAGTTGCCAGGCTTCCATTATCAGGCGAAGAAACTTTTTCTTTTTTCATAGTTTCTTGCATAACTAATACCTTTTCAATGCAAGTTTTTTCATTTGGAGGTGAATTCATATCAGCTAATGAAATAGAAAGTGGATCAGCTTCAATGATTTCAGCTATATTTTCTTCAATGGAATATATTTCTTCCTCCAGATCATCTCGTAGATTAGAGACGGTACTAGAAGATTGCTTGGGAGTTGATTCATCAAATAACATTTGATCAACTTCTTCACTTATAGAAAAACTCATATTAGTGACGTGGCTATCATTATTGACATCAGCAGATATTTCTCTACTTACACTGTCCTGTTGATCAGTACTAATTGAGTCATGCCCAGCTGCAGGGTCACTTACTTTCCTTGTTTCACCAACTTTATCACTTGCTACAGAATCTAAATCTATTTCTGTGACAGAAATTGAAGTAACTGTAGTTAGTTGGCTATCTTTTTCATCAGAGATGGAAATTTCTTTTTCCATACTCTTTCCAAGATCAGAGCTAGAAATACAAGAAGGTTGCTCAGTGGTAGAATCAAGAAACGTTTGTTCACGCACTTTCTCCTCTACAACTGTTTGCATATCAATAGTGGCAATAAGAGGAGGGACTTCATCTACCATACTTTTATTTTCTTCAACGGAGGTGATTTCTTTTATTTGCTGATCAAATACATCAGCAGTAAGATTATTTTCAGAAAGACTACTGCAAGTTGTCGTTGATTCTTTTTCAGTTTCCTTAACTTGCGTTATAGCTTTTTCAGTTTCATTGGGAGATACAATGATGCATTCTGTTTTGATGTCAGGTGAACTGGTTGATTGAGTTTCAATTAACTCAAATTTAGTGCAAGAATTTGTATCTGATATCAAGTTATTAGTTGATTCTATTGATTTAGGGGATTTAGTAAGATTGACTTCTTTTCTGTTCACTTCACCTGGCTTAAGTTTAGCTTGATTGCCATCAGTATTTTCAACAACAGTGTCCATTATTGACATTAAAGTCTCACTGCAAGGTTTTGTGTACTTGTTTAATTCTACATCACTTACAGTAGTTTTAACATCTTCTAAAGTCTTTAATAGAGTTTCAGTAGAACTTTGAACAGAATTTGTTTCAGCTTCCATTTTAGATTTGACTGCCTCAGCAACTGGTGCTTTCAAATTGCTACTAGCTGACGGTGATTGATTTACAATAGCTTTGTTACTCTGAGTAGGAATATTCAGTGACTCTGTCCTCATACCTGATAATTTTTTAGGCAATCTATGTTCAGTATCTGGCGAAGGAAGCGATGTCTTTTTCCGTTTTAAAGGACCCGTCGATTTAACAGATAAATTAGTTTCAACTGTTACTTCTGAATTAAAATCTTCAGTGTCAATATCCATGTCAACAACAGCAATTTCATCCTGGGTAACCCTAGACCCAGATGTGGGAAGATAAACAGATGCTGGTTGATTACCTAAAATATGACTTGGTGGTGGAACCTGTAAAGGAGGTGGGAAAGGTGGAATATTGGTTAAACCGTATTTTTCTGGTGATAAAAGAGCCTTGGCAGTTTGAGTAGGCGGAGGTACAGTTAGAGGTGGAGGAAAAGGTGGAATAACAGGAGCACTTTTAATATCAGGAGGTGGCACTTGAAGTGGGGGTGGAAACTGAAGTGGTGGAGGAAATGGAGGAAGTTGCGCTTTCAATGAAGGTATCTGTTCAGGTGGTAATTTCTTGTCCAATTTGCTTTGAGCAAACGCTTCAGGGCATTGTATCAAAGAAGAAGGGGGTGGACGAGGTATAACAAGTGGCACCATATCAGCTTTGTTTATCCCTAAAAGTAAAAAATCTTTCTCTTCTTCAGATAGAGGTTTTGAAGCCACGTTTGCAGCAACCTTAGCAGCAGATACAACTGGAATTTGATGTGAAGCAGTGGCTGTATTTCTTTTTGGAAGTTCAATATAAGATAACTGGTATTCAGTTATGGTATTTGTAGCACTGTTGGAGTTTTGGGTTTTGCAAGAATTATCTTCCTGCTTAGTAGTGGAAAGGCTTGCTTCACTTTTACTCTGACAACCTGAAACAGGCAATTTTTTTCGCTTTGATGTTTTTGTCTTTTCAGTTTCAGATGAGTCAAATTCATTTTTTTGAGCAATGCTTTGTTTAAATTCTTCATTGGTGTAAAAAGGAATGTCCGTGGAGTCCACTGAAAAAAGACTTTTTTCTTCTTTTTTTGCAGCAGTAATAAGTTTATCATTCTTCTTTTTAAGTTCAGAAGATTTTTTTTCTGCTTTTTCTTTTTCAAGAGCAATTTTTTCATTCAACTTTGCACGCAATAATTTTGCACGTGAGCTAGGCATCTGTCCAATTAAAAATTTATTTCTGAGTTTTGTCTCAATTTCCTTTTTTGCATCATTTGCATTATTCAGAGTCAATTTAATATTTGATGCTGCTTTCGTAGGAGAATCGCTTGAGTCCATGCTATTACTTTCCTCCAGCTCAACGAAAGATTTCTCTTTATCTATTTCTTCACGAATTTTATCCTTTATCTTTTGATCTGTATCAGCATCTAGCTTGCGTTTTTTGGCCAAATTCACTTGTTTTTCAATATGTTCTTTTTTCTTTTTGGCTTTTACCATCTGAGTTATAGTTGAAGTTCTCATCAATTCACGCTTCCTTTCATATACAGGATTTTCTTTCAGAAATTGCTACATAAAATTGAATATAAATAAAATTAAAAAAATTTCAATGTCTGTTAATTTGAAATATTTTTGCAACTTAAGTGAAACTAAATGTAAAATAAGGTAATACTTGTTCATTAAAATTCATTAAAAATAATAATACAAAAACTAATACAGTAGTTCCTCCCAATAAGGGACATCCCTGGGCGAGATATTTTGTCCTTTAATAAGAAAAAAGTATACTAAACTGCAAAAAAAAAAAAAATTCTATAAGAAATTCGGTGCACACAGATTTCATTTAACTTTTCTTATCCAATCTGCAACACGTTGTGTGTCTAAGGATTTTTCTTCACCACAAATACTCCTATAAGTAATTTCATGTCTTTTTTCAAATTTGTTTAAACAAGCATTTCATGATTTGAAGTCTCATTAATCCAGGCTTTGCAAAACTTCTTTTACTTTGACTTGAAATGGTATTTTGCGTACAAAATATTTCTGTTTCTTACAGATAAATAAAATAATTTAACACTATAAGTATCCAAGTCTTGCCAAAACCCTAGTTTTTTTCATAAAAAGCGCCCTTTTTACCTGGGGATCGATTAGTTTTATTCACTTAAAAGCATACTTATATGAACCATATATAAAAATAAGATTTGCACTAAAAAATCATTGCTTGATTGTTACTAAAAGGATTAATAAAATAAATAGTTCAGAGAATGATTAGGTTTTCTAAGAGTTAGTGTTTATTTTAGTCTTTTTTCTGCCTTTTAAATGTTGAAACATCTGAAATGATTCATTAAAAAATTTTATGTTAAGCGGTCGGTTATAAATATAAATAAATACATTGTTTGAAAGAGCATGATATGTTTATATGTATTCTGCAGTTAGTGAATTCTTTGTCTTACAATGCACAAAAAATTATCAACTTTTATCATTATTTAACTTTTTGTTTGTTTGGAAAAGAATGAAAAAAGATTTTAATTTCAAAAATATCTTTTGAGCATTTCAAATACATAATTTAAGAATTAAATGAGTTTGTAGAAATGTCCATTAAACCTAAGTAATAAATTTGATTCAATTTGTTCATAAAAAAGAAAAGGAAACAAACAAATTATTTTCAATTAATACCCATATGCATCTACATTCCATTACTATATAATTTAATTATAATTCCATTAATAAATAATTTAATTTAATTATTATTATATAATTCAATCTCCCTTTTGCAATTAAAATTTTTATTAAGTAAAATATTAGCCAACAAAATAAGATACTCAAATGTTAAATAAAATATTTTTTGAAAAATACAAGCTTAATCTCAAGTGTCACAACAATTTTCCATTAAAAATTAAAATAACAGAAATTATCTCTATTTTTTATTGAAATATTTAAACACAATAGAAGGTTTTTCCCCTTTTTTAGTCCCTAAACATGCAAACTGAACTAGTCCTTAGACTAGTTTATTTTAAACAGAACTATTGTTGTCTAGTCCCGTTGCCATTGGAGAAGAAGTGAATAGTTGGCTAATTTATTTGATGAGTTGTTTTGCTTTTTAAATATTATTCTAATTTAATATTTTTCAGCAAAACTATGAGTTCAACAATCAAAATTTCCTTTTCAAATATAGATTATTTCAGAATGATAAAGTAGAGTTGATGGAAGCAGGTTTAATCTCTAGTAGAAATCTCAAAATGAAATTAGGATAATTTGGTTGCATCTTTAAAATGCTTATGGACAGGAGAAAAAAAATTTACATCTGCATGCTTTGTCCAAAAATATATATCATAATATGTATCAATTAATGTACCTTAATAAACCCTAAACTTATAATTAAAAAAAAATTAGTTTTTTTTTCACAAACATTTACTTCATTTTTACGTTAGTTCTTTTATACTAAACATCTTATACTATACTTTCATTGTTGTTTTTTTCTCTTTATAATAAAGCTCTATTCTTTTTTTATACTTCTATTCCTTTAAAGCAGCAATCGCCTAAAGATAATAATAAATATACTAACCAACCAAAAGTATTTCAATTTTTATTTTGTATTTTTTTTCACATTTTGGAATTTTTTTTTTCTTGCCTTAATAAATAGGATGTCCTTTATTAAGAAGTAAGACAAAAAGGTTCATAATCATAGAGACAAATACCAGCAGAATAGACTAGTATTTGAAGATGTCCCTAATAAAGATACTTACTATACATACCACACAAAAAGAGTTGTATTTTACTTTAAACATTTACCATCATTATTTTTTTTTTCTTTTTTTAAATATTGTATAAACTGCAAACATAAAGTTGGGTATCTAAAAATATCTACTGGAATATAGTTAAAATTGCCAACTTATGACTATATCCCAGCAAACTAAGAGTCCCCAAGTCCTAAGCCCAAACTAACTATCAGTCTTTAGAAGTACAATAACACAGAAATATATTTTGTTAGCATTTATGAAATTCAAATTAGGGCAATTTCAAGATGCATATACTACTTAATTCTATGTAGGTAAATAACTTTGAAAAAAGTATGCATGAATTTGAATAAAATACTAAATAAAAATTATACAACACTGAAATTTAATACATCAAAAAATAATAAAATAAAATTGAATACTAAGAATCAATGTCCTAGTTTTTAGTTAAATTAGATGAAATTAGAAACAGATATGAATTTTTAAAAACTGTAATTTTTATAACTAAACTGTATGAGTAATTTAGACTATGAAGTTGTTATAATTATGGATAAAACGCAATAGTTGGCACCTCTGTTTAGTGAAACATTTCTCTTTTTTTTTTTTTGCTGTAAACACAACTTCTTTAGGTTACCTTCATTAGGTTAGTAACATATATATTTGTTATTATTATATATATTTGTTATTATTATATATATTTGTTAACATATATATTTGTTAACATATATTAAAAGTATCTTGCAGAAAGATATTAGTGCTAGAGTTGTTTGTTGCAGAAAGCCTGAAAAAATTCTGCAAAAGTGATCCCACTAGTATCTTGCAGAAAGATATTAGTGCTAGAGTTATTTGTTGCAGAAAGCCGGAAAAATTCTGCAAAAGGGATCCCACTACATCTGCTATTAATAGGAGAGAAATACTGCATCGTCTGAAAAATTGTTTTTTAACATTTGAAAAAAGAAATGCTAAAATTGTAGAATGAAATTGGCAAATTCAGCCAGAGTCTCGATTGTTCAAAACTGTGGAAATCCACCCGACCAAAAGTATCAAATTGTCAGATTTCCCCCTATTGGAAAAAAATTCATGGGTATGATTAAAAAAAAATTTATTATCAGTCATTTTGATATCAACTCTGTCATCATGAAAAAAAAGACTTACAATGGGATTTTAGAATGTTAATTCATTACAAGTAAAAACAAAACTTATAATCCTTATAAATGCATCATTATGCCTGTTTAAATTCAAATATCTATTCTTACCATGTAATTGACAGTATGAGTGTGACCTTTTAAATGTTGTTGAGCATGGCTTTCATTCAGTAATGATTCATTACACAGAGAACAGTAAAAAGAGTAATGAGGTTTAACAAATTCAACTCCTAAAAATATAAACAAATTGTTAGTACACTGAGTAAAACAGTTTCAAATAGTGGTTCTGATAACTAAACACTCAAAGCTCTTATAGGGAAACTTATTTTTAAATTTGCCATATTTACCATACGATGCCTTTGTGTAATTTAAATTTAAATTAAGCTCAAAATTAAAATTCTGCTAATGATTTAGTTACTCATCATATAATTAATTTTGAAAGTAATGTATAAGTATGTGGAAACAAAGATAGTAAAAATAACATAGTTCCAACTCTAAAATAATGAAAATGAATACAATTTAAGAAACATTTTAAATTAATGTGGAAATTAGTGTATAATTTAAACTTGAGAATTTCTAAGATAGTTTGTGATGAAAAAAAGGTGTTGTAAATACAAAAAATACATCATAATAACATATTACAATGCATTACAATAAAACTTAAAATTGACTTTAATATTTTGCACATTATTTGCTTAGGATTGTCATTTAAGGTGCCATTTTAAACCATAATGTTGCCAGAGGAACTTTGTGTTGTTCTATTTACTGACATTCTAAAAATAAAAAATATATACCTTTAATGTGCCTTAGAATACAGTCACTTGCAACTTCTTCTTTTTTTGGTTCTTTAAAAGTAGCTGGATTAAATGGGTCAACATGCTGTAAAAGCAAAATTCAAACTATTCTTTAAAATTGAATAGGTTAGCAAAGTCAAAGTAGTATAAAATGTGCCAGATCATACACAGAATTTAAAAAAAAAAAAAGATCAGAAAAAAAAAACCTAGTAGGGTTGGGATTTCTTCCAAGACACTGTAAAGAACCTGAAATATTTTATTTTAAACTTGTTGAAAGTCTGTTAGTTGGTAAAAATAAAAAAATAAAAAATCATAACGTGTTTTTGAAAAAAATCGGGACAATTTTTGAAAAAGTTTAGATATACCAAACTACTATTAAAAAGAATAAAGTAACAAAAAAAGTATTATATTTTGATTTGCTTAGACATAATAAAGGTAAATTTTAATGCAAAAGAAAAATTATATAAGTTTTTATTTAATTTCAGAATTATGTTGTCAAAAAGACAGAAATTTTTAACAGTTTTCAGTATAATTTTATTAATAGAGCACTTAATAACTCCTAACAGTTTAAGATCAATGCATAGAATACTTTAAACTACTGTTGCATTGCATTTAAAAAATTACCAGTATCTAATAATATTCTCTCAGGCCAATATCTTAAATTTAAAAATTTCTTTAATAAAGTAATTTTAAAGTAGGGTATAACAATCTCGAAATCAAAACAATGAATATGCAGCATAACACGTTTATACAAAAGTAATTTAGTGGATGAACCCTCAATTTACCATTCAAATATTCCATAATCAGGGGTCTGTCCAGGCCAAATTTACTACTGTTTAACGGTACCTTCACAAATTCAACTTTAGAAAAAACGGTCGTTTTACAAAATACTTTTTCTTACAATTTTATTTTTGTATCCCGTCAGAAACGATAAATCCATATTTTTTCATTTTTGTTTTAATTTTTTAACGTAATTTTTAATTTTTACAAATTATGTCTAAATTTTCACAAAATAGGTACCTCACAGAAAAACCTAGACAGACCCCTGATAACATATTAACTGTTTTTAATTTTAATTAATCACTTCTAATAACAGATGAAACGGTCAAATTAAAAATCGTAAACTACAATATTCCATCCTACAAATTCGTCATCGCATTTGCTGAAAATAATAAATAAGCCTATGACTCCTGCAATCATATCTATAAAAATTTGACAATGTAAAATCGTTAATAGATTTTTTTTCTCCAGAGAATGCATGATTTCCCAAAAAGTCGTAAAAAATTAATAATGCTGCAAGTAAAGGTTTTATGACTGAACCATACATAATTAGAGGGTGGCCTTGAGTTTTAAGTATTAAATATTGTGATTTTTACTATTATTACTAAAAATTTTATTTTTACCATTTTTACTAAAAATACAAAATTTTTGAATCTTCAATTCAATAATTCATAGATAAGGGGATGTTCTGAACACAGAAAAAGAAAAAAAGAATCAGGAATATCAGGACTAAATATTTTTTTATCGGGAAAATCAAGACGAATATGAAATCTGACATTGTTATGTACACATTTGAAGATGGATTTCAAAATTTCTAGACAACAAAACTATCCAATTATGTAAATCAAAAAAAAAAAAAAAAATGAACTCAAATATTAGCAAATAAAAATATTAAATAAACGCAATTACCTTTAAATGATCAGACGTATAGTAATGATTCAGGAGGCTGGCAATAGTTGTAAACTCTTTACAGCAGGAATCACACCAGTTATGACCTGAATCAAATCCTGAATATTTAACAAGACTTGATACATTACGGGATTTAAAACTGTTCTCATTTACCTGTTGAAAATAAAGCAAATATTGTCATTTCATATAAAATGTTTTTTAATCTGCTATAGATTTAAAACTGAATGGAAAAGAGTGGAAAAAAAAAATCAATAAAATGAAGGCAAGTGGTGAGTGAGGTCAAGATATCTTTCATGAGTTGTAATTCCAAGAAAAGAGGGGCTATAACCAACCGATTCAGAGATTTTAAATTTGATAAAATCTAAAGAATTTCCCCATTACTTTGATTTATTATTATTTTATTATTTTCCCCACTTTGATTTAACATATTTAAGATAACTTGGAAATTTTAACTAGCTCAATTATTTAAAGAATTTAAAATGTTTATATTTCACCCTATGATTATGATTAGTTTAAATGCAATGAAAAGATATAATTTGAACCTAAAAAGAGTAGAAAATATTTTTTTCCTCATTATTTTATGATTAATTTATATGGATTAAGTCAACTCTCTTTTTTTTTGGCTTTTATTCTTAACTTAGACATTAAGAAAAACCAGCTTGCAACATAGGACATATCTTGCACCTAACACCTAAAGGGTTAATATAGGATTAAGGGATAACATAGAAAATGTTATGTAACTAAAAAAAAAAAAAAAAAAAAAAAAAAAAAAAAAAAAAAACTAATTTATATCTTTTAATCTTTTGTAATTTACCTGTGTTTCAACTTCTTCTTGTATTAATTTAAGATCTTCCTTTTTAATTTTATTTCCTAATGCACTTAAGTCTATTTGTTTCTGCTTGGCCTCATCAATTAGTGACTTAAGTTCTTCTTGAGCTTTGTCATGCAGATTTCTACATCTCATAATCAGACTAATCATGCCTTTGTCCATTTCCTCGGGTACGTTTTTCTTTTCAAGTTCACCCAAAAGATTTCTAATTTCAGAAGTGTCTTTCGAAGTATTTTTTAAAGTTTTTTGTAACACATATCTATCGTAATAACACTCTTTATATTTTTCTTTATTCAGGGCATCATTTGCATTAACTTGTTTATCTTCAATATGTTTATCTTTATAGAAACTTGAACCTGATTTTTTTATAGGCATTGATATTGGTTGCCATCTTAAAGAAGACTCAGTAGACTTAGTTACAGGTGAATTATTTTTATTAGATGATTTGAAAGTATCTGTAACTTGGGTAGTATAAGAATTAGTAGTAGAAGTTTTAGTTGCCTGCGTCGATTGAATTACAGAAGTCTTTGATGTAGGAGAAATTTTTACTGAAGACTTTGCACTCTCAATCATTTGATTAATCTGAGAGGTAAGTTTAGCAGAAATATCCATTTGTTTAGAGCTTGCTGTGGAGACAGGAATTAAATTCGGTGCAGAACTTACTGGAGCAGATGGAATATCAGATACAGGAACATTTTTCAAATTTATCCTTGAAATTGGGGGAGGAACTAAGGATCTCGGAGCATACATATTGTATGATGTAGTCATAGGCGATGGATAGTTATATGGCATAGAATTTGGAGCAACAGGAGGAGGATAGTTTGGGGAGTAGGTAAAATTAGAAAAAGGAGATGGTTGCTGCATAGGGTATGAGCTATGAAATGGCAAAGATTGAGGAAATGGAACAGCTGCAGGTGACAAAACTTGTGGTATAATTTGCTGCGGGGGTAAAGCTTGTTGAAGGGGCATAACTTGTTGCGCATGCAAGACTTGCTTTTGCATATCTGGAGCAGCAGATAATGAGGAATTAATGTTTTGGGGAATGTTCTCGTCAAGTTCATTGGTTTTGTCAAATACTTCTTTTCTTGATGGAAATACTTCTAATATTTCCACATCCTCTTCAACTTTTTTACCATGTTGGTTATCAATTGTAACAGATCTTGTTAGAGTATCAGACCCTTTTATTTCTAAGGTGTTATGTGATTTACTTCGCAAAGAGGAACTAGTTTCTGAATCTTGATTTGGACCACTGATTTCTTTAAAGTGCTTTTCTATTCTCAAATTCAATTTTTTTTCATTTTTGAAATCAAAACCAGATAGACCTTTAGTAGAAACATCAGACAAACTATCAGAATTTTTATCAAATAAGTTTTCTGACTCACTACTTGAAGAACTGTCAGATGAAAATCTTTTCTTACCATAGGAATGTTTATGCGGACTTCTCTCTCTAGAATGTTTGGGACTTCTTGAACGTGATTGCCTACGATATCTAGGGCTTCTAGATCGTCCTCTACCATGCCTACTACGCGACCGCCTTCTAGGAGGTGATACTCCATGCCTATCACGTGAATGTGGTTTAGGACTTCTGCCTCTAGAATGGTATTTCTTTCTTTCAGGATTTTCCCAATGATAAGGAGAACGGGTTTTATAATTTGGAGATCTTTCTCGTGCTCTACGATGTGGGCTGTGATCCCTAGATGAAAAACGGGTATCGTGTTCTGAATATTCCTTATGCGTAAGAGCTTTACGGCTAGGAGAATAGTTTCTATTTTTTGGATTCTTATTTGATAGCTTAGATACATTTTCTTTAATTTTCTTGGAACTTTCACTAGAATATCTTTTAGGAAGAGCAGGTCCTTCAACTGCTTTAGATGGTAAATCAGAAAGAGATTTAAAAACGCTAGCATCAACTTTCTCTCGAATTACGCGACGAGTTCCAATGCCTTCATTAGAAAAATTATCAATCATTATGGGACTAGCAGATTTGGGTGTTGTACTTGGAAGATTATCCTCACGCACACGAACAATTCGTTTACTAGACATCATATCGTCAGATTTCAAATTTATTTGCAGTTTGGACAATCTTTCAGGACTTTCTCTATTATCAAAACGAGATATACTAGTGGGATGTCTGGAACTTTGCAAGGAATAATCATTCAAATTAAATTTAGGACTATCCTTTAATTCTTCCTTCTGATTTCGAGGAATGGGAAAATCTTTCAAATATTGTGGTTTTAAATCAAAAGAACCTTCTCTAGGCTGCGATATAGGTGATGGATACTCTTTATTAGAATGAGTAAAATTAGTCATTTTAGAATATTCTGGTGAAGATTTTGCAAAGTCTGATCTCCATTCAGAGTCTAATTTCTGGGAGAGAACTTGCTGAGGAGGTGTTTCTAAGTTTTTATTAAAATAAAAATCATCACTCTGCTGCACAGCTTTAACTTTGTCAGAAGTCGTACTACCTTGAGATAAATACTTATTGATGGCATCTTTAGCATCAGCGGTTAATGATCTACCTGATATAGAGGGATTACTGCTTCGAATCAATGAGTCTTTAGATTTTCTTTCCATGATTTTCCTTTCGTCTGATCTCTTCGCATAAGGACCTCTATACGGTTGAAATTTAAGCAATTCTGAATCCTCATCATCACTCCAATTTGTATCAACTAAACTAGTTTCAGAATTCTTGTTTTGTTCAGTTACTTTTTTAGCTGGTTCTTCGGGTAGAGGATTAGAATCCCCATACAAAAATTCATCTTCATCATCTATTGACTGCAGATTGCTAATAATAGGCTTAACACCTGTATATGGACTTGATGCGTCTGATGATGGCGGTCTCGTGCTTCTTTCATGTGAAGCAACTTTTTCATTTGGATTTGTATAGATAGATGAAAAGTCTGTTTCTGCAGAAGATGCAAATGAAGAATTGTAAAAATTGTAGTCATTTTTATTTGAATAAGCAGGCAAATTTCTGTTCAAGCTATCTCTACTAGGAGAATGAATTGGAGAACTTCCTTGTAGTGTCCCATAGTTACGTAAAGATTCTAAAGCAGATGAGCTTGATTTATTGTCCATTAATCCAAGATTTGATTTAGCAGCTAGAGCTTGAGCATACAGCTCAGAATTAATGTTCTTAGATCCAGAAGAGAACCTTGATGGAGATGGGGGAGGATCTTCATCACAGAATATTGGTAAGTTCCCAACACCCTGCAAAAGAATGAAATTATAACTATAAAGAGGAAGGAAAATGTTTTAAAATTTTTAATCAATTATATTTTATGTTGTAAAACTGTAATTAAAAAAATTCCAGACAAAACTTTACATTATATTAACATATCCTTTTTGAAACATATTCTTATAAAAGTACAATTAAAAATATTATATTTTTGTGTAACAAAATAAAGATAATTTCTAAAAATCAGATAATTTTTGACCTAAATGTAGTAACTAATTTGAGACAAAATTTTTGACCTAAAAGTAGTAACTAATTCAGGACAGATGGAGCATATATTTTTATTCTCCAGAAAAATTATTTGATTTGATATTAAAAATAATTTGATTGTAAATGTCACATTAGACCCACAACGAGCTATTAACAACTGTTAGGATATCATGCTTATTAATTATCTGAGGACAATCTTCACCAATCCTGAGGACAAGCATTACCTACTCTATTACAATTTAGATATAGAAAAAGTAGTTATTGATACATCAACCGATCTCATGCTTTGTAAATATCTATCAATTTACTTGAAAAAGCAAAATTAAAATACAATTTTAAGCATCAAAATCATTTCAGTATTCACTAATTATTAATAATCACTGATACAATAATTCCTGTTTTTTTCTTCCTTGTATTTTTTCCCCTTCCTTCACTTGCTATATTAAGAATTATTCACGGTAGTTATTGTGATTGCCATTGATATGCTACTCCATAATGATGCACTTAAAAAATTAAACAATTAACCTTAGAAATAAATATCTGTATATAATCACTAGAACAAACAAAAGTTTTGTTTTCTATAATTGGATGTAAAACTAAAGAAGTGGACAATATTAAAAAAACAGTTCTTTCCTCACAAATACAACATAGTATAAAAAATTTTCATTTTATATAAAATTTCTATAATAATATTGTTAAGATAAATAGATGTTTAATGTAAATCTGTAAAAAATGAAGGCAAAATGCAAAAAAGCGGTCAACGAATCGAATCTGACGACAAAACTACCTTACCGACCGTGTTCATGAAGTGACAAGTTGACGAACTGACCAAATCAAGAAAAACGACCTTATCATCAAAATTACCAAGCCGTTTAAATGGTTTGTCGATGAAGTGATTGTCGAGGAAATGAACCAGACCCTTTGTAGCCACTCCCAGGCAATCAGAAATATCCCAAGATTTCCACAACACTGTCTGCCACTGAATAATCACCAAGCCTTGGCAACTTCCCGACAGTGACCTGCGAGAAACTAAAAAGAGATATCACAGAAGCGGAATAACTCGAAGGGTATAACTCACGATCACTTATGTATGTTTCTCAAAGAAATTTTGCAAGCTTTAAGTCTATTTGGCTCCTTGGCGATTGTAGTTGACTCTACAGATCACGATACGAAAATATCACCAGGCAATCATATGCATGTTTTTGTTTTAAGAAGTATAAAAATCATATGGTGATTGTAGTTAGCATGAACAGGTTGTAAATACTCCCTCATTTTCGATATAGCATTATATACAACATAAAATTAGTTTTAATTAGCACAATTTATAATTGTAAATTAATTAATTAAAAATAAATACCGGTCTGTCAAAAGTCCTAGGATCTCTATTAGAATGGAGATCAGCTCTACTAGAGTAAATGTTACTAGAGCTTAAAAAATTAGACAGATTTCTATTAGGATACTGAGACATTGCCGTATCAAAACTCGACAGCCTATCCTAAAACATAGAGAAGTTGCACAAAAAAAGGAAGCTTTTTAATATTGTAATAAAAATTTCAACTTGTCATGTTGTTATTGTTTCATTTAGTATTTAAAATAATAACATTTCATCAAAAATTTAGGATATTAAAGAGGACAAAAAAATTTTTATCTATCACGACGGTAAGCATTTGACCACTTATTTCTTCGTCATTTTATAAAGTTTATCTACTAGAACTTTGACTTTCAAAGTTATAATTTCTCTTGTTAGTCTTGAGAGCTACAGAAATAGTCAGTCAGAAGTGGTTTCATAGGTATTAATCAAAACAAACCAGCATTGCGTTCTTACTTGTTGATTGCATTGCTTTCTTTTCATTAAAAAAGTAACGGGATTTTCGTTAAAATATCTTTGTTGTGAATATCTAAAATATTTGTCATAATTAGTACATTTTTTTATCAGAACCGTAAAGGGCCTGTTATTGACTGAATAAGAAACAGACCAGAATCCATAAAATATGAGATACGCTCAGCTCGTGATTGGTCCTGCTGGTTCAGGCAAAGTGATTATTTTGCTATCTTTATTGTCTTAATTAAAACTTAGAGTGGCCATCCGCAAATTCTGGAATTTTTTTAAGATTTCCCTCTTCATTAATTTTAGTTTAGTAGGCATAGAATTTACTTTATAAACTTATGAATATTTTTGTAACTCCCTAACTTACAAATCGGCAAAAACCTATATTTTCCATGATGAGAGGACAAAAACTCATTTTTGATACAAAATTATTCCTAAAATTGAAATATATACTATAAATATAAATATTTACAAGAAATTAACAAAATTATTATTCCATAATTAAATCATAATGTAATATATCATTTTAGTAGTTTAAAACATTGATTGGAAAATTTGATTATTCTCTTTTTTCCAATGAAATGAACTTATTTTAAAGTAATATAACTATAATTTAAAGCATAAAATATCTATCAACATGTGTAGTTAATTATTGTACAAATAATAATATTTATTTATTTGTAAAAAAACATTATTTAAGGATTCTAAAATGAAAAGAGGTCAAAAACTTTCAATCTCTTAAAAATTATTCCCCTTATATTAGTTATTTATATGTTAAAGATAATTTTTTCATGTGATGTATCAAAATTATTATTCTTTATGATTGATTTAAATTTGTTTCAAGTATTTTGTAATAATATTTAATCAGCATTTTAGATAATTTGGTTTTTGCCGGTTTTTACCAGTTTTTGCTAGTTTTTATCAGGTTTTTGCCACTGTCCTGGCAAAAAACCCTTTTTGCCGGCAAAAACTCCAACCCTGGTTCATTCGAATTTGAGGTACCAGTATTTAATGTATTCAATTTGGGACAATCCCATTGTAATTTCAGGCCGCTTAATGATACTTTTTTCAAAAATTATCATTTTTTTCGACCTTTTTCTCAAGATTTTTTAATTTTAATATTGTAGTGCAATGTTCACAGCATTTGATGATGGTCGTAAGTTATTAATAATTTTTTCGGCCCTTTTACATGTTTTTTTTTAAATTTTTTTTTTTAATATTGATAGGTTTAAGAGGATGTTCGAAATTCAAATTTGAGTTATCACTTTTTGATGTGTTCGATTCATGGCGATTCTGTCACAATTTTGCAGTGTTTTATGATAGGTTTTTTGGACAATTATTTACCATTCTATCGGCCCCTTTTACATGATTTTTCAAAATCTGATATTTTTAATACAATGTTATTACCATGTTCAATTCGTGTCGATTCCATTATAATTTCCCGGATGATAATGGATCGTTCAAAAAATTCATGTTGATTCTATAATACTAGATAATGTATTAGCACGAATTTTACAGACAACCTATTGGTTTCTTCAGCATTTATTTGTAATTTTTTCGGCTTTTTTCTCATGATTTTTCTATTTTCTCCTATATTTGTATGAGACTTAATATGCTTCTTTTAACGTTCGATTTGAGACAATTTCGTCATAATTAACGTTTCCTGGTTGTTTTTTGGGCTATTTTATATCATATTTTCGATCAAATTAATATTTTCATATTCCGATAATACGCTATTGTGATACGTGAATTTGGAGTTTGATGTATCACTTTTTTAAGACATCCGATTCGCAATGAATGTAATGAATAGTAAAATAAAAAATACTATGTTTTTTTACATAAATTGTTATATGTTGTTAAAATAGTTTTATGTGATTTTTGTTAACGTGTTATCACTTTTTAAAGTAAAATTATGAATATCATATTTTGTGCATCTTGTTTTTGACATAATGTTACATTCTTCTTATTTTTGACATTATCATTTTGCTCTTTATGCCTTGCCTGCATGCTACTAAATCCCTAAGATCGCCTGCTTGCTAGCAAAAAGAAATCGAAAAACAACAAGCAAGGGGTTAATTAAAAAAAAAAAGCTTTTCTCACCAAATGTATATACCTAAGGCAGTATTCAAGCTAAGCAGGGCGGCAAACCCTGCTTGCCCTTTGATTCCAATAAATGTGCCCTTTTTGTAAAAGTAAGTCGCCATCCCTGAAAAACTTTGCATTTTTATACAGATTCCATTTTTTAAAAAAGTTAATCACTGTTTTTGAATAATAATTACTCACTGGTAAAATTATATGTGTTTAAAGGTTTAATTCTGATTACTATGACAAATATTTAGTTTGTTAGGATTATTCTCAACTAGTTAAATTTTTGTAACTATCTTTTTTCGGGAGGGGAACATTAATTAATTTTTTAAGTGGTTTCTAAATTTAAAAGTATTTTTTTTTAAATAAATACCTTTTTTTTTTCAAAAAAAAATTCATCTTTAAATATTCATTTTGTTATAATTTTCAGTTTAAGTTATAGAAAAAAAGCTTTGAAATTGTTATTCAATTAATCATTTTTTACTAGTTTACTTTTTTTAGAGAAAAAAAATACATGTGTAGGTTGCGTTTAAGCATGTCTTATTTTTATAAACTGCAAATTTTTCTCTTATTTTGATGATGAGAGAGAATTACCATTTGAAATATGCTCATATAATAGTATGAGAAGATAATTTAAATATTGTTGAGCATAAAATTCAGTTATTACATAATATTACAGGCATTAAATGAGTGCCCTTTCAAAATACATTCTTAAAGTACCCTTTTTAGAGAGGAAGCGCCCTGCTCCTTTTATTCCTAGGAAACTCTGCTTAAGGCTTTTCGAACTAGAGGTTTTGTATGCAAAATGAAAAGAATCATTCTGAGTGTCTCTATGAATAATTATTTTTCGTAAAAATCTTATCATTTTGTTGATTTTTGACATTTATTTTTTACATTATTTTCAAGTCCACTTATTGCTCTACTGTTGTGAAGTACTGTTCTGATGCCCAAAGGTTTGTCAAGGTTTTCAATCTTGATCCGGCTGCTGAGTGTTTTACTTATGAACCTATTGCTGGTATGTACATTTTAAATTTGAAATTAATAAAAAGAAATTTTATCAATGTAGTTTATATTTAGAAGCAGGATTTAATATTATTCTTGCTTCTAAATACTGTAATCTTTAAACCTATTGCTTTTATTGTATATCAATCTATTCAACCATAGATATTCAAACCTGAAATTATGGTGGAATGTTTTGCTTATGTACCAAAGTTGACTTTTACAACCATTAAAATGTATATTTTGAAAATGAAATTGTAATAACTAATTCATAAAATATAAACAACTATTCAATTCAGGGTTTGAAAAAACCCGGGGATTTTTGAAAAAACCCAACCCGCCTGGGTTTTATTGAAAAAACCCGGGGAAAATTGAGTTTTATTTGAAAAAACCCGGGGAAAAGTGGGTTTTTTCATTTAGTGCTCATAAATTTTACTGTGAAAATATTTTTATTTATTAAATAGTGTTGTATAAGTAAACACTAAAATTTCATCTGACTTTTACCTGTAATAAAATTAAACTGGAATAAATATTTAATGGTCTTCCATGTTTTTATAATACGATTAATAGAAAGTGAAATTAAAATTACGTATAATTATAAAGAGTATCAGTTACTTGTCCCTTTTTTCAAATATTTAGATAAATATATGCATTTTAACTTTATAGTTTCAAAAAACAAATTAATCTTAAAATTATAAAAAAGCATATATAAAAAGTTATAGCTCATTTTTTTAAAATCAGATAATAAAACTTTAAATTTGTTTATTGTTGTTTAATGTATCACTTAATAAATTTTTTTTTGTTTGCTTTCAATATTTTTAAACATGATTAAAAGAAACAAAATAAATTGTATTCAAATGAAATCTTAAAAATATTTAAAGAATCTTAAAAGTAATATTTTAATTTTTAACTGTTTTTTAATTGTGATAAACTTTCTCCAAATAGTTAAAAATTGTCAGCAGATGTTAAGAGTTAACTTTAAAAAAAAGGTCAATTTTTTCCTTTATTATTATTATCATACAACAGATTCAAAGTGTCTACATTTCTCTCTTAGATGGCAATACACTTTTACGAGTTTTGTAGCTTTATCTATTCCTAATCTATTTCGAAGTTTACTCTGCACCAAACCGAAAGTTGAAAAGTGTCTTTCGATAGAGACAGAGGATGCTGGTGCTGAGTGCAAAGAAAAAAGAATTGACAGAAATTTTGTGGAAGCTAGGAATTTTATTTATTTACTTATTTATTTATTTTTTTTGCCATAATTTTCCACTATTTTTTGATGAAAACTGTTCAATAACAGTGTCAAGCATCATTGATTTTGGAAAGTATTCAGGATCGGAAATTTTGGATGCCATAACACGTGGCAGAAATTCTGGATGATGCTTAGAAAGACAGCTTTCTGCTAATTGGTCTTGTTCATCATTTAAAAATTGTCCCCTTGTTTCGGGATCCAGGATGCATATGCTAATAAATGATGTGGCTGAACAGCCTGATTGAATCTTTTTACAAAATGTTTATGGGGTTCTAATTCATCACACGATAGTAAGTTAATTCATATTTCAACAGCTTCTGAAATTGAAATGTTTTCTGATTGAAGCTTTTTTAAAGCTTAAGAAACAATTGATATCTGTTTTTCCCAATTGATAGTTTATTGGTAAAGCCCAACATTATTTAATATTTTTGACATATTATTATTAGATTCATTTTGATGTTCAAGAACAATCTCTTCATATTTATGGTAATTATTGGCAAAAGTTTTTACGTGCTCATAATATGAATTCCACCTAGTGTCATTGGGTCATCAAGCAGTTTTTTTCATTTGCCCATCCATGTGCTTGATGCACATTTCTAAAATATTTGTTAACTTCAACGATGTGTCCAATGATAGTATTAGGAGATACTTCTTTTTGAACCAAATTTAAAAAAAACAATTTGTGAAAAAAACCACCAAGTGGGTTTTTTCAAAGTGGGCCCACTTGGGGAACCCTGGTTATATGTATTTTATATTAAGTTTAAATAACGCATTATCACTAATACATATTTGAATCTTCTTTATTTTTAAGTACATTACGTTTCATAATTTTTTAACTCAAGAATTATAAAATATAAATGCAGTAATATAAAAGGAACAAGTTTATTAATCTTTTTGTTTTCACACACATTTATTTACTATATTTATTAAACATATGGATATTACCCATTATAAAATTATAATCTGTAAATATTTATAATCAGTAAAAACTAAAATTTCATCTGACTTGAGTTAAATAAAAAACTGAAATAAATATTTAATGGTCTTACATGTTTCTATAATAAGATTAATAGAAAGTGAAATTAAAACTACGTATAATTATAAAGAGTATCAGTTACTTGTCCCATTTGTTTTCAAATAATTAACCCTAGAAAAGGATTTCATTTTTAGATAAATAATTTTAAAAAGTTCTCCTATAAAAAGTTTTAGCTTTTTTTTTTCTTAAGCTAGAAAATAAAACTGTTTAAATTTGTTAATGTATCACTTGGTAAAAAAAGAAAAAAATTGTTTCTTTTCAATTTTTTTTAATATATTATATTATTATATTACCTGTATGTATTATATTACCTGTTTATTAATATATAAAGCATGCAACTATAGTTGAAAAATTGATCTTTTCAGACTATATTATTTAAATTTTTATTTGATTTAATATCATTAAAATATTACTTTTTTGAAAAAACCCACTTGAAGTTTTCAATAGCACCTACTATAAAAATTATATGAATATTTGAGTTTCTTTTACTTTACTAATATTAAAAACTTAATCATATAAATCATGCAACTCTATTTGACAAATTTATGCTGCACAATAAATTATATAAAAATAAATGTGAAACAATAAGTTTTAGTAAAAAAAAAAATTTTTTTTTTTTTGAAAAAACCCACTTATCGTTCCAAGTGGGTTTTTTCAAGGTGGGCCCACCCAATAAAACCCAGGCGGGTTTTTTCAAAGTGGGCCCACTTGGCGAACCCTGATTCAATTAGTCGCCTATAAATTATGCATCCAATTTATTTTCCTAAAAATAGCTTCCATGTCCTGTTAATCTTATCATAATCCATAAACTTCTCAATTCATATTAATTTTACAAACGACTAGCTATTCTACAATGGAATTCAAAACAAAATTTCTGCAACGAAAAAAAACTTAGCACAGCATTGCTTCAAAGTTGTTCTGAAAATTCCAAACTCACCTGGGTAGTGTAGATAGATAAAAAAAAAAAAAANAAAAAAAAAAAAAAAAAAAAAAAAAAAAAAAAAAAAAAAAAAAAAAAAAAACACTTTTAACTCTCTTAGAAAGTCATCGGTGAAGGGAATTCTGGGCAAATGTATGGCATTTAATATCTTTAAAAAAAATGAGTGAGGGTATTATCTGACTATGTCAATTCCATTGCTCTCCCCCCCTCTCTTTATTTTAATTATTGAAAAACTAAAATTTATGATTTATATTTATGTTGCTAGATGTAAGAGAATTAATACAATTGGATGATGCTTTGGAAGATGAAGAATTGCATTATGGTCCAAATGGTGGTCTTATATTTTGTTTAGAGTGAGTATCCTCTCTTTTAATTTAAGAGATTTTGTCTTCCATTTTTATTGTTATTTGTTTAACTTATTTGCATATTTCTTAAAAATTGTATCATTAAACAAAGCTATAGTGTTGATAACTTTATATTAAAATAGTATTTTTCATTTATTTATTTATTTTTTTTTGAAATATAGATATCTTACTGCTCATTTGGAATGGCTCACTGAACAACTGGGAGACGAACAAGATGATTATATTTTGTTTGATTGTCCAGGTAGGGATTGAATTTATATAAGATATATTTCAAAATTTTAAATTCATTTATAAAAATTTATATTTACACATTTTATTATATTCGTATCAAATTTATATTTTTAGGGCAATAAAACACAAATTCTATTTTTAGGACTTCATTTCAATATTTATAAATAGTCAGATCCACTATCAAGGTCATGTTATAAATAGTCAGCTTAACTATTAGGTTGAATTTTTTTTTTTTTTTTTATCTAGGTAGTTTTTAAGTTATACGAATCTCTCTTCTATGCTTTTTAAATTTTTTTTCTCTAATTAGATAGAAAACTTTAATTTAATGCTTAATACCTTTCATCACAATTCTATAATCTCTTTTCAATGACTGACACATGTAAATAGACAATGACTTGCTCCAAGTAAGGTAAAGTGTACATGTTTTTTGGATTTTAAGGCCAGTAATTGCAAATCTTAACAGTATTTGTTTAAAATATTTTGAGCTTTGTTTAATTTTTATTCGATATTTTTTAAAAATCAAACAGAGTTGAAAAAATTTCTAATTTAAACATATTATTCTCAATACAAATTATGATCATGCAATGAGTGAAATCTGCAATAAGTGATCTTTGGGAATTTTGTTTCTTAAAAGAAAATATGTGAAGATAACTTTTGATTTTTATGCTTTTGTTCATATCAGATTAAAAATATTTGTATGTTTCTTAGAAGCTTATTTGTTCATACTACAGGTCAGATTGAACTCTACACACATTTAGATGTAATGCCTAAAATTGTTGCTCACCTGCAACAGTTGGATTTTATTGTCTGTGGTGTATTTCTTATTGATTCTCAATTCATGATTGAACCTTCAAAATTTATATCTGGTCTCATGAGTGCATTGTCAGCAATGATAACTCTAGAAATTCCTCATGTAAATGTGCTTTCCAAGATGGATTTATTGACAAAGCATACAAGAAAACAAATCGAAAGGTATCATTTATTTACATTCTAAGAATTTAAGTTCTCTCATTGCATTGAGTATTACCTTCTTACTGCCATTAAAAAATTGCACTATGTCGAAACGTGTTTCATGGATAACTTCATATTTATTATCCTCATTGAGATCTTTTTTTTTTTTTATTTTTTATGTCAAACTTAGTTGATAGCATGATTTGTGTTCATTGTGTTGAAAATTTAATCACAGTTAATAAAGCATAAATTCCTCCATTTAAGCAGTGTGTGTCCCAAAATCAACATGCTGTACTTTAGAAATGATTAATTTATTAATTAATAATGTCTTCAGAAAATAATTTATTACAGGCATGCTACTCTTCCCAGGGACCGGGGAATTTTGCTTTTGTTTTGCCTAATTGCTTCACAATATTAGAAATATTACAATATTAGAAAGCACTTTTTTTTTTCAGATATAATCGTGTGACCTGATGACAAGATTATATCTTTTCTTTTTTTAAAAATTTTTTTTAATATTTTATGAATTTTATATAATTGCAGCCTATGCACAGTAAATAGCCCTAATTTTTTCATAATTTTCTTCATTAATCTTTTTTTTATCCTTTTTACAATTTTTAAACATAAAATTTTTAGGCAAATAAATATTTTTATTTCAGTTTTTATCTCCAAGTTAGTTAGTTATTTTTACTGTTTTTCAGATATTTAGATCCAGATTTACAATATTTGTTGGAAGATGAACAATGTGCTTGCAAGTGGGGCAAGAAGTTTTCAAAACTAAACAAAGCAATTTGTAGTCTAGTATGTATACTGTCTTCTAATATACACATATTTCACATTTGTATATTGTAGCGTAGCTACCACTACAATTATTCTCAATTCCAATTCACTATTATATATAAGGCGTGTTGACTCGATTCTATCTACCTTTAGATAGATAACAGTTGACGTTGCCGGTAGCATAGCCTCACAATATAACATTTGAATTTACTAGGTTTCCTGATTAATCAGATCTTGACCAATTTTTCATTATAAAATTTCAATCCCAATGTTTTTTAATTGGAAATGCATGATTGCTATAAAAACGTGGAAAAATATTTTTATTTAGAAATTCCAAATTTCAAGGTTATAATAATATTAATGTTCATAAAAAAGAATTTTAATTATAGTTGATTTAATTTGACAAAATATCTCAAAGTGCTACTTTTTAGACCGTACATAAAATGGCTGTTTAAAAAAAAATGAACTTTTTGATATTTCAATACTTATCTATCATTTAGTATGGTGTGTCTTTTTCTGTATTTCTAAGATACACAGTTTAAATCACTAATGTTACGCATCCTGAGGTGCAGCTTTGTGCTAGCTGACATATGATAAAATATAAACTGAGCATCATGTGAAGCAGAAAAGGGAATTATAAACTTCACATAAAGAAATTAACCGAGCAAAATATTGTATGTGTGATAAATGCTCTTCTGTAAATAACCACTCTGCTGTAAATAATAGTAAAGCGCTGATTTGTCCAGTTAACTTAGGTAGGGCTATGACCACATGTGTTTTTTACCTCTTTCTCTTTAAAAACAAATATCTGTCTTTTTCTTCGAATTCTCTAAAGAGGGTAGAAAATTGCCTCTTTTGTAGTTCGGTGTCCTTAGAAGGGGGGGCACACTCTATTCATGTTTATTCTGCCTTGTTAATTATATCAATGAGGTTGCACCTATCTTCACATGCGTCTGGGAGTTACTAAGATGATTGGGTAGCTGGTAAGATCTTTTGATCTTTAAAATGAAAGAAGCTTGTCTACAAACTCCAAATGAAGAAAGTCCCCCGCCTACTCAACTGGGAACAACATTTTGCCTTAGAAAAAATATTTGAACTTTTGTTCAATTTGGTATACAAAGCAGATTTGCTGAAAACATCTTTATTGGGGATCCCGTTGGTAAAAGGCGAGTTTTAGTATAATGAATCTATAAAGTAAGGTATAATATTGTTTAAATTAATTTAAAATTTATAAATGTTTATATATGATTTTATAGCATTGGTATTCAGGTAATTAAAAAAATTTTATAAATTATTTAAAAAAACTTTAGTTTAATTCAGTGTACGAAGCCAATTTGACGAATGCATCTTTATTGGAGATTCCGTTAGTAAAAGGTCAGTTTTAGTAGAATGAATTTACAAAATTAGGTATAATAAGATTAAAATTAAATAGGGTAAAATAAGATACATGTTCAAGGTATAGCTGTGTATATAATAATATAAGAGCTATTGTGATGTTTTCGAACAATCCGTAAATTATTTTCTACACTCATGTGACACAATTATAATAACAAATATTGAATTGCGAAGAAAATGCCTGTTTGTCAGCTTATTTTAAGATATTAATGCACAATTACAAAAAATAAAATACTGAAGGCACCGCTAAAAAATACTGAAAAAAATCACTTGCCTAATATAAGTAAAGCAATAAAACATATTCAATTAAAAAAGTGTTTATTTTAAAATAAGGATGCTTTAATTTGGTGTAGAAGGCAATTTACAAAAAGATGATGGCACAAAAATACTTTTAAATGTAAGGAAAAAAATAAATAACTGACCTGAATCAGTATGTTAGGAAATCTTTAATTCATAAATTATATTGTGGCTAAAAGTATTTTTATGTTAAATAATTCTTAACAAGTCATATTCTATCTTAAATTTTTACCTGTTTATATAGATAATTATTCTACAGTACAGAACCAGTTATCCGGAAATCAGAAAACCGGAAAACCAAAAAACCGGAATGAAATTCGATAAATTTTCCCGCCATTTTTTTTGAAAAAATATTTTTTTCCTCATAAGGTTTTAGGATTTTTCTTTCTTTTTTGAACGATGTTTACCTTACCATCATTTTGGAAATAATCATTAGTGTATTACTTCATAGTTTTTTCTTCTTTTTAAAATTATTTCCAAATATTTTTTTTAAATTGGTTTAACAATAAAAAGAAACGGTTTTTTGTAGCGATTCAGAAAACCGGAAAAATCAGTTATCCGGAAGAGCGATGGTCCCGATCGTTCCGGATAATCGGTTCCCTACTGTATTATCTTAATGTATTATCAATCAATCAATCAATCTAATATTTTATCTGATTTCTTTTCAGGTAGAAAATTATAGCATTGTGAAGTTTTTACCATTAAATATCAAGAATCAGGAAAGCGTCGGTGACCTTCTACTCACAATTGACAATGCAATACAATATGGAGAAGATTTAGATGTAAAAGTTAAGGTACTTTTTTTCTCCCTTCAAATTACTTCATTGGAAACAAAATACAGCATGTATTATAATTTGGCAAAAGAAAGCTTTAAACTTAACTAATTTTAGCTGAAACAAAAACATATTTTCTCACAGGCATTTTTTTGTTCTGGAATGATCTTAATGCCTTTAATCACAATTCACATTTCACTAGGTTCACATTTATTTTAAGCTTTATTGCCTGTTTAGTATGTAAGTTGATTTATCATGCCTTTGTACACCATTTTGTGCTTCTTTGATGCACAGTAAATACAATTCTTATGAAACTAAAGCAAAAACACTAACTTATATTCAGCTATTGTTAGATAACTGCATATAAATGTCAAAATATCTCTTTTTTTTTATCTGTTTGTATGAAATTTGAAAAAAATCGAAACCATTAATTCTGTATACATATTTTTTTTTACTAGTTTAGTTTTTGAACCTATAAAATATAAGTGTTCTATCTAAAAATATGTCTGAACAGTTTAGTTTAGTTGGGTCTTTTAATGTTTTTTTTTATGCTTAGCCATATCAGGGTGAAATAGTTCCGAATAAATTACATTTGAAAATATTAACCTTTTTAAATTTTTAACTGTTTGATTGATTTTGTTCAAATTTTTGATTCTGTCATTCAAAATTACTTTGTTGAAGCTAGTACAATTAGTTGTCGTTAATTGAGATTATTCGTCTAAAATCAGATTCAAAAATTCAGATTGTTTTTATTCCAATATTAGTAGAAAAAGGAAATTATTGTGAAAGTGCACTTGACATTCCTTAAGAAAAAAAAAATTGTGTTCTACATCCATATATTGATTTCAAAATTGAGAATTACAGCTTTCTGATATCTGTGCAAAATAGTCGTGCAATTCTATTCCAGCTATTATTTCCAGCTAAGAATTTAGAAAATCACTTTGAATAATTCAACTGAAATGTTGATAGTTAAATTTATTATCATAATTCAATACTTATTACAGGGTTCCCTTTGGTCAGGGAGAACAGGGAAAACGTAGAATTGCCAGGGAATTTTATTTTGATTCTATAAAGCGGAGAATAGTCAGGAAAAATTGCAATTTTTTATAAAACCTGAAAAATTTCAATTTCATACTTTGAAAATAACCAGTCTCAGAACAGTCAGCAACACTAATCAGTTATTTAAATTCAAGTTAAATAATTCTAGCATCTATTACAAATATTTGTTGCAAAAATGTCACATTTTAATGAAACTTTCAAGCTTTCATCATTATTCAATGATTTTTTTTCATACAAAATCTAATATTTGACATCTCAAAATTAAAAAAAATGTAAGTTTTCTGCTGAAATATTTCAAGGTATATATAAAATATGGTCTTTATTTTCACTGAAATTTTCTTGATGTACCTGAAAAAGAGAAAGTCAGTGAATTCTTTTTCTGAAATTGAGTGGGAACCCTGTTATTTTGTTTTTTGCTTAAAAATATGGTAATATGTGATACATCAAAATAAAAAAAATTTTGTTTTTAATGTTTTGCAGTATCCTGAAGAAATAGATGACATGGAAGACAATGATATGGATTATACATAGTGTTGTAATTAATTAAGCATAAATGTTTTCAATGCTTCTATACTTTGTAACATATTTTTCATAAAATCCATTTGTAAATAATTTAAGATTTTTTTTAAATAAATCACTTATTGAAATATTTTTATTTAAGTAGCATGTTTAATTATTTATTGAAGATGGAGGATATCATGGAACTTCAGTTGCTATATTAGATCAGCTATTGTTTCTTGTACATATTGTTTATTTTTGTATTAATTTTTTTCTCAAAATGCATGGAATTTTTTTTTTGGGGGGGGGGGAATTACACTTAATTATAAAAGTCAAATATAAACATTCTTTAATACTTTTTCAGAACTTGAACCATCACATACTTTTGTATTGAACTGTATTTGATTGAACAATGCATGTTCACTAAATAGGTTATAGCGCAAATTATATTTGTTATATTTCTGTAATAACTTATGTACTTAATTTTAAGTCAGATCAGTCAACATTAGCAACAATTTTATCTATAGAAAACTAGGAACACTGCAGGTCTAATAATGTACTTTGCAACCTAGGTATGGATACTGTCTTTACAAAACTTCTCCTACTACATAATCCACTTGTTTTAAAATTAATATAATTTTGTTTGAATAAAACAAAATCTAATAAATTTTTCTTGGTAGGTAAATTATTTTACTGTAATGATTTGAAAGTTGTATTCCAAGATGAATGTATATGATTATGCAATTTCAATCTGAGGGTAATTTTTTTTTTAATGTTATCTTAATCTTAGTAATATTTTATTACATAGGTTTCAATTTTATTTATTCAGGTTTAATTTAAAAATAATCTGAACTTAATACCAAAACAAAAATTTATTTTGTTTCTAAAGTTTTCAAAACTTAATACATAATGTTTAAAATTATGTACAAAGATGATTAAAATTATAGATCTTAGAAATAAGATATAACATGATAAAATAAAAAAATACTTTGACAAATAATAAAGTGAAAAAAATACCTTGACATCATTAGTTTATTTTAAATTAAAAAAAATCAAAAGTAATGTTAAGTATAAAACAGAATTGTGATTAAACAAAAATATTTAAGTATTGTAGCAGAAAAAAGAACTAGAAAATATTTTTAAATATGGAAATTAAATAAGTTGCGCTTATCCTATGTAGGGTTATTTTTAAAATATTTTTCTTAGCATCCAAAGACATAATATATGTATGCAATCCTTAAAACTTAATTAGATGGATTACAAATTACTTTTTAATGATTATTTTGAGAGATTCTTTGACCGATTAGAAATAGTAGCAGTACCAACTTTATTTTATTAGTATAAGTATGATTTATTAGCATTAGTTGAAAGTATTATCTTGATGCATCAAGAAGATACAAATTTTATTTTGTTTTCTTTATTGAAAAAGGTATAGATTTTTACTAATCTCCATGTATTATGAATAATAACCTAGCAGACATGTGTGGGCCATTCTCTGGTATACACTTGCCCGGTATTTTCTACACTGTTTTTTTTTTTTTTTTTAAAGGTAAAGTTCATTGCTCGGTATTTCTTACACTGATCTTTTTAAAGGCAATTTCATATGAAGAATACATTTTTTTATCTACTAACAGGCCTGAATTTCTTTTGTTTTATGGTGACTTATAAGACCCCCACAAGTCTAACCTTTAATTCATCTATAATGCTGACTACTAAAACATGTACAAAACATAAACACGAATCAATGTCAATCCAATTAAAATCATTTAAAAATTAACCATATACATTTAAAAATGTGAATATATCTAAGAATTTAATAGAAATGTGCATACTGCATTACTTTCCACATGGAATTCCAAGAATGAGTTAGAAAACAGTTGAGTTTGTTTATTATAAGCACTAATAGACCAAAATCCAAGGTTTAGTATGAAAATTTTTAATGTTAAAAAACTTTTACAAAGTTCTTATTATGAGCTTAACCAAGATTTAATGAGGAAATTTCCTAAACTTCTTGAAAATTATTTTATTGGCGATATCAGAATAAAAAAGAGCATCTGGATGTTTGTAGAAATTTTATTCCCATGTAATTGAGAACACCTCTTCGGTTCAATTTGTTCGAACATTGTGTGCGGATTGGTGATAAATTGAATTAATAATGAGAGATCCGTCACATGTCTTGCCATGAATCATACAACCAGTTGAGAAGCTTTGGAATGATTGTTAAAAATGTGTGGTACTTGCAATAAAATTACAAAAACCACTCAATCCTAAGAATAAAAATATATCAAAATGGTGAAAAAACATTTATACCAACCAAGAAATTCCTAATTTTTCTGGAATTAACAATTGTAACAATGTATTTTACATAACAAGCTTCCAATACAAAACAGAAAAACAGCCATTAGATTTTGTGATATAACATATTTATTTTTAAAGGATCGGGTGCAATACCCATAACATAGAGGTAACCAGTGAGAAGACCAACGATATTCCTCATGCCATTCCTGTTGAGGAGAGCCCGTTCCTGGAGCTTGAGAAGCTCCTTTTGATGCTCACCGGGCAGTCGCGATTTAACTCCTTACCTTATATTTGACCGTCTGAGTTGTGCCATTGCTCATAGGCAATCTTGCCATAGAGCTTAAAAATTGGGGCCCTAAAGGATGTGTGAGTCCCTAAGCTGGTTCGGGGCACTTATTAATTTATTAGCCAGCTCATTTCCAGGTACCCAATTTATGTATATCTTGTTATAGAGAAAAAGATCACAGAGGACTGAAAAGCACTCCTACACTAAGGATGAGGTGAACAGAACAGCACCCAGCCTGTCAAAACAGATGTGAATAGGTATATTTAGATAAACTCTGTCTAGACACACCTTGCAGCACAAGATGATAGTATAGACTTCAACGTGAAAAAAACAGCATAATTGCCAAGAGGAAAATGAAGTTTGGTACCATCATTGGAACAGTAAATAGCCGTATCTGACAATAGGACTAATAATCATTGAGTAAATATAGTGAAATATCTTAGGGCATAAACCCCATGTTTTACCAATAGCATTCCTGCAAGACAAAACACCTTGACCGTGCGGACACAGTATTAAAAATGATAACCCCTGTTAAGTTCAGAGTCGAAGAAAACCCCGAGAAACTTTATCAACAAGTTCTAACCTATGATCAAGGTACTTTTCCTACTGAAGACAACTAGACTTATCTTAGAAGGAGGGTTAACTGATAGGCCAAATTCAGAGCACCATCTAGCTAACAGTTTAGCATTACTTGACAGTACATATATGCACATGAAATTGAAATCTAAGTCTTGTATACTTTTACGTTAAAGTTTAGAGAAGAGTTCCAGTAGGCACATTTCTAATACATATACTACTGAGCAAAAATTTGCAAGGACCAGACAATAGTTCCTTCTTTATTTATTTTATCTAATAGAAGGTAATGTATACTTTGTGCTACGTAAAAACAAAGCGAAGTAATATGAATAAAACATAAATGGCACAAAAAAAAGGCATTCAGCATTTTTGATTCTATAAAAAAGAAGCTCCTTCAGAGTTAAAAACAAAATGTATTGGAACTGAGGAACATTCTGCATTTCAACACTAAAAAAGTTTACGGTTTATAGAACCAAAACTAATACATAATGTGTTCTGTTTTATGATATTATTTGTGTTTTATTCATATAATTATACCATAATAAAAACCAACCATAAAATAGAACATTGAGGCTATTTACTACTTTATTAAAAAATTCTACAAATTGTAAATACAAAAAGTTAAAAAAGCAGTATTCAAATACGAGATTCCACTTTAAAGAAATTTCTTTGTAAAATTGATAACAATTTAATTTGACTCTATTGTACATGTAATTTTCGATGAACAATCCAAAGCAAAATCAATATAGAGATCTCTGAAAGTTATAAATATAGAAAAGGCAACTTTAGTAAGTCAGTGGTACAAATAATAAAATATAAAAGTGCAGATTGAGCTTCATATATAAAAAATATACTTCACATTGGAAGATCTTGAAAATGGTACAGGCACAATCAGAGAAAATGCTATTATGAAATATGTCTTAGCTTCTTCACTAAGCTCGTTATTTTGTTACAAAAACAGTATCTTATAGAGAGAAGCTAATGATTAAATTAAGTAACGAACACCTGATATGCAAATTAGAGTATAAAATTAACCTCATTAAAGTGGTATTTAAAACTTATTTTTCAAAGACATTTGAAAGAATAATGAAAAAATTATTAGTTAGAAAATAAGGAAGAATGCTAACTATGGACAAAAATATGTTATTATAAATTACTGAGTAGCAAAATTTTTGGAAGCTCTTATTGAGACATTAAAATAATGTATACTTAATTAAAATGAAAAATGAGCAGATTTTTCATTTATAATATTTTAAATTATTAGAATTTTTATTATAAAGAAGAGTTAATTTTTTGATTATTTTAAGAATTCTACTAAAGTATTTTTGTAATCAACAAATATATTTTTGCATCGCAAAATTAATTTCACCAATCGTTAGTATAAAGTTGGTGCTATTGTCATTTAAGAAATTATTTCTAAGTAACATGCTTATTTTTTTATTTTGTTTACCTGAATTAAAACATGGCTGCTTTTATAATGATTTTTTGATTTAAAATTAAAAACTGTAGAGAATGAATTTCTTGTAATATAAAAGTGACCTAAATTAAATTGAATCTTAACAATGGTTAACAAGTTAAAAAAAACTAAGAAATCCAAAAATTGAAAAAATAAATTGATATTGATGTATTAGAATCTTAAAAGATATATATCTCATTTGAATTTCTAAAAAAACAGTAAATTCCGAAAAAATTTCTATTCCAAGTGAAAGCTCAATAAAATTTTCTTTTAAATGATTTGAAGTTCCATAAGTCATAAAAACTTTCAAAAAATAAAAATTCACTAGTTCTATCAATTTTGGGGGGGAAATTATTAAACATTTCTAAAACTAAAATTTCATTTAAAAATTTTGCTTAATTGTTTTTTAAATTACGCTGTTCTGTTGCAAATGATTTTATTACACATTATTTCTAATAATTATGCTCAAATTAGGATTTTATACCCATACAAAATTCAGGTAATACACCATAAAATGTGCAGTTATCTTAATCTCCTGTATAGGATAAAAATAATACTAGGCATTTAAAAGGCACAATTAATGTATAATTTAAACATTTAGTGCTACAAAAATGCACACATTGGCACTTTAAAATAGTGTTCCTGTACATATCAACCACACTGTTATGCTTACTAAATAATTTAAGTTACATTTGAAATACATATCTAAAAAACACAAGCAATTACTTTTTTCTACACACATAACCATACACACTAGGGTTATATTTACAACTGACATTATCCCATATTTCTGATACATATTTACAGAAATCACAAAATTTAAAGCAATCAAAAATAGATTCAGCAAAAGAGAAGAAATCACATGAATTCACAATAACTTTCTATGAAATGTCCATAAAATTGAGCATCATATTCATAAAGGCTTCATTAAATGTTGTGCCTTTATCTGTCATCAAATATATGGCTTTTTCTTATGATTTCCCCCCAGTTAAGATGTTTAATAAGCTATTATTTTAAACAACATTTTAAATAAAATTGTACATTTTAATTAATAATTGCAATTAAATTTTTTTTAAATTATTTGTAAATGTTTTCACAAAAATATTGCCACACTTAGTAAAGAAATGTATGAAGTGTCATTAGTTGTATCCCCAATCGTGATGTATGGCAATAAAAAATACTTCCTAGCATAAAATGTTGATACGTAAATTTTTTTTGTTTACATACCTTGTGTTGTGAAAATTGTTTAAAAGACATGTTATTAAAATTACCTCACACAGAATTTTAACTAACTTACAAAGTTATTTGATATCTAGATGAGTATTCTTTACTCCAAAGCATGTTTATTCAATAAATTCATGTATCAATTAATTTTTTAATTATGAATTAAAAAAATTAATTGATATCTAGAGAGATTAAGTATGAGTATTATATGTTTTAAAGCAAATTAGTATTAAATAAATTTGCATATCAGCATATTATTACTAACTGGCAAAATTATTTGATCTAGCCAGTTTTGTATGATTATTCTATGCTACAAAGCAAATTTATTCAATAAATGTAAGTACTATCAATTTACTGTATTATTAGTAATTTAAAATATTACTTCGTATCTAGCCAAATTTAGTATGAGTATTCTATATTCCAAAACGAGTTAGTTGAATAAATTTAAAATAAATCAATGTACTTTCATCTCACTGAAAAAAATGGGGCTTTGTTTAGGCAAATAGCCTCCCATTCAAGATGAAGAGAAAAATTCACAAGTCATTATCTTATGCTAGAAAGTATTTCTACACAAAAATAAACAGTAAAAAATGGCAGATACTGTTGAAGCTGATCAATAAAAAACATATCAGTCAAAATTTAAGCTAAACTAATCATGAATATGTCCATTTTTATCACAAAGCCTTCTAACAAAAGAGAGCTCTAACAGAAAACTTTCCAACGCAGCAACCTTCCTAATAGTGTTTTGCACTCAATGCAAACAGCTACTTTAGTTGGAAAAGTATAAAAATTTTAGTTTTACTGCTGTATCAGAAATACATTTTTAAAATAACAGGTGCTGTTATTCATGAAGCACTAAAATTTTCCATGCATTGAATAGGCTACACTTCATCAGCTAGTATTTCTGCTGATTCATGATGATTGTTGTTCACTTGATTTTGTTTGCTGCTTTCTTCCGGCAGCGATTCAGGTACACTGAATTTAGATTCTTCCATTTTCTTTTCTAAATCTCTGATTCTTACTTCTTGCTTAAGTATGGTGCTTTTCAACTTCCGTATTTCTTCCATGATTTCATCCAGTTTTTCTTTCTAAAAATATTAATAAAAAAATAAAAAAACACATATATCTTATGATACTTCGTCAAAATAAATATTTGATTTTCCAGACATAACACAGCAAACCATAAATTTTTCTTTCCTTTCATTACTCTTTAATTGATTTTCAAATCGTCCATCATTTTTGAGAGATTCAGTATTATTTACAAAGTTAAAATATTATTTTTTAACCTTTATGTTTTAGCTAGTATGTAAAATTTTCAAATACCATTGTTAATATTCAATAAATACAAATCATTTTGGTCTTTTTAACAGCTTTAAAAAAGGTTGGCAATCTTCATTTGAACTTAATGTCTGTAAATAAACATTTTTGTATTGATAAATCTATTTAAAATGGTGTCTTATACAGACAAAACAAAAGAACATTTTAAATGTGTTGATGAAAAACGCAGTTTAATATATTGAATATTTATTTATATCTTTACTTTTTAGTTTTCAAAATAACTGTAGAATAAATAAATAAAAAATTTTATATTATAAAATTCATTAAACGATTTAAAGAAATGATTTTTAAAAAAAAGCAAAACATCATGGGGTTAACTTTTTTTTCAATTACTTACCACCACAAATTTATTACATTTTTCAACTAATTTTTGACCAATGAATGAACTAAGAATGATTTTTAAACTAAAAAATAAATGATTAAAATTTTATCTGAAGTGATTGGGGAACTCTAGGATTTAGGAAAAAAAATTTTCCTTTAAAATATGTTTTAATACTTTAAATGAAATACCAAACGTTTTGTAAATAGGAAAAATAATCTAAGTATTAGACTTTTTAATTTATTGCACAGTCCATCGTGTGCATTCATAAAGTTTAAAAAGTGTTTCTCTTAAAGCTAATTTTGCATTTATCCATAATCTTCACATGTGGACTTCAAATTAAAATAACACCATTCACAGACTTAGATTATTTTATAGCATAGTTTTTTTTTATTATCATAAACAATTTTATAGTTAATTGTTCTGGAGAATTTCAAAATTAAAAAAATAATAATAATAAAAAGTCTTACAAAAATTAGATTTAAAAGATCGTAAGTACTTTTATAGCTATTAGCATAACTGATTCAAAAAAACTTTTTCATCCTTATTTAAAAATTGTAGGTAGTAAAAAAAAGGTTACATGGAAGGAAGGATTTACAGCAACCATTTTGTATTGAATTGTTTAATTTTTACTGTACATCAGTTATTTGATAAAATACATTTTTCAGAATTTCTATCTATTCCATCCTCTTGTTGAAAAAAAAAATTCTCACACTGTTAGAGAGGACAATTCTTTTAACAATATGATATGAAAAGAGGACAATACAAAGCTTTGTAAAAAAAAATTAAAAAAGACAGAATTAAAGGTTTCCTCACAACTGTTTTATAACAAGAAATAATTTTAAATACAAGTATAAAGGTACAAACCAAAGAGAGCCATAATAACTCAAGACAATAATAGAAACTTTAAGGACAGATGATAAAAAATAAAATAGGCTAATTAATATAATTTTCTATTCTTATTCAGAATTTTAAAAAAAAATTTGTTAGAGATTTTTATTTTATTTTATTGAAGAATGAAAATTAAAAATAAATCTTAAAAACAAATGGAAATGGAATGTTAGATGAACACAGTTTTTCAAATTAAGACCGTCTGCTCTTCCTCCCAGGATGAAAGTCAATTATTAAATCAAGCATCCTATTCCATCAATAGAAACATAAACAATATATTTTAAAGCAACCAACTCATTCTCAAAATGGCTTTCTGACAACTAAGATTTTTTCAATTAAACTTGTTGATAACAAGTTTACTTTACTTACTTTTTAAATAGAATTATACATGATTTAATGTTTCGCTTAGAAAAAATTAATTTAACAATTATCATTGATTTATTTTCCCAGAGAAATAAAAAGGTTGATCTTTGGACATGTGGTAGTTCTTGAAGCGTTGCGAAATCATTATTTTATCCCTTTTTTTTCTATTTCTGTTCTTGAGATCAGAGCTTTAAAAAAGATGATTTTTACTTAGAAATATGTAGCTTAAAAAAAAGTGAACTCATAAATACAATAAAATATTTTTAAAAAAAAACTCAAACAACAAAATGTATTTTTTTAAATTATAATTAAATATTGCATGATAAATTTTAATTTTAAAATGTCTGATATTGTAAGATATTTTTTAACATATTGAGGAATATTTCACCTCATTTTGATCATGGAACAAAATAGACTAGACTCAAATAATAAACTATTTATAACCAATCAAAGTATGAAATTGATTAAAGCAAGCAAACTTTAAGAAAAAAATTTAACAAAAAATACTTTAAAGTTATAAGTCAAAATGGGAAAGTGCTAAAACCAAATTTGTCTTATGTACACAATTTAAATTAAAAGTTAGAAACCAAAAACAAGCAAAACGAAATTTGAAAGATGTGTATACTAGCAAAAGCAACAATTCATCAGGGGACTTACTGTCGGCTAACATGGAGCCTTTCTGTAGTCAGTGGTAAAACCAAAAACCGACTGTGGCCCGAGGCTCCATAAATTAATTGGGTTTAGATTTATTGATGATCTAAATTGGAAATCGTTATTCAAGTGCCTTTGCTAATATTTTCTTACATTTTTTTAACATAAATTTTTACAGCATAATCTATTAATTGGGTTTAGATTTATTGATGATTCAATTATTCTTGATTGTAATAATTTTGATTTAATCAAAGATATTTTATCCTAAAAAATTTAATTTAATAAAGGACTAATTCAGAGGTTAAAGGCACCAATTTTTAACAAGATTAAAATAATTAAATTAAACTTCATAACAAAAGATTTTAATTGGATTATACGATAAAAGAAGAGAACATTGATGATATTAGTTTCACACATTTTAATTCCAATTTACACTTTAAAATTTTAAAGAATATTTTGATTAGTCATATTCTTAGGTTTAAATTTATTTGTAATAATAAAACACATTTTCCTTAAGCTATTAAGAATTTCAAAATTTCTTTAGAGAATAATAATTTTCCTTTTAATTATTGTAATTATAATTTTTTAATTCAATGTATTTTAGAGAAGCACACATAAGTAGGCCTATGCGGTGAAATTTATGATTTTTGTTCCTGAAGAATATAGATGGCAGCACTTTATGTATTTTTTAATCATTGAATGTTTTTGCTATATTTTTCAAGTTTTTCGAAAGAGGTTAGCACAAATTTCTAAAGATTTGGAAATTTATATTTTATATTGATTTGGTTATTCTAACTGTAACTTTATTTACATCTCCTATTTTATGTAGATATTATATTATGAATATATCTCTTATTATATGTTACTCTTATAAGAGTACACCAATTATGGGTCAATGTCAACACAGGACACAGTCAATTTTTTGGTTTTACCACTGACAACACGAAGACTCCAGTATGTAAGCAGACAGTGTATCCCCTGATGAAATGCTTTTTTGCTAACATAGATATCTTTAAAATTTCATTTTGCTTGTTTTTGGTTTCAAACTTATGATTTAAATTGTAAACTATTTATATGTCATAACCTAATTCTACAATTATTAGTTATTTTTTTGCAGAGAAATAAAAAGGTTGATCTTCGGACATGAGATAGCTTTTGAAGCATTAAGAAATCATTATAATTTTAGCCCTTCTTTAATCTATTTATCTTTTTGACGCCATAGCTTTCAAAAAGGGCAATTTTTAATTAGAGATATGTAGTTTAGAAAAAAGCAAACTTATAATTGCGATCAAATATTTTTTTTCCTTAAAAAAATTCAACTAAGAAAAGAAAATTTTAAAATTATATGTAATTATTACACGAAAAATTCAAAAATTTAACTTAAAAATCTTTTAATGTATTGTAGAATACTTTTATATTGTATTTCCCCACATTCAGGTCAAGAAACAAAATCCAAAAATAGACTCAAATAAGTTATTTATACATTATAACACATCACAAATCAAATTTCTTGCCATTTCTATGAATTTTCATTATGATTAAAAATTCTCTGTTCAAAGAACGTGAATCAAATTATATTTTTACAAAGACAATCACTTTGTATAACAAACAAAAAATACATAAATATTATTCTACATGAGATTAAATTATACCAAATGTTATCCTATATATTGGACCCTGTGTTGCATGAGATTAAAGTGGAGTAATTATAAAATTTTTCCTGCAATTAAAAATTTAGTTGATTCTATAAACAAGAAAGACACAAGGCATTATTATTGATTAGTAATGCCTGGTTTAGTCGAAAGAGGGAGATAGGGAAAACTTCACCCATGATCCTCTCGGGCTTTTCTCTAGAACGTTTTGTTTTTTTGAAGATGTAGTAAAAAGTGATGTTTGTCTTTTATTAGTGGTGTTTATATTTTTTTATATTAATTAAAATGTTTAAATTAACATACTGAGCTAGCGTGGTTTATTATAGATTGAATTTATATAAAACAGAAATTTAATTGTAAAAATGAAGAAAAAAATATTAACTTTGGAGAATAAAAAAAATATAACAAAAATTACTTTAGTATATAAAAAGTAAAAAAGCTTAAAAAGTAAATAAATACTATGCCTGTACTTACTGGCACTGTTTCAGACTTTTCACGAGATTTTGCAGGCATTCTATCTAAAATATTTGACTTGCTCTTTGTCAATTTAAACTCTTGAACTCTAGGCTTGTACCCATCTTTTAAGCTCATCTAAAAAATAATGTACAAAAATAAGTTAACTGAAAAATAACTAATATTATTCCCTTATTTTGTTAAAATAGTAAAGTCAATTTTATTGTTGTATAACTCAATAATAATTGGGGAAAAAAAATTTTCTTTTTAATTGTTATTATTGGAAGAATATAATTATTGATAAAACTTATACAAATGAATCTTTTATAACAAAAATTTTTAAGATCACAATAATAAATTTATTAAAAATTTCAAAAACTTGTTTTGTTTAACCGAAATTGTTCGATAATGATGTCTATTAATAGAAAGTTACGGTAATTTCTGACCTTTTTTCAAGTAAATTAGATATCAACTACTAATAAAGTAAATTTTAAAAAAAATGTGTTACTCATCATCACAAAATACTTTTAAATGTAACATTTTTGGTTTTATTGATTAGACAGAATTTTCTACTTATTTATTATAATGAGTTACAGGCAGAGAAAAGGATTCTGAGCAGATGAGCGCACTGCTCAGTACGAGCATAAAGTTTTAAGTAATTAAAGAAAAAGGAGCTATTTATAGGAAATAGGCCGAATATGGGTCTCAGAGCATTTAAATCAAAATTGACATTGATATAACATAAAACCAATGTACAGAGCACCAATAAAAAACTGCCCACCCTGAATAACTTTTGATCTAATGAGGGGTCTTCCTGTTTTAAGACTCAATCTTAATAAATCGAAGGGGTGACCTCAAATATGCAAATTAATTAGTAGAGATAATGTTTGAGTTACGAAATCAGATACAAAAACGTACTTTCTCTGAATAAACATACCTTTTTTTCTCGACGTATTCAGATTTCTGACCCCCAAAATATAAAGGGGAAGGCTGCAATCTGGAAATTGTTTAGTGACGAAAGCGGTCCAAAGTTTGGACCAATTTAATGTTAATTTCAGTTTTTGTGTATTTCACCATATCCGGAAAACTTTTTAAGCAAATTTTTTGGCACACAATTATAAAATTTGTTTATCCAAAGATAATTTGATGCAACAAATTTTTTTTTTGAAGAATTTTTTTTTAAATTTATTATTTTACAAAATAATAGTTGAAACTTTTTGAATTGCAAGATATACAATTTTTTACATAATTTTAAATTACGTAATTTTACAAAGCAAAATACAAAATTTGAACAAAATCTGTTGAACAGTTTCTGAAAAATCAAATTTTAAAGAAATTAAAAATTAGATATTTAATATTAGATTTTTTGAGAACTATTCGAACAATTTCGCTCTAATTTTGCAGTTTGCCATGTAAAATTACGTATTTAAGTTGACGTAATAAATTGTATACCTAACAGTTCAAAATTTTTCCAACTATTAAAAAATAAATAATAAAAAATATAAACATTTATTTTCAAAATTTTTTTTCCATGGAATTACGTATGAATAAACAAATTTTATAATTGTGTGCAAAAATTTTTGAATTCGCTTTTAATTTATTAATCTTTTATAATGTAAACTAAGTCCCAAATTAAAAATTTCATAAAAAATTATATTAAACATTATAAAAATATTCCTCAAAGTGCAAAATAGACATGATTTAATGCGACAAAAAAGTTGAGCATATTCTTTATATTTTTTTTAATAACTTGGTAAATAAAGAGTTAAAAAGTTAGAAAATCTTATAAAATCAAAATATGAGTAATTTACTAACAAGGACAGGTTCAGCATCTTTTCCACCGGCCCATTCTTCAGCAGATATAGCGGGCGTATCTGCTTGCGTATCAGGATACAAGTCATCTTGAAATAATTCAGACTAAAAATAATTAACATGTAAATCATTTGGACATTTCAAAATGTAAATTTTAAAAATATATTTATCATTTAATCAAGAATATTGAAAACGGAATTTTTTTTTCATTATCACACAATTCTTAAAATTACATGAAGCCATAATTTTTCCTTCTAGCACTCAGAACTATGCTGTCACAACTTTACTATATATTTGGTACAAAGAACTACGCTTTCATAATTTTACCATTATTTCTGGTAAGCTAGTCAAATTGAATAGAATGCTAAATTTAATGTTATATTAATCAAGCTGACAAACTATAAAATAATGTTATATTTGATAACAAAACTACAACTCTTATTAATTAATTAAATAATGAAACTGATTAATAAGACTACAAAATAATCCTCCTTAATATTCTTAATGTTTTAACTTTTTAAAGTTCAACCTAGTTTTATAACCACAAAACAAATGAGTTTTCTAACATGTAATTCAATAGAAAGCTATCACATAACAGAGAAATGTGAATTTGCTTGGATACTTAACAATCAAACAGTTGACAATTTTAATGTAAAATAAAACTAATGATTGAAATATATAGAAAGCACACAAAATAATTTTTCATAGATAATTTCAAATAAAAACTTATATAAAAAAATTTTTCTGCATGGTTTTAAACTGAAATTGAACACATATTTTAGAAGCATTTGTTAACCATCCAAATTAAACCAGGATTTAATGGACATATTGCCCCAGTTTCCCTTTAAGCTTGGTTACATGACACAACATAAAAAAAGAGATACAAATAAAATCTAATCAAGCTAACTAACCCAACTTTTTGTGATTTTTCACTGATACACTTTTTATGAATTTTCACATGCTCTTCAAAATTCTGATATATTAAATATGACCTCATAATACAAGAAGTTTACACCATGCATTTGAGTTATCACCTTTTTTTTTATTCCAATGAAAACCTGGGGAATGACTTTTCCTCATACCTGCATCTGATGGGCAGATTTGTTGGCCACTCTTTCAAGGGCACCATATTAGGTGGGCTAACATTGCTCCCACATTAAGAACAAATAGTACAGAGAATGAAAGAACATCCATGCCTTGCCCGGGATTTGAACCTAGAACCTTTCTGATGCAAGGCCAGTTCACTTGCTGGTCGGCTTTGAGTTATCACTGACACACTTGATTTGTGACAATTCATCGCAAATCCATTTTGTTTTTTCAGTTGTGTTTTAGGTAAAACTGATTGATACAATCTTTTCTGGCTTAAAATCCCGATTTCTTAATCTGATATCATTTGACAAGAAAATTTAAAACATGTAGAAACATGCTAATTTTACAAAATGCGATAATATAACGAATTTTGAAACTGATTTATAGAATGTGCAACTTTATCATAGTAACAATTTTTTTCAGGTTCAACTTATTTTGTTCAAAAACAAGAATTTTTTAACGAATAAAATAACCTTTAATATTATGGGTCTTTTTAGGATAATGTCCTTTGTAAAATACAATGCAATTTTTCACCAGAGGGAGCGTTTTGTTTCGATGATATAGTGCCCTTCTCTGTCTTCAGTGTTCTGCGCATTTTTTAGCTTGGTTTGGTTATTGACATTGCACAACAGCTACAGTACCCCACTTTATATTGGAGGGTAGTAATCAATTGGTCTCTATACTACTCTCTGACCACCCAAATGACCTTGAATTTTTAAAGTTCAGAAACTTTTTATTCTTTCTATTTTTTCTCCATAAAATTAGAGTGTATTCCAAATGAAACAAGATTGGAGGGAGAGAGAGAGCAATCCAATCAGTCACTCTGTCTTTTAATATGTAAAATCTAAGTCATGGTATGCAAAGGCTAAAACCCACCTTACTGTCTTGGTTAAGGTCAAGAATGAAACCAGTAAATACAAAACATAGTATTGCTTCCTATTCCAAAAAACATAGAGACTTTTTTTAACTGATTGATAACTTAAAGTTGTATTCGTAAGAAATGTCCTAAGAAAAATTGTTTTAAAAAAAGATAAAAGGTTTGTCTGTGCTCCGAAACAAAAGTCTAACTGCAGAAATAAGCAGTCAATCTCACCTTTCTAGGTACAGTAAATGTTATCACTTCACAGAAGCCCTTTGCATGCAATTTGTAGAACCTATAAAATATCACAAAAATATAACTTATTTTTAAAGTATTACATTTTCAATATTTTTTATTATAAATTTATATAATAACAATTTTTTATAAAAATCTAAGAATCTTCAATAGACAAATTACACACACACATATTATATATTTTGCAAATTAACCAAACTTGCACTTCAGATTAAAAATAAGGAAAATAGCTAGATCAGTCAAAAATTAAAAACTGATTTACCTTAATACCATATTAAATTTGAAAGCTTGTTTTGGATTTCAATTGGTGATAAATTGTGTTAAACGGGTTGTAATATAAAATCTGAGAAGACTGATCACCTTTTCTGAATAAAAGCAATTTGTCTTTACATATTTCCTGAAATCCGGGTTAATAATTGTAATAAAAATACCAATAAAGAAAAAGTATAAATTAATATAGACAGTAGAAAGAAAAGAAAAATAAAAAAGAGAAAAAAAATTAATGAAAGAAAGAAAGAAAAGAAAAATAAAGGAAAGAAAGAAAAGAAAATTTTTGACATAAAAAAGGAAGAAAAAAAATGAGAATAACAAGAATGTAAACAAAGTGAATTTAAAGAAAAATAAGACAAAAAATAGACTTAAAAACAAAGATTTAAACAGCAAAACTAAAAATAATCTTGAATTTTCAAATGTTCTTGGGACTAAATGTGATAATGGTGCGTAACATTGTCAAAATTATGTTGACAGAATTGTGCAAATCCAAGATAATTAATAAATTCCTAACTTTAGGAAATTTTGCAAAAATTTTCAAATATTTTGCAATTAAAGTGACAAATATGTAAGGTAAATAATAAATGAAGTGAAATAAAGACAATACTGAAGTCTTGGACTTCAGAGTAACAACCATTGTGTCATATTTTTTATTTTATTTCGCTTTCAAACAAGGTAAACAATACTCAAATCTAATTTCAGATTGAAATTTTTCCTGTAAAAATGTTTTTTGTATTTTGTGTTTTACATTTTAAATTGCACATTTCTAACAAATGTTTATAAGTTTTTGTCATCGTGATTGAAGAGTTAACTTAAATTGTGTTATAAAGAATACTTCTTATGGTGAAAAAACGGTGTTGTGATCTTCAAATAAAAGACTTTTGGAACTGAAAAAACTGTTAAGTAAAGAAGAAAAAAGAAGAAAAAAAAACTGTTGAAAATTAAAATCTTAAATTTGCTGATAATGCTACTACAGATTTTTAAGTGTGTTAAAATTTTTACCATGAGTACATATGTAAATGTTTTATAATTCATATTACCTTTATATATTGTTAAAATTACAAATTTGATTATTTTCAATTTAATTGTGCTTTTATTAAATTACCTTTTGCTTTTTTTCTTTATCTTTTTATTGCTTTTATTATATTTTTATTAATTACCATAGGAAAGATTTTGCAAATGGATAATTTTTAAAATTTTTGGATTGTAATTAAACATTTTTGGCAAGGGGGGATGTAACATAAAAAGATTCAATTAATCTTTTTATGTTATCCCAATTAATTATTTTAATCGAAATACTTTCTCACACTTTTAAAAGCCACATCCTGTTCTTAAATCTATTTTTGGCTCAAGTATGCATTTAATTAAAAGCAGGACATTTTCCTCTTTGCTCTCTGTGGGAAACGCTCGATCTATTTGATAAACCAATTATAATTACCAAGATTTCCCTCTTTCCCTAAATTAAGAGATTTTACGGATTTTACTTTGCGAGATTTTCCCTAACATATAACCAAGGAGCGCAACTTTTCGTGTTCACTTTCATACTTTCATGACTGCTCTGTCAAATAATTAATAAATAAATTTTGTACCCTCCTTCCTGGCCTAAGACCTGTTTTAATCCTTTCACTTGGCAACGACGTTATATATATATCTTTGAATTAAAAAGCTTCAATTAAAAAATAGAAATCCTTCAATAATTGAGAAAAAATTAAAAAATAAAACTATCAGAAAAATGAATAAAGATTTGTACTTGAAGCTTCCATGGCTTAGAAATGTTTATCCTAATTTTAAATTGAAACTTAAATTTATAGATGTTTATTTTTTTTTTAAAATATTTTAAATTTGATATTAAAGAAAGAGAAAAGTTGGTCCCTATACAAAAAATTATTTGAAAAAAATATATAGGAACAAATTATAATTTATTAAAAAAATAACATTAATTGACCAATTGAAAAAAAAAAACAGTAAGTAAGAGGAACATAAATTGTATATTTGAATTGATACCAAAATTTGGTGGTTGAGAACAGAAATTGTATATTTGAATTGATAACTAAATTTGGTCATTGAAACTTAAATTCAAAACTTTTGTGGAATGTTTGAAGTAGTTGGTATCTCCAATTCTATAGAGTAGAATTCTTTGTAAAATTTATTTATGTATTGTACTGAATCAAGCTGTACTAAAGGAACAGCTTTTCGTTAAAAATTTAAAAATATCTAAAATATCAACAAGGCCTATATCATTTCCGATGCACACAATGAATTAGTACACACCTTCATATCAAGCACCCAGTCTAAATAGATCTCTTTGTTTTTTTTATTAATGCTTGTAAGAACTGGATATTTTTTATACTCTTACAATATATCTCTCCATAGATACTTAATAGAAAGTTATGACATACTTTTTTTATCCTATTTATTGCTGATTTAAATATATTCTTAATTTGCTAGTGTTGCTTTAATTTGTCTCACAGGCGAGTTAACTCCCAAAAATAGTGATAGTAAAAAATAAAATAGATATTTTGTGTGGGAAAAATACAAGAATTTTCTCCAAGAGGAAAATAAATATTGCTCAATATTTCCTGACTTCTTTAATTGCAGCTTTACTGGATCGTACTATTTTAGAATGTTCTCTACAAAATTTAAGTTACAAAATATTTCATCCAGTATTTATATACAACATAAAATTATAAAATGCCAGTGACTTTCCTCCGTAAAGTATCAGGGATTCAACATTACTATTATACAAATTAAATATGAAACAATCTAGAATGTCAGTGATTTTTCTCCGTATAGTGTCACGGATTCAACTTCACTATTGTACAATTTCAACAATAACTCTTTTTCAGGGTGGCCACTCAAATCAGATTTCAAATTTCCCTGATTTTTCCAGATAAAAATCTTAAAATTTCCAGGTTTTTCTTTCTTNCAGATTCAACTTTACTATTAAACAAATTAAATATGAAAAAATCTAGAATGTCAGTGATTTTTCTCCGTATAGTGTCACGGATTCAACTTTACTATTGTACAATTTCACCAATAACTCCTTTTTTTTTTAACAAATTGACAACATTTATTTACCTTGCTATTTCACACTGGTGAATATCACACCCTCTTTTTGGCATATAACCTGCACCTCTCTGAGGATCTGAAGACTGATAGGTATTGATATAATGCACAAAAGGAGGCTCATCTGTTATTTCAAAGTATCGAATATTGCTATCACCCTAAAAAAATTTGGGCACTATTAGCTTTAACACAATTTACACAATAAACCATCATTATATGTTATTAACATTATCTCATATATACATGTTATTAACATTATAACCCTGGAAACTTTACACTATTGTTTTAGTTCCATTAGTCTTTTGCAAACAGCATAGAATCAAAACAATGTTTGTTTTTACAACTTAAATTCAATATGTATAGGTGTTTCCTTTTTTTTTTTTTTAAATGAGCCAAAAACAAGCATAGATAATTTAAAAATCAGATAATTTAATATATATATAATGCATTATTGTTATTTACATAATAATTCTAAAAAGTAGCTCATATTTAATAAAAAAATTATATGCATTGATGCTGAGCTTTTTTTTTTTTTTGTTTTGTTAAAGTATCAATATCATTTCTGACCGTAAAAAAAAAAAACAACCTTAATTTCATTACTTAAGATCTAATTTTAAATTAATACAAAAACAAGGCAGTGAATTCTTATTCTTATTTTTAAAATTGCATATTAAATAACTAAGAAATACTATACTGATAGTTATTAAAAACTGGAGATATAGGACACCATATTTATCTTGTGATAAAGATACACACAAAGTTCACAACTGTATGATCTATTAAATACAACACAACAAAAAATATTTGTTTTTATACATAAAAATATTTTTATTAGAGACATAAAGCATTATTTTTCAAAATAAATGAAATAATTTCATAACTTCAAATAAAAAATAAAATAAAAAAAGACTAATAGAAATAGCTGGAATTTAGAATGGATAGGGCTTTAAATGAAATTCCTAACATTAATAGATAATATACAGGGTGTCTAAAAAATGTTGCAACAAACTTTTAAGAGAAATAGGCTACATCATAAGGGTTAAGAATTGCATTGCTGCATCATATAATTGAAAGACTGTTTTGCACCTAGGTGTACTGTGTTGATGCTGTCTCTTCCAACACTTACCACATTTATTGAGCCATGATCTCTTTCTGTAGAGAACTCTCAAAGCAAATCCTGTATCAAAAGCCTGTGGAGTCTGAAACTTATGATGTTGTTGGAATGGCAAGTGTGTACATGTTTTTACTGCCATAGTTAAAAAAAGTGAGTTTAACCACATCCTGGAATAAATGATCTGCCCATATCTGGCATGCATAGTGACTAATGAGCTTTGAGCGCTTGTTGTAACATTACAAACTGCCTTCATTTAGTCTTGTACATTTATGTAGCATTTTATCTAGTACCATGAAAGTTTTTCAATTAATCACTCCCGGTATTTTTCTGCCGTGATGGCTCAGGGGATATAGCTTTCGCCTTCCAATGAGGTAAAACGGCTTTGAATCCGAGCAATGGCTGGTCAACACGAATTCCGCATCCGGCTCACACCGACCACAGTGCTGACGTGAAATGTCCTCAGTGGTAGACGGATTATGAATTCAAGTCCCCATGCCATCAGACTAGCCATGGGAAGTTTTTGTGGTTTTTCTCTCGATGTGACGCAGATGCGGGTTAGTTCCCTCAAAAAGTCCTCCACAAAGACAAATTTCTCCCAATACTTGATCCAGGAGATCCCTTGTGTTCCGAATTGGGTTTAAAATTATAAGGCTACAGAGTTGAACATCAGTAGTCTTAAGCCCAAAAAATTCGGTTGGATGTTCAAGGACGGTTATAAAATAAAATAAAATAAAATCACTCTCATGTGTCCTTTCATATTTTCTACCACTTTCACTGGAAATTTCTTATTTTGAATTGCTTTGCAGCTCTCAATCCTTACTATATACCCTAACTTCCCTAAAAGTTTCTTCCAATATTTTTCAAATATTTATAGATATCTATTAAAAAGTGATTTCTTTTTAAAAAATTTTTCTCAAGAGTAGATACCTTTGCACAGAGATATAATAAATTGACATCTGGGTCATAAAAGGGACTCAATATTCCATTGCTAGTGTCCAACTCCTCGAGAACAAAAGGTTCAGCAATCGCAACCTAAAACAAAAGAAGAAGAATTAGTATTCTAATGAAAAACAAAGCCTGTCAACTTGATTATTTACTTACTCCCTCATTAAGTGCAGTTTAAAATAAAACCTAACATATTACTAATATGCTTTTATTAACAAAAAATATTTATAAAATTACTTACATTTATAGCATTAAAAATTTATAATGAAATAAATAAAAGCAGCGATTTTTCAAATAAAAGGTTAATGAAATTTGTGTTAACAATAAATCCTTTCCAGAATGACTTAATAGTATTCAATATTGAATTTGAAAATGGAATTTAAAGAATAATTGTTTGATAATTCATAGAAAACTTTAATTGATAATTACTAAAAAATTCCAACAAAAAATTTATTTAAATTAAAAGAATGTTTTGATTTAAACTGAATACTGTTTATTTGATTTCTTTTAAAAAAAATAAGCAGTTTTCAAATTTAATTTTTTGCTGACTGTTGCAAGCTGAAGTGTTTCTCATAAATTTAAGTTTCATATAGAGATATGATTTGGTTCTAATATTAAGGTAAAAGTAAATTGTTCATTATAATATAGTTCATTGCGTAAAAGTAAATTGTTCATTATAAAATAGTTCATTGAGCAAAAGTAAAGTTTTACACCATCCATAAAATAAAGTTAAATTACTCAAAAATTTCTTTAAGATAAACTTACTTCACTCCTTAAAGCATACTGCCGTTCACTCATTCGAGAAAAACCTGTAGTGAAAAGAAGTCCATTTTTTAAAAATATGGCTTTTTGTGGCTTTGCTCCTTCGTGACCCATTGCTTCCTAAAAAAGGATTAAATTCAATAAAATGGCAGCCAATGTAATTAAATAATTGATAATACTCTAAAATTATTTATTTGGATAGAAATGTTAAAAAGTTATATTAAGTTACATAACATGCATAATTTAATAAGACAAATTAGAGCATATTCAGTGTTATACACTTATTTTATAATTTGTACAGTTTTAGCTCTGTGTCTAAGGCATGTTAGGATTCGACTTCAGGAACATGCTAAAACTGCTTAAAGCTATTTGTGCAATAAATGCATAAAAATTTAACTTTCTTTTTAAATTTGTAAAAGTATTGGCAAATGGTTTTTCTATCGAATAAAAGATATATTTCTTTAGTTCCTGGGGGGGGGAGACGGTCAAATTGAATTTTTTTTAAACAAATGCTGTATATTTTATATTTGATTACAGAAATTTCTGTTAGATACGTTGCTTAACCAATTAGAATTATAATAAGTCCATATAAATTAAGCATAGGCAACAAAAGAATTTAAGTAAGCATGAGACAAACTACAGAGAAAAATACAGATGAATATGTTAGTTACCGGACCGCACGATTTTGCGTCACGAAAATTATTTCCTACAATTTTCGGCTATTAAACAGATTAAGAGGTAGCAAGATGCATATTATCATGCAACTATTTTTGCAAAAAATATGTTTTCTCATGACAATAGTATAAAATTGCTTCAGATTTATCTTTAAATTACTGCTCTAATCTAATAAATCAAAAATTAAACCAAATCTATTCCTGTTTCTTTTCCTGAAAGATAAAACATCTACATTTTTCATCCTCTCTCCCATTTGTTGCTCATTTACTCCTCCTCAACTGCAAAATGACTCTTGATTTGAATTTCCTTTTTATAAAATAATTCAGTTTATAGTAAATTCGTATTTTGATTTGTTGAAGTTTTCTTTGGGAAAAATTCTATCATAAAATATTTTTAGCACTAGAATCGCTAACAATTTTGAAATTTGGCTAATTTACTGACTAATAAATTGAAGTCTTTAGCTCAGGTCCTGCATATACATTTACATAAGTATCATTATTGAAAGATAATAAACAATAATACACGTGCACTTATACCCACAAACTACAACACATAGTACCAGAGTCGCGATGGCTTAGGGAATAGAGCGTTCGCCTTTCAATGAGGTGAACAAGGTTCGAATCCCAGTCGATATGAATTCCGCATCTGGCTTGCACCAACTACAGTGCTGACTTGAAATATCTTCAGTGGTAGATGGATCATTGGTTAGAGTTCCCTTGCCGTCAGGCTAACTGTGGGAGGTTCTTGTGGTTTACTTCTCCATGTAACGCAAATGCGGGTTAGCTCCATCAATAGCTTCATGAAGACAAAATTTCTCCCGCTACTCGATCCAGGAGTTCCTTTGTCTTCTGGATTGGTTTCAAAATACAAGTCTATGGAGTTGAACATTAGTAGTTGTGAACCCATAAAATTGGGTCGGCTGTTCAACGACGGTTATAATATAAAATAACAAATAGTACCAAGAGCCGCGATGGTGCAGGGGATAGAATGTTCGCCTTCCAATAAGGTGAACCGGGTTCGAATCCCCAGCGATGGTTGGACGAAACGAATCTGCATCCGGTTTGCATTGAACACAGTGCTGACATGAAATATCCACAGTGGTAGACGGATCATGGGTTAGAGTCCCTTAGCCATCAAGCTAACCGTGGGAGGTTTTCCTGGTCTTCCTCTCCATGTAACGCAAGTTCCCTTGTATTCTGAATTGGGTTCAAAATTACAAGGCTACGGAGTTCAACATTAGTAGTCGTGAACTCAAAATATTGGGTCAGGTGTTCAACAATGATTTTAAAAAAACATATAGTACCAATATCCAAAAAAAACAAATTCTCAGTTTTAATCAATATAAAGATGAAAACTTTGCAAACCTATGTAACTGTGCAAGCTAACAAATGATAAAAATGAAAGAAACTCAAACAGAACTATTTTTTAAATAAATTACCTGTTCCATATCGCCACTCCTAGGATCAAAAATTCTTATCTTCTTGTCTTTACAGGTGGTGACCAATCGAGTTCCGTCCCAGTTCCAGCATACATGCCAAATAAGATCTGGGTGATTTATAGAGAACAAAATCTCAGCAGTGCCAACATTCCAGATATAAATTTTTAAATCAGCACCTGCAAAAGAAAGTGTATATGTTTTTATTTCTCAATAAAATATCAAAGAAAAATATACCATAAAAAATATGGTTTAATACTGGCTAAGACACCCAAGAAATTATGAGTTTATCATTTTGAAGAGTATTTACCTTCCAAAGAGAATTTTCTAAGTAAATTTAACAAGCAAGGAATTTCTATGACTTCAATTTTATAAAAACATTTCACCTAAATTTATACCCTATAAGCGAGTTTAAATTTATTTTTTTTAATCCTACCTCGGGGACTAGTCAGCCAATGTCTTGCTGTTGAATTAGACAACATATCTTATCGCTCAATACAGATGCAAAAAAACAAAAAGAGAAGTATCTCCAGTTTTAATATCTTTCAATTTGGATTACACAAAAATATGTCCAATAATGAAAACAACCCCACAGAGGGCATGAGGCCTGCTATAGTGATTCTATTGGGATGCTGCTGAAGGTAATGGTGGAGACAGCTGGATGACATGCCAAAATTCAAAAGCAGACAACACCTACCTTCCTTAAAAAATTAATACATCCAGAAAATTAATTATCTCCATGAGCAGTGATTAATTCTGCTCCATAGAGATGCTTAAGCTGGCATCCCTTTTTATACTTTCTCACTAGTCATGTATCAATGACCGGTCTGTTACCAATAGTAACCATTGATCAAATACTGATAATCAATTGTATCAATTATGATACTACAGATATCTTATACTACCTATATAATGATGCTTAAGATGCTATCCTATACCTTTTGACCAGTTATCATATTATTTCTGAAATTGAATTGCTTATTTTTTAAAAGAAATACTGCGTTCTGATTACCTGCTTCAACACAATTAAATTTTTCAATAGAAATCAAACAAAGTGAGAAACCAAAATTTCAAGAGAATAATAATTTTACATAAATATGGTCAATGATGATAAATATGTTATTATGTTCAATGTCACCTTTTTCCCATTGACAATCATATAAGTATAACAATCGAGTAATTGATAATATGCAAGTAATCAAGCTCAACCATTAGAATAAGAAAATTCTACGTGTGCTTAAAAAAGTTAGTCAAAATTCCTGTAATTTACAATGCCAACATTGAATAAAAAATATTTTTTAATTATTTTTTTTTTTACAAATTAATACTTTTTTTTTTCAGAATAAATGTGAGCATTTTCCAACTTACCAGCACTCAAGAGTACATTATTGGCAACTGGGTGCCATGTAACCAGTCCAACTCTTCTTTGATGAGCAATTAGTTCAACAAGCGGTTCCGTTGAAGGTCGCACTAATCCTGCATCTGGAATATTCCAAACTCTAACAATGCAGTCTTCAGAACCACTTGCTATAATATTGTCATTAAAGGGACACCAAGCTATATCTAAAACAGGTCCTCTGTGTCCTGATACTAAAGGATAATTTGGCTCAATTCTTCCAGTCTAAAGAAAAATAAAATTTTACTAAATAATGAAACAAAAAATTTTTTAAATAAATCTTTCAATTGAAATCAGCCAATTCAAACAGTAGCGTATCCACCACTACAAAATTACAACTACAATTCACTAGTATATAAGGCATGTTAGCTCGATTCTATGATGGGGTACCTTTTCATAGACGACGGTTGACATTGTCAATAACTTCACCCCCCACATTGGTGACCTTCTGACATGATGTGAACATGCCTACCTAGGCAGAAACGCCCATTTCCATATGAACACGTCTACCATGGCAGTAACGCCCACTTCGATCTGAATATGCCTACTTTGATGGATAGTCTACATTGAACAGTTGACTTGCTACTGTTTGTTATTAAGTTTGTTAGACTAGCAGATGAGCAAAAATAAAAGAAGAGTTATTTTCTTTAACAATCAAATCTATAAGAAAAGTAGAATTTGAAGATTTTACTTAGATTGGAAGACTTGTAGATTTGAAATAACGGAAACTATCATTGAAATTTCAAGATTGATTTGTTATTGAAAGGACTATGAGTCAAATTTCAAATAGGTGTCTATTCTAGATCAACCACAAATTTCAAAGACTTCAGCATACCAACAATATACAATTTTCAAGGAGTCCAACAGTTGATTTCTTTTATAAATATGTAATTAAAAGATATAAAATATATGCTTGTATTTCATACACATTTTTTATCAATTTATTCTAACCTTTTCCTATTTTTTTTTAAATTTACTATAATCAAATCCTAATAAGACAGTATTCTACATCACTTTAAAAACCAAAGATAAATAAATAAAATAAATAAAAACAAAATAAAAGTACTCAGTTTCAAAAATAGTAATGCTACCCGCTGAATAAAGAAAATAATTTTAATTCCAATATTAAAGAAAATAATTTCAGTCCTACCCCTCAAGCAAAAAGATATAAGGATTTGATATAACTTATGGTTGAAATCCCTTAAGTTACAATGAGCACTTGAAGTGAGATAAATAATTCCTTATATGAAAGAATAAAAAAAAAAAATTTCTTATACTGAATTTTTAAAAATTTTTTTTAAACAGAGCTTATTGGGACTTCTACAATTTTTTTGAGACTTTCAGGTTATCTAAGCATCTAGATACCCTATTTCAAGTGTAGCTAAAAAAAGAAGGGAAAAAAAGCTTTTTATAAAGAATACAGCATGAGATTTTTTTTTTAAAGATAAATCGAATAAATAATAGCTTACTTTGTGTAGAGGAAGAACCATAAAGGCACCACCACCAGCAGCTTCTATGACTATTGCTAAAAACTTTGGATTTACAGCACAAAAACTAGAATCCCAGGAGTTGGAGGTAATTCGAATATTGTCATAACATTGCTCACGCTTCAAGGGTTGTCCAAATATATGGCGAAATTTACTGCTCCGTACTATTCGGAAAGACATCTGAAAAATAAAAGTAAAACAATCAAGCCTTAAAGTCTACAAATCAGCAGCACAATATTTTTGGTAAATCTGTGGAATACAAATATCTTTGAGTCCCGCAGTGGACTGATCGTTAAGACACGCTTCCCAGTAGATCACCGAAGTCAAGCATCATTGGCTGCGGTCAGCGTGCGGGTGGGTGACCACTTTGATCAGTATGCGTAGGGACCGAGGGTGTGCGGTATTGGTCTTCGTTAAACTGTTCTAACGTAAAGTGCTCGACTTCGCGTGCAGGTCGTCGGGCTACCGAAACGGGGGTGCCATCCCCTCTGCAGAGGATCAACATTGTGATGGCATGTCTTCGGATCATCCTCAGGGATGCTTCCCTGACCGTCGCCAAAAGCCTATTGTGCAGCTCTAGTGCGACGTAAATGAACTACAACAACAACAACAAATATCTCTGGAAGTTAATTTGAAGTATAATTTAATAATAGAACCCCAGCCCTACACAACAGCTTAGTGCTTTAATCATCATTCCATCGCAACTCCTGTATATATCAACCTATTAATATCCTGTATGTCCTCCTAAATTTATCAACAAAAGAATGAAAATCACGAATTTGTCACAAATTAAACCTCATACACTATCTCATTTTTTCTTATTTGATCTATTTTCAGACATCTGCACGGTTATCAGCGATATCGGAATTTCAATATCGCGATAATTTTATTTGCATAGGCCTATCTTTTCGTTGCCAAAAAGGAAATTTATCCGCACTCACGATAATATCGAATTCTATAAGTATCATTATCTGTGATACTCGCGATATTTTCGTTGGCCAAATGAAATTTATCAGCATTCCCGATAGTATCGAATTCTATAATTAGCGTCATCGATGTTACCAGGGGTCTGTCCAGACATTTTGTGAAAGGTCCGTTTTTCGTGAAATTGTGAAAAAATTACTCACATTCCTTCAACCAGGGTTCGCTTTTATGAATTTGTGCAAATAGGGTCCGTTATTGCAAAAAAAAACTTTTTCAAGGTGTCTTTAAATTGTAAAGACGTACAAGATTATGCACAACACTGTAAAATTATAATTAAAAAAAATTAAATTTTAAAAAATAAACAGCAATTACTGCTTCTAAACTAGAGATGCAACATACAAATATTTGGTATTTAGCCTATACTGCTGAACGCAGAATTAATTTCGGACGAATAATGGAAGAATCGTCTGCCGAAGACAAAACTTAATTCGTTTACATCCATCTTTCTTGTTTTCTGCTATGGAAAGGGTTTATTCGATTAACAAAATAATAATGAAGATAAACAAATTTGTGAAGGGTCCGATTTTAAGTTAAAATATTTTGTGAAGGGTCCGTTTTCATGAAAAGATATTTTGTGAACGGACCTAAATTTCTTCTAAAACAGACCCCTGGTTACTCGCGATATTATCGTTAAAGCTACATAGTATAGCGGTATCGCCTACCACTACCTTCAATCTTCGAAGGCTCCGCGGTAATATGCTATTTTCATAACTGCTTTTAGTTTGCAGCTGTTACTCATGATTGTTTGGTCAAGTTTAGCCTATCTAAAGCCTCCTCTGTCTACGCTTATTTTGAAAATAGCGCAAAACGTCGATATGGAGAAAAGCCACAGTTTTGTGAAAATGAAAATTGCTTGTGGTCTGATTTTTAAAAATTTAAAAACTTACTCCAATGCTATATAACCTGGCCTCATAAAAATTTGCGAAAACTGAGAATAAGGCAGTGGTTTTGATGCTTTTCATTTAGGTGAAAAAAATGTCACCAAATTGGCGGTTTTTAAGATAGTTTAATAACTTTTAAAATGTTTAAGTAATTTGTCCGTTCTACAGCGCAGATAATTCTTCACGGCAAGATTATTTACATAATTTAAAATCATCGCTTTTGCTTCAAGTGTAAGGCAGTTAAATTATGGCTTTTTTATTTTCCTTTGTGACAGAGTTTCGAGAAACAGTGCTAATGATGAATTCTTAATTCCCTGCCCTCAGAAAATGGTAAATCAGAGTTAAAATGAGTTGTTACAAGAAATCCAAAGTGAATCCAAGTGACTCTCAACATCAAAAAAGTAAATTAAAAACAAATATTTTAATTTATATAATGACACATTGCCAGTATTGTTACAATAATATTTTGAGTATAAAAATTCTTCACATTAAAATTTGGTTACGCTATGATAAAAGGTTAGAACATAAATCAGGTCTAGGTGTATAATTTTCGAAGAAAAAAAGTAGGCTTATCGACGTATTACGCACACACTCTTAATTCAAGAAAACATACAAAAAAAATACTATCTGATTACCATTTCCAAAATTGTCCAATAATATTTAACTATTAAAATAATGTGTTTAGAAGGGAGGGGGGAGTATTTAAACAATTTAGAACAGGTATGACCACCCGTTGCCTGTAAGTGGTTTAGGTTAGAGTAAAAAATATATAAATCAATTCTAACTACAGTCAAATTCATTTATAACGAAACCTCATTTATTCGTGGTCTCAGGTTTAAAGAAAAGATTTTTTATAAATGTTTGGTTTAATACTATATATATATTTGCTTTAATACTACAGAATCCTATTGTGACTATCATAACTTGGATTTAAAGAGGAAATTTTGATATGAATTAGAAAATATTTTTTCGAGGTCGAACAATTGCTTCATTAACAAACATTGAAAGTTTCATTTTACAAGCTATGTTTCAATTTGTTCAAGTGAAACATAAAAAACCTTTAAAAAAAATTTTCTAGTTTTCTTCTACAGATTGTACTCTTTTTTTAAAAAAAGTTTTTGCACACAATGATTAAGTTCGTTCAGCCAAAGTTAATTTCATGCAAAAAATATCTTTTTAGAAAATATTTATAATTTGTTATTATTTTATTTAATAATAGTAGACAAAATTTTGAATTGTAAAGTATTTCCCAAATTGCGGCTACCCCCTATATTTTGGGGATCAGAAATCCAAATCAACAAAGTCAACAACAAAAAAAGATATGCCAATTCAGAGAAAGTCCTTTTTTTGTGTCTGATTTCGTAACTTAATATATCGTCTACACTTAATTACCATACTTGAGGTGACCCCCTTGGACCATTAAGATAAGAGTCCTAGAATATGAAGATCGGATCATTAGTTTAAAAGTTATTCAGGGTAGTCCGTTTATTTATTCATTTCTTTTATTTTTTATTTATTCACTTATTTTTTTTGCGCACTGTTCATATGGTTTAAAGTAACGACTAGGGGGCCCCTGACAGTTCTATGCCTAGACCCCCATATTTCTCGATCAAATTGTCCTGGTTCTTTCGAATGTAAGTCTGTTCTTGGCTATTATTAAATCATATTTTGAAGCACCCATAAGTTCATTTCATTATCGTAAGTAATCAAGGCTAACCCTTGGAAAATGGTAAAACAAAATTATAAAGAGAAAGAGGCGGGGTCATAAAATCAATAACCTACTTAGGAACAGATAATTTATAATCCAAAATAATCTTATTCATTGAATGTCAACAAAGAAACGGAAAAGAGACTTCAAAAAGGAAAAGGAAGCATGCAGCTACGGCGAAAAAAAATATCAAAAAGGAAATAAACATCTTTCGAAAATATCGTTAAGGTGAAATTAAGATTAGATAAATGTAGCATGTACCTAACTTCATTATTAGGGAGGAAAAAAATAAAAGAATTTTTTTTTAAACTAAAAAAAGCATATTTTTCTAACTGGATTTGGTAAAAAATCATCTACTGATATTTAATCACCAGACTGCATAAGAAATTAGAAGGGGGAAAAAATTGTAAAAATCGCTTTGAAATTCATTTTTAAACAAACCTATTCGTCTGCCATTTAGTGCTGTACCTAAGGAACATATAAAGATCTGTCCCAAAGTTACAGAAAATTAAGAGGGGGGAAAAAATAAAGAAAAAGATGTTCCTTAACTGAAAAACGTTAAGACGTTGAAGGAAAAGAAATTGGACTTTTTGCTTTCCATAGTAATTAAAATTTGAAATTTTTCCGTTTATCGTCGTCCGAACTAACTTAAAAGGATAAAGGAGTTGCCATTCCTAACAATTTAATATAGAAGAATATTAATTAAAATATCGTCTGATTAATGAAAATTAATGTTGAAGCAGTTGCATGTAATGTTTCAGATCTCACGAGCCAACAGTTTTGCTCCAAAACATAAACGTCATTACACAGATCATACCATATAACGAAATTTAAAAGCTGTTTGACGCAAGTATCGAATCGGGAATGCAGGATTCGTATTTACTTGAAGAAAGTTAACACCCAGAGAAGCAAAAAGTTGTAGGTTAGACTGAGTGCCTGATTTATCATTCGGCCTGAGAAACCAGAATTTTGAGGCCTATAAATTTTGCAGATGTTTTCCCGCCTATCTGAATTCTAAGATAGCAATAATTGAAATGAATATAAGCTTAATTTTCATGCTCTATATATAATGATTGTTTCAGTGGCGTACGCAAGGGAGGGGCTTAGGGGTTTAAACACCCCCCTTGAGCTCAGACAAAATGGCAAAAATAAAAATTTTAGTAGAAATTATGCGAGCTATTATTTTTAAAGACTATATATTTTTATTTGCCTTATGCCTACTTTTTTTTTTCTCACGGCATTTCTCAGAATACTGAAAAAACATTTACTACAATAGGGTTGTACTTTTGAAACCAAACTCACGTGATACTGTTACGGACTGGTTCCTTTCTGTCCTGCCAGTATAGTTTTCGAGACTGGCTGTCATTCGCGAGGTCTTTACGCGATGATTCTGGAATCCTAGACGTTCTGTCGTCTTTGAGACAAATTCGAGAATTTTGGAGATGCGGTGAAAAATTGTATAAAAGGAGGAAGTTTGCTTCGTGAATTTTTCTAATTCTCAAACTTTTTCTTTTTTTCTCTTCTCTTCCCTATCTTTTAGGTAAGATGACGATCCCGTAATTCCCAGATGGAAAGGTAAAAGGCCTTGTACAATACTAGATGACGAT